CCGAGCGGATGCGGCGCTTTTTTGATCTTCAAGATGCAGATTGCCGAATTCCGCTGATGCGCATCCGAGAATGCTATGTTGAGCTCAGGTCTCCGGGCATCCGGGATTCTGGCGGCTGGACCGTACCGTAAACTCTAATCACGAAGGCAGATGGTCATGGGAATGTTAGAATCGCATAGCTTCGTCTCTCTTTTGCTCTTTATGTCCTCTCGACCGTTCTAGTGGTGCTTACATTACCCCAGGCACAAGCACATGCCAGGCCACGTCGAATAGATCTTACCTTGCCATCGCTTACGCCCACATCTTCATGATCTTATTTCCGAAAGCATCGTTTTATACTCTTCCAAGCGACGTATTAATTGTCTCCAATGGGAATTCGACCACTTATGCCATCATAGTGTTACAACCTGGTATCGCCTCCGACACGATACTGATTTGTCACCTCTGGTACACATGAAGTCTAGAAATGATCACAAAGCTGAATATCCACAGACTAGGTACTGTGCTAAATGACCTGAGGCAGTGTTGCCATACACATAGAGATTGTTTGACATCCAGTCAAGAGCACCAGTGTCTGGTAGTGCTGAAATCGAGTAAATGGCCCACGCTGTGGTCATATTTGGACCTTGGACCTCTCTGTCCTAGATTCTCAACTGGCTGCTCCAATGGGAATCTGCAGGCACTTAGCTGCTGGAGTGCATGCGACCATGTCTTAGCATTCTACAAATTGCACAACATAATCGATATACCCGCTCAAATCCGGTGATGGTAGATGGTACAAAGCAGCTTTGGTTAGCAACGTTGTTCTTCTTATCGTTCCCTAATTTCCATGACCTTGTTACCCGTCCATCGGACTTCACGTCACATAACCGTTTCTGGGACGCCCAGGACTAGCGCGATATGTATCTTCTGAGTCGAGGCGATACCAATGCAGGGACTTCGTTTCCAGTCGTGCAGAGATCAGCCATGACATGACTTACACATGATCTTCTAATTCATGCGATCATTGAGTTTGCCTCGTGCCTCACCACCCTTTTAGAACGTACAGAATCTATCATCAAGTATCAAGAATGTTTATCTTTTGAAATATATCCACAGGAGCGACCCAGTACTCTGGCGCGCAGAAACCACTCCTTATTCGGGGATAGGATGAACTGCGTCACGTTAGACAAGCACACGTCGTGTTACTGTGCCTGGAAAAGATATTTCCTAGTTCTGTGTCACCAATATAGAGTGGCCAGATTTACTGTTTCAGAGGCAAATGACAGCGGGAGAAATCACATTTCAAGCCCGAAGAGAAGAGTTTGCAAACCGTTCGTGCCTTTATACGGTCGCAACAAGTAAAATCTAAATCAGAATATATTAGGTCAACACTGGCGAAAGCACCCCTGACGTAAAATTGAACTCGATTTAACCCAAATGCTCTTTTCGTAACTTGAATGAATTTTCGTTTTTTGTATGATGGTGTTCAATGCACCCCAAAGTCTTGAGTCTGGCAGCCCTTTTATTTTATAAATCTTGCGAAATCATTCGTTATTCGACACAGAACAAAGCTCCAGTTTATAGCAATGTTTTGACTTGATTCAGCAGTATAGAATGCGCTGATCAAATACGGTTCTCAGCTGTTCCGAAGGGTGCGCACGGCTTCAGCGAGAATATACTACGGATGAACCATTCTGAATTCCGAAGATCTGACACTCGCATGCTCATAGTAAAATGTCAAGCCACCCGGGTTTGAACTTGTCGTGTCGCACCGCTTCCAAATGGTGAATCTCTCCTCATTTGCGCTCAACAGACAAACTTGACTGTGAGTTTACCGACTTAAGCAGTGTAAGGCTGGAACCGTTCAACTCAGAGCGCGCATTACTTGATCCGCAATTTGCACAGCCTGCAGGCGGTTGCGGGTCAGGAAAAATTTCAATCAATTATTTCTTACAAATTTACAACCTAATCGTCATGATGGAGCGTTGCTGGAATCAATGACAGCTGCACAGGCATGACGCACTAGAGCCATGGTTCGCTCTCGAATTCGGCGGCTTTTCAGCGGCAAGAGGCATCGGGGAAGTTCAACCCGCATGTGCACTTGTTTAGTAGGCTAGAACTAAGTGCCTATACTACTGCAATCATATGTCGCTTAAAGCTGTAGGGCGGCGGGCGCTAGGGCATTCGCAAAGCGTCTGCAGACAGCAAGCGACCTGGTCGGTAGCGGAGGTGGTGAAGTTTGTAGGGACGTCCAAAACAGGCAGAGCTGAAGCTTATCAAGGCGCCAATTCGGCCCAGCGCGTTTTTGTGACAGCTCAGCGTGGAAACGTCTATCATTTCTTGCGGACGGTGAACCTGACCAAGGACAAGCAGGGGTCGAAACTTCCGTGTCGCTGCAGATCTCCACCGACAGCTTTGCGAATCTTTTCCAGGTTGCGGTCGCGTTCCTGAGTGGGTTGAGTTTGCGTGAGATGCTCAGAGGGATCGCGCCTGAAGTTAACCTCGAGAGTGGGAATAATTCTTTCGTCATATGCTTCCCAGTTCGCGGTATCAAGAGATACGTTCTCCTTGTGTGCGACAGTGTGCGGAGTGGACGACACGGAGGAAGAAGAAGCAGGACCATGTCGTGCAACACTTTTCAGCATTGCAAAAAACCAGAGGTACGCTGTTTGATCTGTCCTTCGCTTACGGCAGTTCGGCCGTGATGGCGTCTCGGTTGTTCGTATAGAACTCCCGTGAAGCATGTCGACATCAGGATGCCAGGCGGGGTTGAAATTCCTCTCCTGCATCATCTTGCAGATGTTCGGTCAACTATGTGGGAAGTTCAGCTTAGAATAAAAAAAGACGCTTAGAAGTCTTTCAAAAGAGCCGCTTTCGAAATGACACCATGCTTTGCTACGGGAGGGATCGAGAGCCTTGCTCCCCCAATGGTGGTTCACCCCGTTGTCAACACCATGTTCGGAGCTGATCTTGCGGATGGATTGTATGCATCATATGTGATGCAATGCCACATGGGTGCGTAGTCTCTCCACCCGTGGCTATGACAGCGCCCTACAACCCAACGGTCAGATCCGCAGCGAAAGACTCTCCCCCACAATGTCTTCTGGATTTAAATGTAATGATCATGCATTTTACTCCCTCTCGCGAGCACACCTTCTGATTACGCCGAGGCGCTAGCCAGATGATCTGTAAGGATGTCACGCTCATGCACTCTTCCGGCTTTCGTCCAGAGAGCATTTTGTTTCCGCTCTTTACGATTGCCACTCAGAAGTATCTGTCTTGCCCGAGTTCTGCGTCACCAAAAAGGTGGCGACAGCAGGCCTTGGAACCCATGGCTTGAAGCGGAGAATCAAAGCAGATCGGAGCACTGATGTCGTAGACACATGCTCAAAGAAGCGCGGCTCACTGTATGAAAGAGAAATTGATGATTATCAATGCTTTAGCGGTGGCTCAGGTGACCGTTTCGTCAAGTAGCTGATGGAAGCGCACGTCCGGCTGGAGATTGTAGTTGGTCTCGGAGCCTTCTTAAGTTTGCGAAAATAGCGTTGTGAAACGGATGACTTGGTTCTGATTCTTGTGTTTGATGTTGGGGGCGGACAGCGCTCAGAGTGCCCATCGTACACACGATCGGTTGAAGTCTACCACGCCTTGCAGTAAATGTCACCTTTCTCGGGGAGATACGCTGGCGGATAATCCGCTCAGCGCCTAGTGCTTATCTCAACTGGAAAAATCCTGACAATCTTATACACCTTGGTGAACAACATTCTCTGACTTTTGAAGAATACCAGGCGGCGATCTCAAGGCTATGGCTTGTTCGGAATTTGCGCAGGCTTGGGTGAAAATCTTCAACACACAAGATCGACCTCTGGAAAAGTAGACAAAATACGGCCGGAATGCTGATCCAGCGGGGCTGACACGAGCTGCAATCAGATTGCACGAATAGAATTCAGTCGGGTGCGACTGAAAGCAGTGCACTATCGTATCGTACTCAATTTTTGACTACCTGCTTGGGCAATCTCATGCGCTGTATGCCGGGTGCGGCAGTATCTTTGAGGGCGGAATATTACAGTCGATTACCACAAGAAAAATTCTGACAAAGCGATCAGAAATGTCCACAGCGTGCGTGGCACGTCAGAAGAACCAAGATCTGGGAGCGCACAACAGTCGCACCATGTCCAAGGACGATTACCTTTGGAATGGGTACTCATGTGTCACGAGTGAAGAACGGAGCTCCTTGCAAAAAGTTCAGAGACCAGGTAGGAAAGGATGTAGCAGGAGCACGGCGGGTGTTGCTCGACACTGTACTCCATGCTCGACACCAAAGCGAAGACGACTCTTCATTTTGGATCCAGGTCGGCCAGCAAACGGCGTTCCAATGAAGACTTACAGCATCAACGGCCCCCAGCAAGCACCTGACGAAACATCCAGCGTCGTGCATGCAGGCATCGCCTCCCACGGTCTTGGGCTGAGCTGCCAACAAAATGCGCAACCGTAAGAGCAATCATGGCACCCCAAATGAACAGCCAACAAATCTATCACAGCATGCACAGTGGGAACACGGGCCAAGGGGATCCATGAGGCTTGGTTACGACTGGCTGATGCTGCGGCTTCTTCCTAGCCCAGGACGCACCGAGGCACCGGGATTGTCCTCGCCCGTGGATCGCTGACGTTCTTCCAAATTAAGCGCCGCAGGTCCTTCTGCCTTTTGGCTCTGGCTTACCAAGTACGGAACGGCCTTCGACCGACCCTTGGACGCTGTAGAATGCTTGGTGCGTCGTTGAGGAAACTTTGCCCGTGGAGGCACGAGAATTGGCTTCCGCCGTTTGCCTCAAGCCCACCATCAAGAGCTGGCTGCCCCGTGCTCTCGTTGCATGGGAAGACTTCGTGCTTACATTTAGATCTGATATTTGTGGATGCTACAAACTGATAGCTGGTCCACGGGTGTACTAGTTCCTTGATCGATGTCAAACCATACTCTGACCCTCAGCCATCTGTCTTCTCTAATCATCAGCCTGTCCCCCGTCTAGACCAACCCATCGTGCAACTGGATTTTCTCTTCTTGTCGTCGTCTATTGAGAATTTTCTTTTTTCCTCTTTTTCGCGCATATGCAGCTGCGGAATTAGTTTGTCCTCAGCCTCGAGGTCACTCGCACGCCTCTGCGCCCGCTCACTTCATCACACAGATTTGAAGCTGTTTCTCCAATCTGATAGATTTCATTCTCAGCACCTCATATAGTAGTTCTAATTTCCAGGTTCTCAACCCGTCAGAATGGTGTTCTGCACGTGTGTATTCTCTACCTTCCACGTGAGCTTTTCCTGACTTGTGTCTAGATACTGTGGGCAGTCGTTCACTCGAGACGAACACTTAGGTATGATATGAACGACCGTACCTTTTGATGTCAGAAATAAGCTCATAGCCGCGTTATTAGAACGGCACATTTTGACCCATACAAATGTGAAGCCTTTCAAGTGTGTCACATGTCACATGTCCTTCGCTCGCCGGTGGGTAACAACCCATGACCTTATGAATGACCTTAACAAAGCGATTTAGCGATTTGCTGCAGCGACATTATACTGTACATGGCAGAGATCAAAACAATCAGGAGGGCGTTTCGCCTCAAACATTAGTGCCGAAGTCCGCCGGTCGAACACCCATTGCGTGCAACAACTGCGCCAAAACGAAGACGAAATGTGACAAAAAATTTCCATGCTCTCGCTGTGCAGCAAGAAATCTGAAATGCACTCTAAGACCCACCCGTAGACAGACGAAGAGTGCACAACGTATTCAAACGAATCCAGATGGAACAACAACTATCATCACGCCAGAGGTTCACCCACCAACGTCTTCCAGTGCCCCCAAAGGAAGCTCGCCTCAACTACAGGCCCAGAACCCGGCGGAGCAGTCCACATCTAGGACATCGCAAAGTCCAAAGCCACAAATCAGCCATCATGCAAGTCCCGCATCGAAGACTGTGGGACTTCCTAGCTTTTATGACACAAGTCCTCAAGCCGTTACTACCACAGCTTCAATGCCTACTTTGCTCTCGCCTCTTCCTACCCCAGATACAATCGGAAGTAGCGGCTTCGTTAACACAACGCCCATGTCAGGTTTTGATCAGTTTATGCCATCAACCAGCGATAGTTCCGAAACGGGTGCAAGTGCAAGCCCCCGTTATTTGATGGATTGGTCGCAGATAGCTCAATTTTCGCAAGGCCAGCAGTACGAGACATTGTCTCGTTCTGATCTGATCATGGGCTCAAGTATGAATCCGGCGATTGGACTGGGCATGGACGGTATTATGGGTCCAAATGAAGCCACAATGTTGTCAATGATGCCGGACTTCTCTCAGGCTATGCCGCAAGTAAATACACCCGACGCTACACCGCCAAGACTTGATGGCACAATGTCCGAATTGGAACTAAGCAACGGATATCACGGGAGTAGACAGCATTCAATCAGTACAACGGAACCAGGTGACATTCCCCAGGTCGTTTTGGCTCAGGATGGATGGAATTGTTTCCGCTCCGGGCCAACACTTCACCCAAGCCGTTGCCCCCGAACAGCTCGCCTGCATCTGGAGAAGCTTGAGCGAACTTTGAAAAATCAAGATTTGTGGATCTCGTGGCGGAGTACATACGAAGAGGAAGACTCGACCAGCAGCAGCGTGAAAGTCGAACCCATACATGAGGCGTCCCGCGACAAGCTTCTAGCTATTACGCAAACATTCTTGCACAAGGCGCTAGACATCCACAAAGATGGAAGCGTCAGCACTCCACCTGGAAGCAATTCGCCATCCGCAACAGACACGTCGTTCGTGTTGCTACCCCCCGTGCGAGTTCTCCAACAGTTTCTCCGCTCATATGCCCGCAGCTTTGATCGTTTTTTCCCGTTGACTTCCCGAGGCACCCTCGATGTCAACGCGCCGCTGTTGGACCCGAATGTCAATGACAAGGCAGCTAGCTTGATGACTCTCCTGATGATTGCTCATGGAGCGGCAAACATGCCGGAACTGGAGGCTCGATGGTTGACCGGCGGTCTGACCGAGGCTTGCAGGATCTCATTATTTGATCTGATCGAGAAAAATATCGGAATGGCGTCGAATCAGACAGTCCTTCAATCCGGCCTATTGTTCACGACCTCAGCTGCGTGGAGCGGTGATAAGTGGCAGATGGACATCGCAATGTAAGTAAGATCGGCTCTGTGCGATGACCCAATGCACTGACGTCTACAAGGGGTCAACGAGGAATGTACTTTGCAATGTTGAGACATTCGGGCATCCTAGATCCGGCGAGAATGGTAACTCAGCCAGCACCAAATGGCACAACAGATGCTCTTTGGACCAGCTGGTTACAGCAGGAGAGCAGCAGCAGGTAGGCCATCGTGCACATTCTTGCTCGTGGTTGCGTGACTGTTCTAAGACGTTCTAGGCTCATCTACTCATGGATTATGGTTGACCAAGATCTATCGCTCTTCCGTGACTCATCGCCTCTGTTCAATGTTACCGAGCTTGCCGCTCCAATGCCGGACACCGACAGGCTTTGGGGAGCAAAGTCTGCTTCGGAGTGGTGCAGTGTATTTGACCAAGTCCACCAGATTAGCGGCGGGTTTTCGTCCGTAGGCTCGGGCGCGCGACCGCCTTCGCTTCGCGATATATTTAGACAATTTCTCGATGATGAGATCGCCAGTAACGGTATCGAGCTGACAGCCTTGCACCTCCGGTTGCTACTTCACCCTCTTCAGACCCTCGTTTCCCAGTTTAGCCAATTGCTTAGTGTGTTCTCCGACACACTGGGTGCACGACAACGGACAAAGGCAGTCACGGCGGCGTCGACCCGCTGCCGACTGGAGGAGGTCCAAGCTCTCCTGAAACGATGGTTCGATCTTTGCACTCGATACCTTAGGTCAAACCCTGTGTGCCCGATGATCCAAGGCGCCCTCATCATCTATCATCTCATCAGCCTGAATGCAGTCACAAACTTTCCGGAGATCGAGCGGCTTGCTCGAAAGGAAGGCATAGATGGTACATATCAGCAACTGATGTGGGTGCATAAGCGGTGCATCTACGACGTCGAGGAAGCAGTCTTTCATGCTGGCCAGGTTTTACGACTCATTCGCCAGATGGACATCGACGTTCGTCCACCGTGGTGGCCAGGAGCGGTCTACAGAGTTGCCCTGGTCCTATGGACCGACAGCTTGACGCACACAGAATCCATCGCCTCGGCTAGTGGTCTCTTTCCAGTGCCTGGTCCTTCATTTGCTGCAGACGCCTTGCCGCCCGACCACACGCTCATCGTCCGCTATCTGAGTAAGCGAGAGGGAGTGCCTATGCTTACTCGACGAGACCGCACCCAGATATCGCTGGACAATCCATACAACATCTTGAATCATTGCATCGAGGTGCTCGACGACGGCATATCGAACCGGTTTTGTGACGGCATTCGCAACAAGTTGGCTCGTTTGTCCCGAGGCGGCTAGTCTTCCAAACCGCTCGTCTGAAGACGACGCGGACCTTTGCTCACTTTGACACGGCGTTTTCTTTCGAGCCTCGCTCGTTCGCTTTTGTTTTCCCATCTCTTGATGTCACGAAAAAAAACAAAAAGCATCCCTCGACATGCTTAGTGATCCTTTGTATTATCGACTGATTATTTGAAATCTTCACGGGCGGTTCGAAGTCTCCAAGTCTTGTCAGCCCTTTTTTTTTCTCTCGGACGTCCAGGTTTACGAACTCGATGTCCGGCTTTTTCGGGCTACCCGGTGTACACTGAGCCAGCCCTGGGTAGGCAGCGATCCTTATGTCCTGTTGAACAAGATCGACCGAACAGCGAGTCGTCTTCTAGCGTGTATACCTACGGTGGCTGTGAATCATGACTTATGACCGAATCAATTATTAATGTTTGGTATGAGCGCAATTGAAAAGGCGCAAGATACGTTTATCTGTAACTAGTTCCAAGATGACAATTGAACTATGGTTCTTTTTTTCTCTTCGTTTGACTTGCGAATGAGCAGAGAGCACAGTCAGAATTTCTTCCCATCACTTTACTAGCCGGCTGGGGCAACGCAGAATTTGCCGGAGGCGTCGCAGCTGGCGAATGTCGCCCCTGCAGTGTTGCATGTCCAGTACCGCTTTGTTACTCACGTTTCGGCAGCAAAGCTATCTAGTGTCGGCTGCTTGCACCTGGGCTGTTCTCGATATCCACATTGCTAGCCGACCGTCCCTGTTTTCCAAGTCCGTACTCAGCCCTGCTCACGCATTCTTCTCGCCCAGCGCATTTACTTGGCCCCGCAGTCACATACGACCAACCAAAGAGAGAGACGATTTTCGGCCTCGATTCAGAGCCTGGGCTTAGACAGGGATTTGGGAAGCATGTGGTTTATAAATATCTGTGTCACCAGAATGCAGAAAAGAAGGTTTGCCGTAGCCGGCCATGCCAATCCGTAGGTACGTTCCTCTTGGGTCTCGTCACAATGTGCAAACTCGTCCGGACGCTCCTTCTATCCCACCTCACGTAGCAATCTGGGCGTTTGGAGGTCTGAAATCTTGCATCGCGAACGAGCTTGAAGAGCTCATTTGATCTGCATTGTAGTTGAGTGCGATGGCCGGCTGGCAGGGGCGTTAAGATATCTGGATATTTTGGAGCGTGAGCTGCCGAGCCGAACAATGAACGTGGAGAGATCGTGCAAGGCCTGTCAAATGAAACACCCATCAACGATTTCTATCAAGCCGGCTCCAGAAGCTTGTCTGCTCTAGCCAGAGGGCACCATAGATCGTATAGGAAGACGTACGAGGGAAGAAGGATCGACAAAAAAACGTGCCGAGAAATACGCAGTTGACAAATCTGCGGGAGAAGAGGTTGTCAATAAGCGCCTGGCACGTGTGGAACAGCATTTACGACGAGGCTGGCAGTTACGGACGAGTATTCTCTGAAATGGTATTCTGCTGCACATGGTGCCAATGATGAAACGCAATGTCTGCTTTTCAGATGCTGTCCGTTGCTACGATGCCAGCTGTGAATAAAGTTGAGCCAGATACCAAATACAGACACACGGCAGATCGACACTTGGGTGGACGCCGGGCAGACCCCGGACAAAATCCATCAACTTGGTCGCACAACCTCGCGTCCACTCCTCGATGTTCAGCCTCATAGCTAGCAGTCCAGACTTCCATAGCTATGGTGTTACAGAACATATCTTTGACGAACGGCTTTGGAATTTTCTCTTCTTTTTTTTTTCAGAAAAGAAAAAGATAAGGACTCGCTGCAACTGGTCGTGGGCAAAAGGAGCGATTTCTGATTCTTGCCAAGGAAGTCGTCCTTATCTCGGTCAGGTGAAGCGCGAAAGATGCCTGTGTAATAGTTTAGAATGTTGTTGCGCCAAGTTTCGCTTCCAGTCTTGTCGTCATTTACGAGAGGTCCCGTCGGACAATTGTGTGGGGAAGGATTTATACTCCCGTTGGAGTGGCCGATGCAGCACACCCGATGCAGATCTTCTGCAAAAAGTTAGTTGTGCCTTGCGCCAAGCCATTCTTTAAATCCTGACTGAGACCAGTATGCATTCGACTTTCTTAGGCTGCGCCATTCACCATGAGCTCTCGGATGACAAGATGCACTTGAGGCCCAGAACAAGAGCATTGGCGTGTTGGCAGCTATGCCAAAATTCCTACTCCGCATCGTCTCGCACTAAAAATACTCTCAAATCATGGCTGCGCTTATGTTCTCGTTGTGACAATCATCGAGCGCCCAGCAAGATGCTCAAGACCGGCACTAGGATATGCTGAGAGCAATGGAATGCCACCCCATTAACCGCTGTAATGTGATCGATTTCGCAGCCCAAAATAGAAATATACACGAAAGGCCTTTTTCGAGTTGGCGTCCAGGACTCGATTCAGACGGAGAAAGCAAACACCGTGCGAGGAAATATGTCTTGGGGAGTCTTTGCGCATGCCCCCTTGTACAACACCGACTTGGCTGTTTGGTATGTCCACTGCATTGCCATGGCTTGGAAACGAAGCTCGTCCCACCATGTGCCAAACCGAGATCGGGTCGCGACCATCATTGATAATCATTTGAAGAAGAACAGCCGGCGGGGCCGCGCCAGAGTATCATCGTCAGTCTATTGCTGCGGACGCCGTGGCTGCGGAATCCCACTAACCCGTGATATCTACTGGCACGAACGGTTATCAGATCTCCTAGTAAGACATCTTACCGCCCTACCTACCGAAGAGCTGTCTGTCCCCTTGCAAACTATTTCGGTACATGCGTCTGAGCTGCTCCCGACCAGTATATATTCCATGTCTCTCCTCGCCGGAGTCTGAACTGTAGTCGATCCTCTTCAGCCGTCTATTCTTTTTCCCAACTTCCAGCAATTCCTCATCACACCAATCTAGATCACAATGTCTGCCACGAACGGAACTACGATCCCATCTTGGAGTCTCGAGGGCAAGGTCGCCCTCGTGACTGGCTCTGGTGAGTAATACTGTATTACGCGCAAATGACTTTACGGACACGGCAACTGAGAGTAATTCTTAGGCCGCGGCATCGGCAAGGAGATGGCCCTTGAGCTTGCCCGCCGTGGTGCGGATGTCGTTGTCAACTACGCCAATTCATCAGAGGCTGCCGACCAAGTCTGCGAGCAGATCAAGAAGATGGGCCGCCGCTCAGTCGCCATCAAGGCCAACGTCGCCAACGTCGACGACATCGTCCGCATGTTTGAGGAGGCCAAGGCGGCCATGGGCAAGCTTCACATCGTCTCTTCAAATTCAGGTGTTGTGTCTTTTGGCCACATGAAGGACGTCACCCCAGAGGAGTACGACCGCGTTTTCAACATCAACACCCGCGGTCAATTCTTCGTCGCACGAGAAGCGTACAAGCACCTGGAAGTTGGCGGCCGTATCATTCTTATGGGATCCATCACCGGGCAGGCTAAGGGAGTTCCAAAGCACGCCGTCTACTCTGGCAGCAAGGGTGCGATCGAAACCTTCACTCGATGCTTCGCCATCGATGCCGGAGACAAGAAGATCACGGTCAACTGCGTTGCTCCGGGTGGCATCAAAACCGACATGTACCATGCCGTATGCAAGGAGTACATTCCGGGCGGTGACAAGATGAACAACGCTCAGATCGATGAATATGCCGCCACCTGGTCGCCGCACAATCGTGTCGGGCAGCCAATCGATATCGCTCGCGTTGTTGCCTTCCTCGCATCGGAAGATGGCGAGTGGGTCAACGGCAAGGTCATTGGCATTGACGGGTAAGTTACCAGCCGACCCGAGAAAGTCGATGAGTCGCTAATTCCCTGTTCTAGTGCTGCCTGCATGTAAAGAAGTTTAAAATCGGTGAGCTTTATCACATCCGAGCGTTCCAAGTCAACCCCGTCGGCCTCACCAGGCTGGTGGAGTCACATATTAGACCGTCCAAACCGGCTCACTCGTGGCTTGCACTGCATGAGGACTGGCGGCAAGTTGCCCAGTCCTTGGGATTGATGAGACGTGTTTGCAGCGTGGCGTTCTTTGTTGGGCTCTCCGCCCACTGCTCTTTTTTCGTTCACCTTGGATGTTAGGCGTTATGCAAATTGGTACAAACGTGTAGCCTTGGAAAAGTTAAAATTATCATAGTAATACAGCACGTCCGCGTCGTTCCTTGGTATCCGACTCCACACTTGTCATCGTGATCGTGGCTGTCATGCCGGTGGCTTGAGCAGGCTGTCTCCGTAGCACAAACGGCCGAGCCCAGCGCATATACAGAGAAGGGGAGGTTGCCTGCGTTTGTCCAGTTCAGGGCTAGAATCCTTGGAACTGCTCGCGTCGATGCACCTGTTCAATGGTTCAGTGCTAAATTCCCAAGGTAGGAATCACAGTTCCATCCCGTGGTTGCGCATGATGCTTGCATTTCCCGTCAGTCATGCGTTCACGGCCCTCGTCTTTGGTAGCTAGCGCAGATGTCTTAGCAGCCTTCCACCGTTCCAAGACGTGGCCGTTGCTCTGAACTGAACGAGGCCCAGGCGGCTCCACGGTATCAGAAATGCATGCTCCGCCGGAACAAATGACGGGAGGACGTAGCCGGTGGGGAGGGCATCGTATCGGGATTTTCGCGAATTCCTCTCGCAGGAGTTCTCCTCGCCCCTGGCAGCGCGTGGGCTACGTTCTCACCGCAGCCGTTCGCCAACGCCAGGAAATCAGTCTTTTTTTCTCAACTTACCCCGCGCGTGGATGGTTTCGGGTGCACGGGTCATTGGGCGATGACCGCAAGAGCGAAGCCATGTTGGCAGCCGGCAGTCGAGCGAGGGAGTGTGGGAAAGACGAGCCGTGAGGTTGGGGAACAGAGGTCAAGCCACGACGGAAGATCCACTTTTGCTGCCGGTTGCGGTCGACGAACGTCTTGACTCTCTGTACAGGAGCTGCCATCCCATCCGCTGCTGCTCCACCGTCCGTCACATCTTCTTCTGCTGTATGCATCTTGATGTGAGACCCAGCATCTGGCGCCAGGCAGGATCCCAAGAGCCCAGCCTGGCGATGGCTCCAAGTGACGGGCTCCAGACCGTTTCGCCACGGGACATTGGCATCTCATGCATGCTCCGCGCTTCGATTTCCCCGTTGCTTGGCACCATACATCTTTCGCCAAAGTCCCCATCTCCCACGTACCTCGCACACGAAACAATACGAACCCGTTCGCGACGATTGCTCACGAGCCACGGCGGCGAGATAGAATGCTACGTTGCGCGCTTCCATCGTCGCAATTCGAGCGGAGGCTGAGAGACCAGTTCAGCGGCCCAGACTCGCCGAGCAACTTGCTCGCCTCGGGCGTCTTGGTCAAGGATCTCTAGTCACGTTGTTATACGTCTCACTCTGCTCGAGATTGCAGATTCAACCGCCTCGCCACGGCACTCCTGCCTTGCCCTGCCCGATTCAAGACCGACTCCCCCTTTCTGTCTGCACGGATGTGGTGTGTTTCCAAACTTAGACAACTAGCTTCATCTCGTGGAATCCGCGCTCGTCCGTAGTCTCCAGTACTGCCCGTCAAACGGATACGTGATACGGGTGCGGAGCAAGCTGCTCCTCATCTCCCCCGGGCGTTGTGGTATTGTTGGAAAGAGTCAGAACGGCGGCGTGATCACGGCTCACCTGGAATTTGCCTTTGCCCCAAAGATGATGGCCGTGAAAATTTCTAAACCATTCGTGCATCTGCTATTGAGCCTCTACCCTTGCTTCTTCTGAATCTGGTCCGTCTGTCATGTCCTTGCCTTGCGATCACCCGCGCTGTGCGGCAATAGTGTCATGATGGACTCGTATTTGCATATTTTTGCTGGTTACGTCTGCATGTTGAACGCTGAACGGAGCTTCCTAATCGTCCTTTGCATGTGACGACCGCTACCTCATGTACGTCAGCCTGGTACTTTTCGGTGCTCTCCGTCTGCATGCTTTTGCTCCAGGAAGGCCTCTGTTTGTCTTTGAGAAACCAAGCACGTGGATTCACAATTTTTCCGCTATTCTTTTCTACATGCCTCGCAACGCATGCGTCCAGCGATGAATTAATTGCGCACAAAGGGCATGGGCTGGTCGAGGTACAAAGTGTAATATTTTTAATGTTGTTAGAAAATATGAGTTCATACTGAGAATCTTTTGCGGTAATTGAATGGTAAAGAGTTTGTCGCCAGTCGCTGTCTCTTGTTCTCGTTGTATTTGATCACGACGAATAAAGGTCGTCGATAGTAATATCACCAGAAGATACCAGCAAGTGTTGCCAGCGCATTGCTCTCCTCTCCCGTCCTGTACGAATGAACAGCTTGTGTCCGAAAATCTTATCACGACTCATGGAGGCCCTTTTTTTCTTGGGTTTTCCCACCGTCGTCTTTTCACAATTTAGGCGCACATATGAAGAGTGAAGTTCGACGCCGCTCCAACAAACGTATTCCGCAGCTCGCCGACGGGATGACGAAGGGCCTTCGGCGTTCGTCCGGGAAAACCTCGACGGCCAAACGTGACGTGCTGCACCACATTTCGGGGTGATGTCGACACACAGAGACGTCGACAGAAGATATACGCGTGGCGAATCTCAGGCACTGTAGCGAAAAGCTAGCACCCGCTATACGTGTGCCGTCGTTCGTTGAAACATTCAGCGCCGTTCTTTTCCTCCTTTCAACCAGACCGGCCCGGTTCGTCTAACACAACCCGCCATGTCGGACAGGAACATCGTGCTGGCGTTTGACGCGTACGGCACTCTTCTGTCCACCGAATCCATAGCCAAGAAGCTCGCGAGCCATTTCGGCGAGGACAGGGCGAACGCGGTAGCGGCTAAGTGGCGACTGTATCAATTGGAATATACGTGGAGGGCAAATAGCATGAGTACACTTCCCTTGACTTCATTCGGCCCCACGTTTGACGGCTCATGCGCAACGTAGATATGTACGAGCCGTTTTCGTCCATCACGAGGAAGTCTCTGCGACATGCGCTCAAAGAGCAGGGGCTATGGCTCGACGAAGACGACGTGAAGGGCGTGATGAGCGCGTACGATTCACTATCTACATTTCCCGACGTAAAACCTGCTCTCGATGCAATCGTGAAGGAGAGAGACCTCACTTGCGTGGTCTTCTCTCAAGGCACGTACGCCATGGTGTCCGCATCCGTCAACAAATCCCCCGACCTCGGGCCTTACGCCGCCATCTTCAAGGATATCGTCGTGGTCGAGGAAGTGCGGAAGTTCAAGCCTGCGCCGGAGACGTACGACCATCTTGTGCAAAAGCTCGGAAGGCAGAAGGGCGACTTCGACGGTTTGTGGTTGGTAAGCGGGAATCCATTCGACATTGTCGGCTCGAGAGCGATGGGCATGAACGCGGTGTGGGTCGACAGGGCCGGCACGGGCTGGATGGACTCCTTGGGAGAGCCCAACTTGAGGCCGAGCATCATAGTGAAGAGTCTTGGTGAGGTCGTAGCAAAGGTACGGGCCTACGAGAGCGCGAGCGGGAACAGCGCTCGAGCATGAGGAGCTGGTTTTTCCATCATGGCCGTATACGTGGCTGCTGCCCGCGAGAGGCGGACAGTTTAACGCTCACAAATACGACACTATAGAGAGAATAGTCAAAGGAAATTGAACACACAGCGCCCGGGCGGTGCAGAGAATGTCTGTCACATCATTTACTCGCTACTCGTAGTGAAAAGCGTCTGCATCGAGTGGTAAGAGGACAGTCGTGGGTCGTATCAGTCTTCCCTCCCTTTCCCCTACAACAATCATGGTAAATCAAGCCATAGTGAATAGAAGGGGTTGAATGCAATTTTCATGAAGAAGTATGTTCACGTTTGACGCCGCGAAGATTTTTGTACCTTGGCCAGAAGGCGGTGAGTGGATTCTGCCGGCTCAGCTGAGCTCGCGTTAACCTACGCGTTCTGGAAACGGACGCGAGTGCTTTTTTTCTTCTTCTTCTTGCTTGACAATCAACAACGTGAATCTGCTGGCTGAATTTTTTGTCCATTTCTGAATAGAAGGGTTTTTTCCATCTCCGCATTTTTTGGTAACCTGCAGTTGGTGAGATACCAATTGCTTGATTGGTAAGCTGGGTGTCGAGACGTAAAGCTCTTTGAGCTGAATCCGATCTTATCGTGAACTTCGAGTAAAGGATCAGATGAAAGGATCACGAATACAGTGGGAGATCAAAGACATGTGAAATCATTCGCATTTGTACAAACGGCTCGACGTGTTGACATCGTGGAAAGCTCTGTTGGTGACCACGCCCGTTTCTTCGTCTCACTTTGTATTCACCCACCGCATGTAGCCGTCGGTCAGCTGCTTCGCCAGCTTCTTATTTATGGCGTCTTCTGCAAAACTTGGCGGTTGCTTCCGCCACTCAAGCCAATCTTCCGCTCGTGCTCCTGTCCTCGCGTCCATCAGCCCAACAGCGACATCGATCTCGCCCGGACGCTCCACCATGTGGTGCCAAAAGACTGTGGCGCCACATGTGCCGCAGAAGCTACTTTGTGTTAGTAGAAGCGTTTATCAGCTCCAAGACTGAGCAAGGCGACTTGCCGTCGAAACGTATCTGGACTGCTGTTGTACGTCTTCAGAGTGCCGAACTCCGTTTTAAAAGGCGACCCGTCAGCTGGTGTAATGAACATGATCGCGACAGAGGCCCAGCAAGTCAGCTCGCACCCCGTGGATAGACGACAGCTTGTGCACAAGCACGCGCTGGCAAGATATTTTGACGGATCACGAGCAACCCACCATGTGCGCTCTCCTTCGTCCTTCTCTGCAGTCCTCGACGCTAGATTCACAGACGGTATCTCAAGATGCGGAAATAGCTGTTGAAACGCCGTGGATGCGTAATCGGGCCTGGATATTCTGAATTCGACACCTCTGCACTGACAGTAGACATGCAGGACACTCCCCCTCTCTCCATCGCACACTCGGCGCTTGCTATTCTCCCATGCATCAGCTTCGAGGGACTCGCCCACACCGATGAACGTATCCCACTTTCTCGTCACGCGCTGGTCCAACCAATCGGCCAGCCCTCCGTCGACAGCGTGCGTCGCAAAGATTGCCTCCTTGTACTCAAAGACCGTCTCGTCTCCGCCTTCCACGAGGCCAGTGCTAACAAACCAATGTTGGTCAGCCTCGGCAAGGGCAATGAGTTGAGAACCACATGTGGAGCAGAAGAAACGGAGCACGTCCGAGGACGGGTGCGCACGATAGGAAGTCAGAGAAGGGCAGTGACGAGGGTCGGGGGTTGGAGGCGAGGGAATGCGAGCATGAAAGACGGAGAGGGTGCCGTGTATGCGGCGACATATACTGCAGTGACAGGTATGAGAGGTGAGGGGAAGGCTGGACGCGGGCACAGCAAAGGACAGCTTAGCGTTGGAACAGTGACATCGTGCTGTGAAGGTCTTTGATTCAGCCATCATAACGTAGTGAAATGGACACGATGACTTCTCGGGCAAGATCCTAGGTAGATGTATTCAACGCACACTCGACGTCATAAGACCACGACTTCTTGACCATGCAGGTCCCGACTCAAATGGCAATGGCGGCGCAGGTAGGACACAAGTCGACTGCTGAGTAATGCGCGTAGATCTGCGTCTCGCCGGGGCTATTTCATTGGAGACGTCGCGCGCCCACTGATCGACGAGACTGCGGGAAGGCGGCGGAATGCAAAAAGCGCGACTGAGGTGCTCGTTCTCCAGTGGACGGACCTACATATCAAGCCTTACGTGAGGCAGCGTTTACATTGCAAAAAGCGCACAATTTCCTTTTTGCTCACCTGGCACGTCCACGGTGTGCTTGGATGTCTCTCCGCTCGCTATGATATCGCAACGCCGCAGGTCCACGCCGAGGGCAAGGTGACAACAAGTAGGCAAGGATGACGTCTAAACATGCGCTCGCGCACGTCAGGCCAGAGACGGTCATGGGGCCTGGCGGCTGCCACTGTGCATTCTCCGTATACATATGCAGAACCCGCAGATGAGGCAAACACAAGAGGTGGCAGGTCCTCGAGCAAGAAAGAATGTGGCAGACGCGCTCTTTGGTTGGATGTGGACGCGACGTTTTCCTTGCGTCGCTGGTGGAAACGAAACGCGAACGCGACGCCCGCGGCCAGGCCAGGCCAAGCCCAAGGGTCCTTCTCTTTCTGCCTCTCCTCCCGCGCGCTTTCCCAGCTTTGCTTCCTGTTAATTATTGCGCCTGCCAAAACAGCACCGTCTCGACATCGCGCCTTCTTCGCCTCCTCTTCTGCGCTCTCCAGCCTTCCTCTTCGCCATCGCCTGCTCGATCCTCGGTCGCTTCCACATCTCCGCCCTCCCTCCCAATTCCAGACGCTCCCCGTGCCGCGTCAATCCTCTTGCCCGACCCCCCACCTGCAACAACACCAAAGCACGCCCACGCCGAAAACAGCCAACGTCGGCCAGAATGTCGGTCGTCACGCTTCTTGACGTGAAGGTGCTCAACAATCCTGCAAACTTCACCGACCCATACCACTTCGAGATCACCTTCGAATCGCTCGAGCAGCTGCAGAAGGACCTTGAATGGAAGCTCACTTACGTCGGTTCTGCCCAGTCGTACGTAGTCTCCCCGCCAATCTCGTCGCTCGTATACTAATGACCCAATCCAGCACCGAGCACGACCAGGAGCTCGACAGCCTAGACGTGGGCCCTGTGCCCGTAGGCACCAACAAGTTCGTTTTCGAAGCCGACCCGCCCAACACTGCCAACATCCCCTCTACAGAGATCCTGGGTGTGACGGTCATCCTGCTGACGTGCTCCTACGATGGCCGCGAGTTTGTGCGCGTCGGATACTATGTGAACAATGAATACACAGACCCAGAACTGGCCGAGAACCCGCCGTCTAAGCCTGTCATCGAAAAGATCCGTCGCAACATCCTGGCCGAGAAACCTAGGGTCACGAGGTTCGCCATCAAGTGGTATGTTTTTGCGGCGCGTGCTCGTCCATGAGTTTCTTTTCGAATGGGAGCCTGGTCCACGTCGTGGTTGAGCAAGTGTGGCTGATAACGCTATTAAACGTGTAGGGACACCGAAGCCTCGGCACCACCCGAGTTCCCACCCGAACAGCCTGATGCAGACGCCCTGCCAGACGACGAGGCCACGTACGGCGCCGACGAGGCCGCGGAGGAGGACGAGGAAGATGAAGAAGAACTTGCGGAAGGTGAAGCCGCGGCCGAGAACGGCGACGACGCCGAGATGGTGGACGGCGATGCGGCCATGAAGGACGACGGCGATGAGACCGACGGGAGCGAGGACTTGGAGGCAGAGTCGGATGGCAGCGAGGACGAGGTCGACGAGGAAGTTGACGAAGAGGTAGGAGAGGGCGACGGCGATGAAGATTTGGAGATGGGAGAGGCTGGGCCGACATCAAAGAGTGCGCACGATGGTGCAGCGCCCGAGGTGATGGCGCACTGAGCGGCGGTGGCACGTTCCTCAACGTGTTCGCATACTGGAAGCGCTCTTATCACCTTCAGGAAGAAACGCCTGCCCCTCTCAAGATGCGCGTTTTGTGCCGTTTTCCCTTCTGCCTCGCGATTCAAGCGACATGATACACCTCCTCTTGTCTTTTGTCCCTCCTCCTCCTCCTCCTCCTCCTTATTCTTCTTCTCTTTCCTTTGTGGTACACTGAATAGACGACGAACGACGCACGATGAACGAGCAGCGCTTGTTGCGCCGGTTATGCCGCGCGTTTAGCTGAAACGCCCTTCCTCCCCCTCCGTGACAAACTTGAAAACGGAGTGGCGGAGGTGCTGGCTGATGAATGGATGAATGGATGGATAGTAGCCTCTAGAGTACACCTGTCCATATATAACTTCGTTAATAGCATGGCGTTAGATGGCGAACATGAAGCTAAAATACAAGAAAATGTTAACCTGTCGCCTTCGTTCTTGTCCTCCTCGCGTTGGTGCTACAAAAAAAAAGGCACATGATGACAAGAGTACGCGCCTCACTGCTCAAACTGTGGCATCCTTGAGGGAATCATGAGACGGAAAATAAAAAAGAAAAAAGGGGGCAGGGGGGTCTTCATTGTCGGCATTGTCAGTTTTACCTGTGATTCAGGAGGTTTTTGCGCGGAGCCAAAAAGTAACAAATTATAACATGCAAAGGACGACCTCGCCTACCTATATACAAACGCCGTGCTTATGCTTTTCCAACATCACCCGCTTCCCATCTATTGTGTCAAGGGTTCTTTTTGACGGATCCCGTCACCGGTTGGTCAACAATTTCTGTCCTTCCTTGGCGCCTCCAGAGCCGCCCCTCTGCTTTGTGGTCAGGCAATACCTGTCCTTCAGGCTGACGAGTTCGTACTCTCCCTCCGCGCTGACCTTCCTGCGTACGCTCCTCTCTTCCGTGCTCTCGGTCTTCGTCTCGAGGACCTGACCGCCCTTGCGGCCCCCCGCGTTACTCCTTCTTACGTACGAAAACTCGAATGGCGGCGTGCCAACGAAGTCGAAGACTAGCTCATCTTCTCCGCCCTCGTGGATGTCGCGCCGCGTGTCCTTTCCCTGCGATACCGAGCCTCGTGGCTTGGGATGGAACATCTTCGCGACGTTGGTGACCTTGGACTTGCAGTCGCTGGCAGAATCGGTGATGGCGTCGATGGTAAATGCGCCTGGCTCATCGATTATGCGGCGGAAGGTGTGCGAATGCGTCGTCGTCGTGCGCGGCTTGCCCTTGAAAGTGTAAAAGATCTCAAAGGGCGGAGAGCCGCTGAGACGGAATGATACGTATTCGCCGACACAATAGTCGTTGCGCGTTTCTGCACTCGTGATGGAAGGTGCGTCATGCATTGCAACTTGGACGCGGGGATTGGTATATGTAGACTCTGGCCGACGTGATTCACAGCCGCGTGCGTCGCGTACGCTACGGATTGAGATATGCGAGTTACCGTCGCGCAAATATTTGTGCTGGATTTTGAGATTGTAGGCATTAGACTGGATATTGTCGAACGTGAGAACGTTGGGCCGGGCGCTGCCCAGATTCTTAACCTCGACTTCAACATTGAAGGGCGGCACTCCAGTGAGCGTAATGGGTATAAGCTCGTCTCTGCTGTCTTGCGAGGAAGAGCAAAAGTTGTACGTCTTGCCAGGATGAGTGAATTTAGCGCTTGGACGTGGGTGCACGCGTTGCTGAAGAGTGATGGGCGAGAAACTCCTTGGATCGTGATCATAGTTTTGGTCAGATAGCTCGGTAAGCCTGTATTCGTACAAGCCTGCTTTGGATGTTTCCAGTTGGATGGTAGCCGATGATAGCGCGGCATGAATGGTCTTTTTGCGCATGAATTTGGCCCCTTGATCGGGATTGTTGTGCTCCTCGTACACCAAATCGTATGGCGCATTACCTGAACGTGCCATTAGCGAAGTTACATCAAAGAGCAGAACAGAAAAGTAAATTTACCAGAGAATACTACCTCCACCGAGTCTTCATATCCCTCACACACGGCTTCCCGGATGATTTTCTTCCCTTCCTCCTTGATCCTAGGGTCTTCCACAATTCTTACCGCGGGTCGCTCGATCCAATCTACACTAAACTTTCTCCCCTCCTCGTCCACCTCGCCAGGACAGTGCCGATCTCTGATATTTAAAATTTCGTACGTGCCCCTAGACACTGCCTCAATTTTGGAGTTCTCGCTCGTGAGCACGTGAGTCGCCGTATGTCCATTGCCGTCCTTGAGTTGTACAGACCATGGTCGCTCGCCAGTGAGACGGATCGGTAGGCCGATTTTCTTATTCTCCAGCGTATGGACAGTGCGCTTTCCATCGACTGGCCCGAATCCGGCGCGTGGCTTCTGGTACCGTACCGAGAAGCTAACCTCTTCTTTGAGATCCTCTTCGCAGCCACCAGCCTGAACACTTGTGATGGACACAGTATAATCGCCACCGACATCTAGTGGATGCGTCTCGATTGTGAAGTTCTCGTCCTCAATATTCTCTTCCTGACGCTTGATTCTTCGGCCGCCAGGCAATACGATCTCGTACTTCAGGTTCCATGGCCCATCACCAACGAGCCTCACAGGGAAGGAAGCACGCTCGTTCAGGCACAAAGGTTCGCCGAGGCTCTTGACCATAAAGTGAGCTGAAGCAGCCGGCTTGACACTTTGCTCAAACTTGCCATTATCGTTGTCTGTTGGTAGTGAGATGGCCTTGTAGTATCGATCGCTGATCTGACTGAACTTATATGTGTAGTCGCCCGCATCAGGAGGTTGTAGATCCAGTTGACCACGCAGTCCGTTAACCTTGAACGTCTTGTGCTCCACACCCCTTGTGCCTTTCTTGCTAACCGTATAGTCGAGAGTGAATGGTGGTGAGCCCACCAGGCTAAGCGAAATTCGCAGGCCAACCGGGTTCTCCTGGCACTTGTCCTTGATCTGCTGGACGCCAAACTCAACCTCAGGCATGGGTGGATTTTGTAGCATGCATGAGGCCGGCTCGCGAACTTCACCCGCACAGAAGGGTGTAGAAACGCCCACGAGCGAGTAAAGCCCGCTCTCTCCGATCAACAACCGATCGTCTGGGTTTTTGAAGTCGAACGACTTGATAGTCATGGCCTCGACGTTATGTTCGCCATCTGAGTGGACCGCATCCGAGGGGGTAAACTGGTACACGACAGTGTGTGCAGTGTCCACAATAGGCGTCCCGCTGTACGAAGAAAACTTAACGGGAAGTACCTCCTTTTCTCCCTTGGCTACTCTAAGCGGATGTTGCGTGTCGCAACCCGAGGGCCGCTCGCCGTGACCTCTCAGCGACACAATCGGCCGCTCGTGCACCGTAAAAATCTGCTGGCTTTGAGGAACCTTGCCTTTCCCACGCATCTCATACTCATCAAGTTGCGCTTCATAGCTTACAGTGTTCCCCATTGCATCCTGCACCTGGTCTACAGCGTACCAATACGCACCGCTTGTCGTCAGCGTCTCATTCACGGGCACCACGATGCGTCGGGCGCGTGCCCAGGATGCGTCGGTTAGCTCGTCCTGTCGGATAAGCGCTTGCTGCTGTCGCGCAAATGGCGACACAAAGTCGTCCGGCTGGATGCTCTGAAAAGACGATTCGATGACATTGGAGCCGACAACCTTGCGATACTTGACGCGTAGAGGAGGTGTCCCGATTACCTCGAAGCCAACATCCGAAAGATCGCCACGACACTTATTCGGATTTGTCGGAAGGACACGGGCTTGAGGGCACTGCACGACGATGGCTTCGGATTTCTTTGGCCGAACCTCAAGTTTGGATTCGTCGATTATTGAGCGAATCGTGTAGAGACCTGTTTTCTTGACCGGGAAGCGAAGAATTAGTGGCTCAGAAGGGCTGTGATTCTTGCTATTTTGGAGAGCTGATTTGCGGGCCTTGCGGAGTGTGGAGCCAGAAAAGGAGAGGATATCTGTATCCTGAGTGTCGAGATCCTGGCGGAGCAGCTCCATGGAGACTGGAACCGTCTGGTTGATCTGAATAGGCAGCTCTATAGAGGCTATTCCGCCGCCTATGCAGAATGACTCGCGGGTAGGGTTAAGATATGCCGAACTGTGAACACACGCGTCAGCATCACTTCGCATGCAAGTGGCCTCCGGCCCACGAGACTTGTAAATGATTATACGCACCCTTCTGGTAAGATATGCACAATGTGTCTTCCACTCAGCAGTTCGTCATCCCGCAGGATATCGGCTGGCTTGACCTTTCTTTCGCTGATGCCAGTCTCTCGATCGTATAACAGCTTGACCAAACCCCACATCCACGCCCTAACGGGCAGGCCAATCTGAAACATGAGGCATCCATTGAAGACGACGTGAGCGAAGAAGATGACAGTGATGCTAGGGCTCGAGAATTCCAGCCAAGGTATGTGGAGTGCTGGCAGGCCAAAGAGGAACGTCGAATCGATGAATATCCACTTCATGAATAGCCATAACGACTCATTCTCGCCCGAACGAAGGAGGTTGAAGAAGTTGTAGAGGCGCCAGAACCACAGGCCGACGTAGACGGCGACGACCACGAGACGCTGGGTTGCTGCGTCCACGACGTCAAGCGGGATCAAAGGTTCGCTGGAGGATGGAGGGGGTGAGGATGAAGACAATTGCGGTGTTTTCTTCAGCGTGGATATGTCTGGTAGCTTGCGCCCGCCGCTGCCGGCAGGGGGCGATGCTGCTGCGATAGCATTTGTGCGTCTGTTTATCGTTTGCGGCGTATTGGGCCAGGCGCCCGTTCGAAGGCGAGGTGTGCCGTTCATGGCATCCTCGGTGCTTATGCGCTTATTGTGTCAGTGCAGTCTTCATGAACCACTCTGTGTTCGAATCGTGTATCATCGAGTCGATTTGAAAGACGCAAACGAAGCGGATGCAACAGAGTCGGCCTTGACCAAGCTGGACGCGGTGGGTGAAGGCAAAGGGACGCGACTTTTTGGACAAGCTCCGTGGCCAATCAGAGGCCGCGACCGCATCGATGTTCTGCCTTACCATCGCCCGCACAAGCGCTCGCTCAACCGACATGCAGACGTCTGCCATTCCATCTGTCGATGTACGGCCGTTCGCCAGAGCCTCCTGGATGGATGGATATGATTGCGTCTACACAATGCAGCACGTAGCATTGTGCCGCCATTCCTGCCTGTGGTTCTCCGTGTCCACTTTATCGCCGGCCTCCTCGGTCATCACAGCACACAACTTCCGCTTCCACCAATAAGAAACATATCGCAGGAGCAAGCAAGAAGCACTTGAAATCAAGGAAGCTCTCATGGTCCTGGAATTCATCTTCTTTTCATCTTCGGCTGAAAAAGCTCTCGATATTCCCCGCCATGCTTCGGGATTTACACCTGTTTTTGACTGCTATCTGTCGTCGCTTGGCTCCGCACTTACTGCCTTCCTAACCCAGGCTTCCATTTTCACCGTCCTGTGCTCGCTCTACGGCCTCCAGGAGCTCGCCCGTTCTTTTTCCTTTTTTTGACCAGTCATACTGTGGATTAAACCACCTGATTTCTTCGTTTTGGAGCATCATTCCATGCACTCCTTTCCCTACCTAGAAGTTGCTGTCACCATGACTCGACAAAAGCAGCATATTCTCCGGAGTTGGTCTGAGAGACAGATTTCCATTGGAGAGGGTGCTCCAGCGGCCCCTTCGCAAGGCTCGATATCAGAAACTCTACAGGAGGACTTGGTTCACGTGGAGACGAGCGACACCGCTCAACCACAAGCTGTGCCTGCCGCGTCACCGCTGCCTTCAGCTCAAGTGTCGTCGGAAATGACATACCAAGAAAAACTCAAGGATCTTAGAAGCACAGCGGACTCCTCGATTCTGACCACATCAAATCCCCCTGCCTTCGTATATCACACACAGAATGCCGCAAACACCGATGCAGAGATCAGTGCAGATAACACCGCTACGACCAGCAGAGGGAAACGCTCACGGTCTCTCGAGACCACTCTTGCAAATTTACATGAAAAGCGCCCACGAGCACAGGGACCACCTCCCATCAAGCTGAACGAGGACGACTTCCATCCGCCGTACAAGCCTCTCACTGACGAGGAACGATCCTCTTGGAAAGGCTGGGTCGAAGTCCTTTCCGAGCCTATATACATGAACACGATGCTTCGCGACCTAGGCGTACGTGGCGTTATCGCTGCCGAGATTGTCACACTTGAAACAAGCATTCTCTCACTCGAACAGCCTATCTATGGCCTAATCTTTTGCTTTCAGTACCAGGACGCGGACCACCATGTTCCTGCCGCTGACGTCGAGCCTGATCGCCCAGCGCACGTCTGGTTTGCGAATCAACTTCCTGCGACTAATGCATGCGCGACCATCGCAGTGCTCAACATTCTGCTCAATGCAACTGAAGTGGAACTTGGGAAGCCACTGACGTATTTTAAGGAGGACACGAAAGAATTATCGCCGATGGAGCGAGCTCACTGCATCAATGAACACGAGTTTATTAGGGCAGTGCACAATTCGTTTGCGTCAAGGATGGACATATGGATAGCGGATCGGTTGTTTGCATCACGATATAGGGAACAGGTCAAGAAATGGAAGCAACGATTGAAAGATGAGGAGCGTGCTAGAGAGGCGCGGGCCAAAGCCGCAGAAAAAGCGGCGCGAGCAATGGAGAAGAACCAGAGCCCTCAGCAACAGACTGAGAAGAAAACGCCTAGGGCCACAAGACCAAAGCGGGACATGATGACAACGAGTGCAAAGAAAAAATACAAGTACAGGAAGCCCCGGGGGAATGAGGATGATTGTATTGGCGACGACGATAGTGCCGGTGATGCGGAGTCAGAGCCGGCGTACGACAATGAAAGTGCTTTTCACTATGTGGCATATGTGCCTGTTGGAGGACATGTTTGGCGTCTCGACGGCATGAGTGCTCAGCCGCAAGATATAGGACCCTACACGCACATCGACTCGTGGCTTTTTGACGCAGCACCACACATACAATCTCGAATGCAAGCCTATGAAAAAAACAGTGGGATGTTGTTTAACCTAATGGCATTGGTCAAGGACCCAATTGATTCGCAAAGGGAGAAACTTGCCGGCCTAGTGAAAGCACTACGCTTTGTCGAAGAGAGTTTGAATAAGATAAATGTGGGGTGGAGAAGCCACGCGGCTCATTTCGGGGAAGATGCGTTACAGAAGATGATCGAAGAGTTCTGTATCACCGAGGAGATGATAGCTGCTTCTCCGACGCTTGAATTCGAGACTCTGGATCTGGGGAAGCTGCTGAAAAAGAGAGGGGAGATCGCGAGAGAGCAAGAACAGCTAAAGGAAGAACTACGACTTCAGATTATCAGGCGGAAGAATGAGCATATCCAAGTGCAGAAAGACAGACTCGATCTGAACCCTACGATTCATCGCGTGCTTCTCCACCTGGAGGAGAATGGGAAGGTGCATGACCTTCTGGAGCGCTACCGCTGAACCGCAATCCGAGGTGGACATTAGGATTGTGCGAGCGCGAGCCTTATAATTTCAGAATCTTTGGGTGCAAAAGTTGAGAGTACAGGCTGGCGATCATGTTGGTTGACATGGTTGGTGTGTGTGGACTCCGAGATGAATAGATGGATGAACGTATTGACGCAATCTCACTCTATGAAAATGTGCCGTGCCGAGCTCGTATGAATTTGTCACCAGTAGATTGAATGTCGGCGCAGCATTATTCAACAGTCCCGCCGTTAATAGTCTTTTATGCTTGAGGCGCTTTTCTGCTGCTTAGGCGCGAGAGAGGATTGTTGCGTTGTTTAGATGCTAAAATCATCCCTCACGCACGTCCAGACCTATCACAGAGCATAGTCACATTCAAACCCAGACAGCTACATGCTAGTGAGGACGAACTAATAAAGAACAAGGGTGAACGAAGCAGATGCGTTGGGAAAGGGCTCTGGAACCTCAGGAGCAGCTAATTCAGATATGCTGTAGTAATGTCTGCTCTATAATATTTGCAAATGTTCCCTGCGAAAATCGAGAAAATGTGAGATGGTACCAATAAACGCCGGCAACTACGTAGATTAGCGTGACAAAAGATGGCAAAGAGCAACTCAGCCATTTGGTAGGCGACCTTGACTCGACGTTGTAAAGGACATTGGGCAGAGGTTGTAATCATCGCTCCCACGATTGGTGAAGCGCGTGGACGGAGGAGAAAAACGCCAAGACCGTGCACGCAAGATCCACCAAAGCTCCGAACCTCAGTCCAGCAGCGGGCTCATTATCGCCTCCGCATTCCATATCTCGACCACCTTCAGCACAGCCAATTGATACTCAATCGGACTCGCGGCGACGTCTGCCAATTGAGCATCATGGCCTCACACGGTTCTGGGCCCGCCATGCCCGCCCGCGACTTCGAGCCCAAGGACACGCTCGCGCAGACCTTTAGGTTTGGAGCCACCACCGGCGCATTCGGCGCCATCTTCGCCGGTATGTTCGTCCTCTGGCTGGCCGAGATGGCCCTCGATAGCGGAATCTCGACGGCGTGGCTGACACGATGATTCAACGCAGGCATCCAGAATACAATGACCCGGCGTAACCCTACCTTCTGGGGCTTCTTCACACGCTTCGGCGGCACGACCGTAACCTTCGCTGCCACGGGGGCGACCTATGCCTTCGTCAAGAACTTCTCTGCCAACTTGCGCGAGACGGATGACTCGTGGAACGCCGCGTACGGTGGTTTCCTCGCCGGCTCGATACAAGGCCTTCGTCGTACGTGCCTCACTTTCGCTTCCAGACCCGCTCAAAGTCTCTGTTCCACTTTCCTCCATCCGTCATTCGGGCTCTCCGGCCACCTTACCCACGTGGCCGCACGATTCGAGCAGAACTAATCGATTGAGCAGGCCTCTCCTTCCCCGCCTTTTTCGGCTACGGCTCCGCCCTCGCTTCCCTCCTCTTCATCTTCGACTACACGGGAAGCCGCTGGAGCGTGCACAGTCGTGACCCAGACGTCGACGAAGTCGCACGCAAGGAGATGATCCGTAAGAACAGGAGGCGACCAATCGCCGAGACGATCGCGGAGCTGGGCGAAGGCCGAGGCATCGAGGCTCCTGGTTTTGAGGAGAGAAGAAGACAGAGACTCAAAGAGACATATGGAATCGATCTGGATGCAGCGGGTGTGCCTAGTTCGAGGCATTAGAGAGAGGCTGCAATATCCAAGAAGGAGTAAGAAGGCCGTAGGGAAAGTGAACGATGAGAGCAAGCGTGGAGGCGAAGTAAGAAGACAGTGTGGATCATGTATATAAACCAACTGGGCTGCGCATACTGACACATGGCGTACATTCAGTTTGCAGCAACGCATACAAATGCGAATGTGCTTCTTTTGTTCCTTAAGCGTACACCTGGGTATATGACCATCGTCTACTTATGCTGGATATCGATTCTCTTTACCATTCCCCCTCCCAACATAGCGATCTCACTGACAATTCCCTCCTTGTTTAATTTTGCGCTAAACGTGTCAGCGGAACTGCTGCGCACAGGCACAGAGCTGTACCCCAGACTCAGCTTCCAACTCCTCTCCTCGCAGCTGGGATTCCACAGCCCAGGAATGACATCCCCACCATTGTCATCGTAGAAGAATACGAGCGCTTGCCCAAACACGCGCTCCAGGTCCTCAAGAAAGAGTTTCGCAGGGTCGAAGCCTATCGACGCTGTGGCGGCCATATCAAGGTCCCCGTCGTGGCCATTTTGCAAATCCAGATTTTTATATGCCGACTTCGCCTTCACGCCTTTTCGATGCACGTTTACGACAGTATTATCGAGGTGAATGAGGATGTCGTAATCTCCTAGACTGCTCTCGAACAGAGCCTCTGGGACGAGATTCACTCCCTCTTCGTTGAGAAGATCAATTGCCGCTTTCGCCAGGCTGACCAGTCGCCCCGCAACCACTTTCGCAGGTCGTGCGTTATCCGTCCACGTATTGCCTTCGCCATCCACATTACTTCCCGCGAATAGTATGACTCTGTTCATCGCAGGATCGATCTTGCGCCAGGCGTCGAAGCGAGTGCGTATTGAATCAACCTCCTGGCTGTGCATTTCAGAGCCGAGATCAACAATCCAAGGCTCACTGCGCCAGTCCCATTTGCTCAGAAAAAGTAGCGTGCGATAAAGTCCTGTTTGTGGACTAGACGCAGCGGCCCAGGGGTGTGGGTTTGTGAAGGCCTTGGCTGCGAACAAGGTTGTGAGGTAAGGAGAAATATGATTTGAGAGTCTGTGTGAGCCGATCCATTTCGTAAGTAGACGGGCCGTTCCTGAAAAAGCTGGGTAGCGTGTAGCCAGGGTTTGCAGAGCCTGCGTATGCGCCGGCTCCTTTATGAACACACGCTTGTAAGCTGCAATCGCAGACGCGACGTCCTGTCTCTCGAGATTGGATAATGTCTTGTCTTTTAGTCGTCTCTCCAACAATGTCAATTCTCGATCGTGGTGAATCCGTATCCTAAATGCAGCACCAAACATCTTGCTGGACGGATCGCCGATATAATGCACATCCAGAAAACTTTGATTCAGTAATGGCGCATCCTCATTCTCAATCCCAACACGTGCACGGATTGCTTCAGAGCTTCTTTCAAGGAGTTCCGCAATCTTAAGGAAGAAGGCCATTTTGGTACGTTGAATAGCGTCGAGGTCGTCCGGCCAACGGGCTGAGCCCTCAAACTGCAGGATGACCTCTGCGGGACGGGTCATAGTTCGATGGGGGAGCAGCGGAACGTCAACGGAAGAATAGGAGAGGTAAGAGTCGCTTGCCAAGAGATGGCGTATCTGAAGAGGGATATCGTCGAGGGCTCTCAGGTCTTGTTCAAATTGTCTGAATGCTTCCATCATAGGTTGAAAGGGTGAGGTACTTGCAGACTTGGAACCGGCGGCGTGCGGAAGCAACGCAGCATCTGCATCGCCGTTGTATATCATGCCTTTCAGAGCACTCGCACTCACATGCTTTTCGATGATGTAAGATAGTACGCGGCGGAAGACTGAGAAGCCAGTTTCGTCCTTCGCAGGCCAAATGACAGTCTCGAGAATACTGCCGTCTCTGAAACGGCGCAGCTCTGCCTTTTGACCCCAAAACTTGCGAAATTTCGCTGCAGCAATTTTATCCTCCGCAGTTGGACCATGGTCAATCAGACGATGAGCGTTCGCAGGATCAAGTATGCAGCCAAGGAGCACAGCGCCTTTCCTGGTACCAGCGGCCCTCGAGCCAATCGGCCAAGTCTCATCCTCTGGCATTATCAAATTTATCAATTTGACTCGATCTGAAAGACCTTCCGCCAGATTGTTGTACATCGCAAGACATTTTTCTTTGATAAGATCAGAAGTAAAACCTGGCCCTTCATCGACTAAGCTCACAAGCGGCAATGCAACGACAACATCGTATCGGAGGTGCTGTCTATCACCTCTCAAAATAAATGTCTCGTTGAAGTGATCGAAATTCGAATCACTCAGCATGGCGACTGTTGTTCGCGCCTCGTACTGCAGCAGTTTGTACGACCAGGGTGTCATCTTGAACAAGATGTTCAGACCACGTTCCGCATCGAACAGAACCGGCATTCCCTCCACCTTCGGCAGTTCAGGCTTTTTGCCCCCAAATATTTGTGGCGTTTTTGCCAGGTCGCGTGTTGCAACATATTGCAACGCTGCTTTGAAGAGCTGATAACTGCTGTAGCCTGAAGAAAAGGCCGGCATGCCGTTAGGGCCACCGCCGTGAAGTAAGAGAGCGATAAGAGCTGACCATTCGAAGTTACCGAAACCGCCGCCTCGTATGCGTGCTGTGAAACCTCGTTGGCGCAGCCAGATGCGGCCGAGCACACATGCGTCTTTGTAAGCGTCACATTTTTTCGTTGCTTGATACTGGAGCTTCAAAAACGATGAAACAAGTCCATCCACTCGAATCGAAGCATTATAGAATGGGGTTGGCGCGAGTGTCTTCTGTGCACTTGCTGACTCTTCGTTGTCTTTTGGTCGTACGCAGTTCCTGTTGGGCAACAGTTTGTCTCGAGAGAAAAGATCTTCTGATACCGATGGCAGAATAACAACTTTGAATGTTCTGCATGGCAAGTCGTGACTGGGATGTGTTTCTTGATTTATTTCCACAATTAGAATTGGGAGCAATTGATTGCCATGCAGATGATCAAAACTGAGCTTGTACTTGTCCTCGCGGTTATCCTTGATACCGGCTGCCAAACAGGCCAGATAATATGCCCTCTTATAAAAGTAGCGATAGTTGAGGTAGTCTTTTTCCTGGAAAATGTTGCTTGGCATGGTGATGACCAGATCAATGACAATCTCAGAGCCAGACTTTGTACCCAAACTGAGTGGGAAGCTCCCAACAGCATTAATGTATGCCGGCTTTGCGTACTGTAGCTTATACTGTGCATCTTTCGGCGGCCGCGGTTCAGGGAAGGGGACAGCAACATTGTCTCGCTTTCGCAACGCACCCTCTGCCTCCATGATCCAGGTGGGTGATCTCTCCGGAATGTTCTCAATTATGCTCTTTAGTTTTCGGAGCGCCCGTTCGATAGCTTTATCCTTTGGTGTGTACTTCGGTCGCACTTCTTGTAAAAGGTCGTCGACCTGTAGCTTGAAGATGTTTGACTTGTAAGTTTCGCCCGTCAAAGCGACAGCGGCGCTTAGCTCTCCATACGGTCGCCGCTGGGGGGTAGGTCTCGTTTCCGCTTTTGCCTTCGATGGATTCATCGATTTTTCCACCGATGCTCCATCCTCGCCGTCATCATCGTCATCAACTTCGCTTCCGCTTCCACTGTCCTTCACATTCTCCTCGCCCGAGTCGTGATCGGGCTGTGTAACCTCGCCAATCTCTACATCGTCTTCCGAAAACGAGGCAAACGAGTCTTGCTCAGATTCGTCATCGCTAGGACTAAGCCTCCGTCTCTTTGCAGCCGGCTCGCGCATTGTGTTGTGTTCAGCGGTTCATCCACATGCTCTCAAGGAATAATTTTTTGGTGGAGCCTCGAGCTTTTTTGACCGGGGGTCCGACGCTTTCGTGCTTGAAAACTCCGCAGATCCATGAGGACGCCACGGCAGCGGTGGCTTGAAATTTCGGGCATGCGATATCGGCGGTAGCGATGAGATTCGCGGTCGTCGAGAAAGTGGAGACGATCAGATCGGACATTTGATCAGGGTTGAAATATTCTTAGACATAGTTTCCTGTCCTCTCGATACTGTCGCTACGCTCTCGTGCAGAACAGATCAGACATTGGAGCGCGAGAACCACCAGAAGACGCAATGTCAACAACGACGGCCATGGAAACCAACTTGGAGTTGGGCGAAACGATTCCAGCATTGACGGCGCACGTAGGTTTTTAAGAGCATGGATACGGTCGTTCCAACACTGTTGCTGACAATGAGCAGGCCGTCAGCGTTTCGCTGCCAACCTGGCGCTCTAACGTGAGCTACGAAGAGGGCGAAGAATGGGTGTTAAGCAAGATGAAGACTGGTTATCCTCGGTGAGTCATGGCTCGCGCTTTTGTACGAGGAGCTGGCATTGATAGACAATTGAAAAAAAGGTTCTTCATCAATAAGACTATCGAAGCGCTCGCAAATACTATTCTTGAGCGCTATGGGATGCCAGGTGAACGAGCGATGCTCTTTCCGTCGGCTACGACCGCTAGGCGCTGCGTCACATTTTTTAGACAGCATGCTCTAGACGTTCCTGAGCGGCACCTTCGAATATTGAATTTTGAGTTGAAAGAGCCAGACCAAATGAAGTATGCATCCCCAAAGGTTTCTGCCGTGCTCTTTCCTGGCGAGCACTGGTCAGTAGCAAAACAGTACTGGCAGCACACTGGCGACGGTGTCTCCAGCCGTCGCGCTCAGTACTGCCACGAGCTTCTCAACGCTGGAATCCTTGAAGAGAAGAGGGAAGACGTGCCAGTGTTTTGCAAAGGACCTCGCCGTTACAGAGATAAGAAGAGTCTGAGTCAGGACCTTACGGCCACTATTAATGGCGCATCAGACACCCAGGACAGCACCGCGTTCATTGAGGAGCGCTTTGGCCGAAACCTTGAACTACAATTTGCAGAGAAGGCAAAATCGGCGATCAGGCGGAGGATAGCTGGCACCCTCACCGCAGATGTGCCGCTGGAGGATGCATTGGAATTGGAGCAGGATCAAGCGAGGAAGAGGGATGTTGCCGGCCTCTCAGAAGATGATATATATCTTTATTCGTGTGGGATGAACGCCATCTTTAATACGCATCGGACCCTCCTGGCAGCTCTGGGCTCTATGAAGAGTGTTATGTTCGGTTTCCCATATGTCGACACACTAAAGATTTTACAGAAATTCGGGCCCGGTTGCCTCTTCTTTGGACGTGGAGAATCCGAAGACCTGGATGACTTGGAAAGGAATCTAGAGAACGGCGAGAAATTGCTCGCGTTGTTCTGCGAGTTCCCCGGCAATCCGCTCTTAAAGTCGCCAGACCTAGCCCGAATTCGAGCTCTGGCCGATAAGTATGATTTTGCAGTCGTGATTGATGAGACGATAGGCAATTTCCTCAACGTCAACGTCTTGCCGTATGCGGATGTTGTTGTAAGCAGTTTAACTAAAGTTTTCAGTGGAGACAGCAATGTCATGGGAGGAAGGTGAGTTGCGACTATGAACAGGCCTACATCCGCTTACTAACTCCGACGATAGCGCAATACTCAATCCTCGAGGTCGATACTACTCGCATCTGAAAAAGGTGTGGGATCAAGAATTTGAAGACAACTACTGGGCAGAAGATGCAATCTTCATGGAACGCAACAGTCGCGACTTTGTCTCTCGGATTGACCGTATCAACGCAAATGCAGAGGCTGTGTGTGAAGTTCTTCGTCAGGATCCACGAGGTACGAAGGTCTCCTCAATTATTGACCGCGTCAAACCTAGGTTACAGCGCATAGTTGCTGACACCACTTCATGTAGTGAAGCAAGTGATGTATCCCAAGTACAACGCTTGTCGTCCTTTCTACGAGCGATGTCGAACCGCAAACGGGGGCTATGGTGGCCTGTTATCTGCCACGTTTCACAAACGAGAACATGCGATAACTTTCTTCGATGCTCTAGACACTGCAAAAGGCCCTAGCTTGGGGACCAATTTCACTCTCAGCTCGCCGTACGTTATATTGGCACATTACAACGAATTGGATTGGGTGAGTGACCGTTTTCCCCTTGCATATCTGGCGTCTTAGGCTGTTTCAGCAGATCAGCTGTTCAGGCGACCTTTGGTACAACAGAATCCTGGTTGACGTGACTGCAGGCTGAATCCCTCGGGGTTGAAAGAGACCTTATCCGCTTTAGTATTGGGTTGGAAGACACCAATGAATTGGCAGCCACTTTCCGAAACGCTCTGGCAGCGATAGATGATGGCAAAGCCGTATCTGCGTCAGGTCAATGACAAGCGAACCAAGACAGGTAAACGGTGCTAAGTAAGTTGCTCTCCGTGTTTAAATCCTTCTAGAAGGATGCATAGAAGGCGGATGACTTAAATGTACTCCTTAAGGGTTTGGCGACGCATGAAGGATCTCGACTGATCAACGTGTGTTAACAGGCACGTAAGTCGGAAAGTTGCCTCAAATGTGCAATCTTGAGGCGTGCGCCAACCTTCTAGAAGCTGCATGGAAGGTGCCTGGACGCTAAGACGAGTACGCACTGTATAAGCACGAGTAAGGGTTGTCAATTAATTTCGAATAAAGAGGAGCGACGGTGGCGAATGTCATGGTTGGTGAATCATCATCTGTGCTCTCTGTACAGCCGAATTTCATGCCGACATCTGTGTTCAACTCACAGAATGCGCACAAATTTCTGTCATTGCCGGATCAGCAACAGCTTGCGGTGAATCACTACATGCAGAGCAAAGGCGGGTGATTTGAAAGAACCCAGGGGATCTCATGATGCTGTACAACATCTCTTGACGGCCTTCAGCGCACCGTCTGACGAAGGACTCCGCTTTTGAATGTTGTCTGGTAGCGAAGCTAGATGCACAACAATGAGCGCTTGGTGAGACATAAGTTCCCGATCTAGCCATTGCAGTGAAGATGCCACGATGAATGCAGTAGAAGTCCATTGTTGACAGATCCGGTGTCATCTTGTAAATGCCCTGCCATCACTGGAGCGAACGAGGGGTTTCAATAGATCACCGCAGATAGTATCAGGTTGAATGGAAGCCCTGATGAGCGGGGAATCGGCTTGGAAATGGGACTAAATCCTACCGGGCTACTGAACGTCAAAAAGTCCACCATGCAGCATCCGAGCACGTGCAGATGTCGCTCCCGCGCTTCTCTAGGAAGACGGTGTAAAGGTGGCTGGATGTTTCAATGCTGTATGAATGATGGTGCGCACAGACCAAAATCCCAAAAGTCTTTACTGGCCCGTCTTTGAAGCTTCTACAGAGTACCTGCTTGAGAACCATTCAGCCAGATATCATTGCTGTCGGTCCACCAGGTTGCTAGATGAGTCGTGCCAATGCAGACAGGATTGTTGTGTTACGCACACGCGCATAGATCTTGGCTCCATAGCTATTAGCAAGTTTAACCGCATCCGTTCAACGTTACCATACGCTTTGCTTTGCGATCATCGTCAATGCATTCACTCTATACTGCCCATGGAGCTCGACCCCTTGATCGACACCAAGCTAGGAGACGAAGAAATCATCCGGCCTCCTGAAATCTTAGCGTCAGAGTACAGCTTGTAGGCTCCAAAAGCAGCAACTGACGGTAAAGATTCCCAAAGCAGACTCATCACCAGCGGCGTCGCTTTCGATGCTGAGAGTGCATCAAGGTCGAGTCATTGGGTGCTCACTGATGTGTGAACAGCAAATACGGCAACAGGCTCGAGACTTCCGTGCTCTGGAGAAACTTACACTTTAGAGTCCGACTTCACAAGATGGATGCACCGCGACAAACGGTCTCTTCCTCCGGCTCCCCCCGTCTTCGTGCGCGCTGCAGAGATCTTGACCCGAGTGGATGCTATTTTGCTTCTGTTTTTTTTCCACTTGTGACTCAATTTGCGCTCAAGCGCTTAGGCTGGCCGAGGCTGCATCGGGCAGATTTAAGGGCGCCAAAAACGGAGAATATCGCGCGTGTATCTGTCCTATCATGGCAATCTCGTTGCAATCGATCTTTGCCTATCTCAGGTGCCTTGCATCGCTTTCTCCGACCTATTGCAGAGACATGACCTCTCGATTGTTCGTGCAGCACATGGCTGGGGCCTTGCTTTCGCACAAAGCTAGTCAACGGGATCCTACACTAAGAGCCTTCCGCGGACGCCACCATCTGCCAAACGTGATTTACATCTGCTTCAAGCGTTAGATTCAGCTAGCGCAGACGCGACGTAGTCACTCCGGTTCTGGCTGGGGCGTGAATTCTCAACGTGACGCTCACTCACGCCTTGCCCTGCGCGCTTTCTCTCCATCTCGGCCTCCTGCTGGGTTGCATGAGTCCATGGTGGGATGCACTCCTGGGCCCAAACGTGGGTCACCAACTGATGGTCAAGTGCGCCCACCACGGGCAACGGATTTGGAATAGACTGGAGAACAAGGCGAGGTAATCGTTAGGATTTGCAGCTGCAGCGCGGAAGTCAAAAATAACGGTATCTTTTAAACGAAGATGGTTGTGGGGACGAGTGACGGGTCAAGCCCCTCGAAGGATCAAACCCATGTCCGAGTACTTCCCACAGGGCCGCAACCCCAAATGGTCTGGGCTCCAAGCCATAAAATGCACACCATGTTCCTTCCAGAGCTTGATCTATACTTCGCCGTAGCAATGTGCATTTCGAGCAGCAGTCCTAAGATCTGAGCATTCATCTCATATATCAATCCTCCAGACATCCCTTGATTCATCCTGACATTCAAATACTCGGTGTAAGTTCTCGATCCTACGGGCATTCATCCTCATGTCGGTTCTACTCGCCCTCCCACAAGGCATAACCATGCGCTCTCCACCTCCTGCTTTCCACGCTGACTATAAGTTCGACCAGCAGCGTGACGACTGCCTATCCGCTGGCCAGCGTATCAAGTCGCCAAGGCTGCTCCATAGAGCTGTTAGTGGACGAATCTCGCGTGGCCGTCCCATTCCTTCCTTGTCTCTCTCAGCCTCGAAACAGCAAATTCTTTGGGACACGCTGAGTCGACGTGATTGTCGGCCCGAGCAGTTTGAGCCCTTTGCCGAGGACTTTCAGTCGCTACAGTACATTACACCAGACTCGTTCACCGTCTCGCCCGCGCCGTCAGTGGCGCCTTCGTCGCCTGCTATCAGTCTTGAGCCTCTTTCTGCACCCTTAAATCCGGAGGTTCCAGGCTCGGCACAGCTGCACTCAGAACCGCCACTGGGGTACAGAATCTCAGCTCTTCTTCTCTGCTCTTGCATTTTGCTAAATATTTTCCATCAGTTCCTTTGATCTCATGATGTCGACGCAGCACTATAACCACGTTGGCTCGTATCCCACCAACTACACGCCCAGTAAGCTCTTACTGAAGAGTCAAGCGACGCACGGTTTCTCAGTGGTTTCTAGGCTACGTGGTACCTTACCGAGAGTCTTCCCAAGAGGACGTGAAGCCGCGAATCGCCTCGCCCCACCAGACGTATGCGCCTGCGTACGCTGGCGCGACCGAAGGCGCTACTGAACATTCCGGCGAGGATGAGTCCGGCGAACGCGCTGCAGGCACGCCGTATCAGTACACAGCTGCTCCTCGAACTCAGTACGAAGCGTCAGCAGCGCCAGCGGTCGCCTATGGGTATGCGCAGACACCAACTTCTGGCTACGCTCCGTCATATGTGTCGTTAGTGTCCCGTCTTTCCCGGTTGAGCTGCCCTCTCAATTGCTAACGCGGTGAAGTGCCCACGATCATTACGCTCATTCTCAATACCAACCGAGCTATGGCCAACAGGCCAGCACGTATCTACCGCATCCGACTCCCGGGTACTCCAGTCCATACGCTGCCGGTCCGGTCTATACGACGCCACCTGGCATAAGACCAGAAAGAGAATCCCGAACGGGTCGGAATCGCGATGGAGAGTATCGATGCTACCAGCATGGCTGCAACGGAAAGAAGTTTTCAACGCTAAGCAACCTCCTTCGGCACGAGCGAGAAAGAGGCGGCAACGTGAACAAAGCAATATGTGAGAAGTGCGGGGCGGAGTTTACAAGAACGACAGCAAGAAACAGCCACCGAGACAACAACAAGTGCAAGCACGCGCTCAAGCCCAATGTCAGCTAGAGCGGTCAAAAACTCCTAGAAAGGTTCACAGCGAAACCTTCGTGTGATGATACGGTCGGAATCACGACAGCGATTGGTGTACCTGCTTTTGTCGGCATAATGAAATTCAGCATCCTAAATACCCATTGTGGCCACGAACTCCACAAACATGACGCGGCGTTTTGGCAGGGCGAATTCAAACAACTTTTGCATGGTCTTTTCATCTCTTGGTGTGCCCTTTGAATTTCAATCAGCATGGTGCAGATCTAGCCATGTGCGGCGCAGTCCCAGCCCATGTTCGGGATACGCCACAGCCTCTGAGTTTTTGATGGGCGTAGGACGAGACGAGTGGTCCGGGCCATCGGCAAGAGCACGGCGGTGGGCCCAACCATTGATGAGTGAGTGGGTAAAAGTGACAGCCGGCTCTGGAGTAGGTGATCATGGGAGGGAGCCAAGGCAGACATGCATCTTGATCTTTGTAACGGGTAGCTATGGAAGGGGGAGAAAGGTGTGCATGACACTGGCGTAAATTTGATGCGCATACATTTCAATAAGCAATTACGACGTTGACTAGCCTGTCCTGGTCAAAGGCTGTCCGCGGATCGCCTGATGTGTTTTTTGTATCGCCAAGTTGGCTGATTTGAGGTCCAGCCCCGTACGCACGAGCCATGAGGCCGCATTTAAGGCCAGCTTCAGACGTCAAAGATGGAGCACGCGGTGGGAGTCGTGACAGGACTGCCGGCCAGCAGCGCGGAAAGCGGTGCAAAGCGAGAAGGTGAAGGCCTGATTGTGCCGCGGCCGTAAAGGCAGCGTCGTCGCACCGCCGGCCTCTGTTTCTCCTTTCTATGAAGTCGACCCGACAGTAAGGCGCGCTTGTGAGCAGGCGCTTAAGCCGGACAGGGATGCTCCATCACGCTCTGCCGCTGCTCGCAGCGAACGACGCTCAGCTGCTCGGCAAGCAGGGGCCCGATAACCGCTTAGTTGCTGTGATATTGTCCATCTGGACGAACCACAGTTCTCGATTTCTCCCCAAATTTTAATTCCGTGCTGTGTCTTTGGTGGACGCTCTCCCCAATCGTCACCCACGCCAGCGGAAAATTAAAGCCAGTCCGTCCTCGCGTAAAAATACGCCTTGGACGCAATCAGCCCCCGAACGTGGACGAAGTCGCCGGGGGCCTGCCTGAAATACAAATCAGATACGTCGAGGGAGCTTTGGGTGCGCGGCCAACGACGGCTGATGCTGCACCGAGCGGGACACCTGTTGTTTTTTTCCCCTCGCCCTCCCTTGCCTGGGCTTGGGCGACAGTTCATCAGAGCGTGGCCGTCCCGGTGCCTGCTGCTGCAGTGAGCCAGGCTTCGCGCGGTACGTGAGGGCTTGGATCACGCCGGATCCTTCCAGCAGGGTAACATATAGTCGTGATGGTACTGTTTCCCTTGCCTGGACGGCACTGCAACCCCGGCCGCTACAGCTTCTGCTCGTCTCATCCTGCCAGAGAAGCGCAGCCAGTCACCTTCGGCACTGACGCGATCTGCGCATGGTCAGAGACGTTCGCCGCTCCGCAGATGCCACTGCCGTCGTGCCTTCATTCTGAACATGGCCGGATAAGCGGCGCCTCCAATCGTTTTGGTCGGCCATGCCCACCTCGAGCGGTTTACTGCCTTGGCCGGACACCTGCACATCCCCGTAGCTGCCGTGAAGATTTCAAATAGTGCGCAGTGCGAAGATGGTAAAAACGAGTGCCGCTGCTGCGTTTGATGGCAGACTGCTGGGTGCGCGTATTTCTTTCCCCGTTGCTCTCGCCATTCACCCAAACCAACAAGCACTAGGCCAAGTTGCGTGGATCTCGTGCTTGAGGTGGTCAAGGCGCCCAGAGGTTGGGGGGGGAGAGACGAGACGTGGGTGGGAGGGTTGTATGACTAAGCGCTCGTCTGTTCGTCCAACCGCTGCCCTTTCGAGTCATGGCTGGTCAAACGACGGCGGGAGCCTGTGAATGCCACGGACTGACACATCGACGCCTTTGAGACCGAAAAGTCTAGATCTAGCTCATCGTTTGCCGCAGCATGGCTGGACAGTGAAGCCGTTGTTGAAGAAGGTCTCTGCGGCGTCCGCATCCATAGTCCCTCACGCACGTATCGACTGAACGCAAACTTCAGAACAAGATGGTCACGTCTCAATCACGACTGTTCAGCATCAGCCTTGCCCATACAGATCCATTGGCTTCGGCGCGGCACAGCATATTTCTACGGCAGCAGCTCCATACGTCTGCTTGAGCTCACCCATTCGGTCGATCGTTGCGTCTGAGTATTTTAGGCCATCAACAGCTGCAAGGACTCCCGTGATGGCGTCTATATTCACCTTTGATCCTGACCCTCCGCGTGTCTCCTCGCCGTGGTCAACGCCACGCACCAGCACGCCGGCACCCATCACTAGATTAGAGGCTGAGCCGCAAGAAGGGCCAACAGAATACAAGCTGCATCTGCTACTACGACGGCGTCGAGATTATCATACCAGCAGCACTTCTCTCCATGTCTCGGGCCCAAACCGCCCCGTTTCGGCTTCGCCGAAGTCAAGGTTGCCCTCAGAGATACCAAACAAATCCCCACCTTTGCAAACAAAGTCTACTCAGACGCGACAGCAAAGATTGGAGCAATTGACAACACAGCTTCTCTGGAGGCTGCAACAATCATGCCCTCATCACTCCACATCTGCGACAAAGCAGATCACTCCCTCTTTCCCCTCGGCGAGTGAGATCTCCACCGGGGTGAATGTTGGACCTGTGGTCGCAGGGCTGGAGGAGAGTCGTGGTGCGCTCTATGAGATTGGAGTGGCCGATGATGGAACCTTTGTTGGTCTTACGGAAGACGAGATGACTGAAAGTCTCCAGAACCTCAGAGCCATGGCTGCAAGCCTGGGCTGCATTGTCGAGATTCTACGGAAAGTATGTGTGGGAAGTTGTGAGTACTACGACGGAGACAGCGGCAAGGAGAATCAGCAACTTCGTACGGAAAACTTGTGGGTTGTTGAGGCATACGTCAAGCCCAACACTGCGGCCTTGACTGGCTCTCGTGACGGACAAAGTAGCCGGGCTTCCGCGACCAATGTGTGGTCGGACGGTGAAGCACATGATGAGGTTCGGGCAGCAACACAACTGAAAATCTCGCTTACTGGTGCGACCATGTCTGGCAAAAGCACCTTGCTTGGTAGTCTGACCACTGCGACGTTGGACAATGGTCGCGGCAAAGGCCGGCTAAACCTGCTCAAGCATCGACATGAAATCGTCTCCGGTATGACCAGCTCCGTCACCCAAGAGCTATTGGGCTACGTTCCAGACAGCGAGGGAACAGTGCAAGTGGTGAACTATGCTTCTGATAATGTCTCATCCTGGACGGACATACATGCACTCTGCAAGTCTGGCCGAATTGTTCTTCTTTCAGACTCTGCGGGACATCCACGCTACCGGAGAACGACCCTTCGCGGGATTATTGGATGGTGTCCGGACTGGACCTTGCTCTGCATTCCTGCCGACAACGCAGAGGACACAACTGGATTGGTGGGAAGCACCCCGCCTGCTGAAGAAGTTTTAGGGGTTGCGTCTGTTGACGTCGATCTGTCGCAGGCACACCTTGATTTATGTCTCAAGCTTGATTTGCGGTTGGTGATCGTAGTGACAAAGCTCGATTTGGCGTCCAAGGGAGGTTTAAGGCAGACTCTGGCCAAAGTTCTGTCGACACTCAAGGCCGCAGGGCGAACGCCCTCGATCTTGGCGAATCCTTCTGGCGCAGATGAGGATCTGATGACCATCCCGGCCAGTATCCACAAAATCTGCCGTGAGACCGTTTCATCACTGACAGACACCCGTGTGGTGCCTATCGTCCTCACAAGCGCTGTCAAGGGGATCAACGTGACGACACTACACTCCTTGCTCTACCAACTTCCACTACCTACACCTCCAAGTCAGAGAGTACATGGCGAAGCGTCAACGTTGTTCCACATCGAAGAGACTTACAAGTCAAGACTTTACGGGGACCAGGCGAACGAGCTCCCTGTCTTAAGCGGTATTTTCGCTCGTGGCAAGCTATCCGTCGGTGACGAAGTATGGCTCGGTCCGTTTATGACGGAGTCACCGTCGGAGCAACATGACACCAAGTCCGAAGCCTCCAAACGGCCATCGATTCCAACCTCACGTTCTTTTCCCGGAGCTCTTACTCCTGCAAGAGGCCTTCCAGGCCCCGAATCGTCACCTTCAGATGAATGGCTCAAGGTCCGCATCATCAGCCTAAGGTACCTCCGTCTGCCTGTCACGACGCTCGTTGGGGGTCAAGTTGGGACCGTTGGCATAGAAGCCGCCGATGCCCGTAATGCAGCCTCTGCGTCCAGTAACAGAATTAGGAAGGGCATGGTATTAGCAACGCCTCCGCCGACAGGAAGAAAAGGCTTCGTCGCAGAGTTTGCGCGCAAAGACGTTGACATCCTTTCCATTGGAATGAGTGTGGTTGTCTATGTTGCTAGTGTCAGGGGTTCTGCCAAAGTTGTTGCTGGCGCCGTTCCCGATGATGAGCCTCTGGAATCATCGATGGAAAGCTTGCTGGATCACCCGAACGAAGACGAAGAAGAAGAAGAGGGCTTCGCATTCAATTTCGACGGCGACCAGGCGCCTGACGAGAAGCCGGTGCCAAACAAGGACGACAAGGAGCGTCACTTGCATGTTACTTTTCAATTCATCGCAACGAAAGAATACTTGGATATCGGTTCACAGGTTCTCGTGATGCCCGGTGGGGGACCCGGCATTTATGGAGGGAATGAACGTGGTGAGAAAGGGATTGCAGGGCTGGACGGATTTGTTGGTACCATTATCAGCGCATATTGATTGGGTTTCGAAAGCGTTCGCTGTAGGGAAGCGCTGAAGATCCATGCACCTCTTCATGATTCTAAAAAGACGAAACACTATATGCCTAGAAGCAAGAAACATGTTAAAGTGAATGAAATTTGCCTATAGAGTCTTTGTTCGTTGCACATCGGTTGCACGCCGTCATGTCTTTTACGTTCGCTTGACCCTGTGAAACCTCCTCGTTGCGAGCACCGTGCGCAGACCAAGCCCCACTGACGTTGGACACGTTATGTAACTTATCAACAATGGCACCTGCAACACAATAGGATGGAAACGCCAACATAGGATTTAACACAAACGATGTCGGGAGCCCCATCGCCCTCTCCACGGCCGTCGCTGTCGTTTCGCAGCCCTGCGTCATCGTCGCGGACATCGCTTGACCTACCCGCTGGCACGTCGAGTACGGTTTCACGGGCCACCACGTCGCGTCGAAACCGCGCTGCTCTTCGCGATTACTACAATATCAAGCCTAGTGGGGTAGGTGAAGACGCTGACGCGCAGTCGTCGACTCCGCCTCCAGATCCTGCGGCGGAGTCGCATTCGCCGCTGAGCGAGCTCGACAGGGAGGGTTTCGACGCAGGCGCATATGTTCGGAAGCTGCTAGAGCAAGAGGGCTTGGAGGGGATCTTGAAGGTCGAGAACGAGCTTGTCGGCGAGATACGTGGGTTGGACGGGGACAGAAAGGCGTTGGTCTACGACAATTACTCGAAGTTGATCAGCGCCACGGATACTATCAAACGAGTAAGCGGTCCTATTCACGACTATCCAGCTCCGTGGACGCAAGCCATTTCGCGGGTTAACATGAATAGATGCGCACCAACATGGATCCTCTCGCTCCGACAACTTCTACGCTGGCGCCGGCCATTTCTCATATCGCTCAGACGGCAGCCACTCTTTCGAGTGACCTTGCAACTCACGTTCCCACAGATGGCAGTCAGAGCGTTTTGCGACAATCCAAAGCGCGCCAAACGGTGCAGTGGGTGCTAGGCGCTCCTGATCGCTTGGAACAGCTCTTGCTGGATGACAAGCGCGACGAAGCCCAGCAGGATTGGGCCGCAGTGCGGAATCTGCTCGACAAGTGGAAAGGTGTCCCCGGAGTCGACGAAATCAGAGAATCTTGCCAGAAAGCATTGAACACCGTAGAAGGCTGAGCAAGCGGCAACTAGCGGTGTGCTCGAAAGCAAAGATCAAGCCATCTTAACACCTTTACTTCACTGCTCGATAGAATCAAGTACGCCGAATCAGAGAGCCACCAGCTATCGTCCTTCTGCCCCGTACTCTGCAGGGCCTTCCGAGTGGCACAGCCCCCCCACCATTGATCTGACCCTTGGCTCACACGATCCTTCTCACTCCATTTCCATGGAGCAACCAAAGGCCCAAATCAAGCGAGCGGTAACGCGCAGACCATAATCCATCAAAGGACAAGTAGTCTCGTAATCCGATACAAACCCCGAAGTATCCACAAATGCACGAGTATGTCTTCTTGGAACTTACCACAACATCCAAGTTGTAATTAGGGCCCGATGATCATCGATTTCAAATAATCATGCAGCCCACAGCGGGTCATGGATGTGTTTGCTTTTCTTCTGCATTTCCAACACCGTCGGTCCGCACCCAAATACCCCATGGGTCCTTGCGTGACAATACAGTGGCTTGCTAAACCGGTGTACGACTGACAAATGCCAGCAAGACAACGCTCAGGCTTAAAAGAGAGGGCCATGCAGCTCAGCAAGCGATGTGCATCGGATGATTGGAAAGGATATGTGTCCAGTAAGAGCCTGGCAGTGTGGTCGAGACCCACCCATCTTTGTCAAGCCGTCTGCACGTGGAAGGCCGGATGAACCAGGTCGTTGGGACCGTTCTTTGAGATCACCTTGGCTCACACACACACGAATTCTTTGCAACACGGGTTTTTGAAGTCTTATTCATCCGATGGCGGTAACTCCAGCACGTCAAGCGCTTAGGCGGCTACAACTGCATGAAATGTTCCTCACGTGTTTGGACTACCAATCAAAACTCGCCTCACCGTCAAGACGTAGCTAGAAAAGTGGTCAAAACGCCAACGTTGCACCTCGAAGCGCCGAATTTTCCAAAAATGGATCATTTATTGTGGAAAGCCCTAGCAGCGAAATGTAAATCATTGCAAATACGAGCCGTCCGTCAATGCGCTCGGCGTTACCTGTAGCCAACCTTGTGATCAGACAGAAGGCCTCTTTTTTGGCCTCTTTACGTGGCTCGCGACGACGATTCGTTGCTTTTGAGCGGAATGTCTGCTTTCCCGCTTAGATGGGTCCACTCTCACACAGTCGTGGCAATCTGCTACCGACCGAGGTTTGAGCAGGCTCCGCATAGTGCATGGGTGTATGTTGGTTTATTCCGCAAGCAGGCTGTTGCAGCGTTATGCGTGATTGCTCTTTGCCTACTTGGCGGGGGGCGGTCTTTGAGTGGGGTTTTACGGCATGAGTATGAGTGATATGTGAGAAATTTAGATGAGTGCGATCCGGACCATGACCGGAAAGTGTCGGAGCATTCATCACTTACCGTGTTTCTCATCATCGCTCATCTCGCCGTCACACGAGCATGCCAAATTTGTGGGCAAGGCGAGATGTGTAGTAAGACAGACGTCTGGTCGATTGAGATCGAAATCCCCAGGACTTATCATCTGCCGTGCAGTGATAATTGTGTTGATGACTAGTCCATTGAATGATCAGTAAGTGATATGACGCGTGATGAAGCCATTGTGGTCGTGCTGGCAACTAGTTCACGCGTTGATAGAGTAAGAGATTTCTCGAGATTCAGTAAAAAGCCTTTCCGGTTTTGCGCGTAATAACTATGACATTCAGTAATAAAATTACAGCCATAGCCATTAGAGTATTCTACAAGAGAGAGACCCCCAATTTTGAGGATTTTCCAACGCGTTCTTTAGTAGACCTCTAGGAATGACTCGCGGTTGACGTCCGTGCGCGGTTGACCCTGCAACGGCAAGTTGACAAACATAACCTCCGTCGGCGTTCATCTCAAACGACAAGGAGTCGTTACCTGAAGTATTCTAAAACCCGGTATCATCAATGGCACGTATACATATATCATCTGAAGATGAGCTTCCAGAGCTTGGAGAACTGTTGCGTCCAAAGCAGCGCCGAACGAGAGTCACGACCCCGTCGCTCGAAGAGAAACCTAGCAACCCGCAGGTGACCTCAGCCAAAGAGCAGAGTCATGCCTGCGGTGGCAAACAGCGACCGCTCAAAAAATTAAACAGCACCAATTCACTATTCGGTCCATTTGATGCATCAAAAGGTTGCGACAGTGCAAAGTTGCCGAGGCCTAGCTGTGCGAGGAAAAGCCCGCGGAAAATCCAGCGCAGTAAACCGATCGAGGTGTTTCAAGACGACGAAAGTGATGCGCCAGACGACGCAAGTTCGTCCGGGGATGGCTCTTTCCAATTCACAGATGACAGTGGCTCGGATGGAGAATCATGGCTAGGGAAGAAACGGGCCGATAGATCGCCGTTCAAAAGGCTGTTGAAGTCGAGAGCAAAATCGTCACCGAAGTCACCACGGAACTTGGACGATCGTTCACTAATAGCGCCCTCCTTTGGAGCGACCGATTTACCAAATCCTTTTGTAGGTCCGCGTTTAAGTCCTTCAAAATCTGTTGCACTACCATCTACATCTTCATCACGGCCTACAAGCTCCTCCTCGGCTGTAGACAATGCCGCTATCCTCCATTATACTCCACCAAAGAAAGTTTCGCCTGTTAAGAAGACATCCGAATCACCACCTATCGCACCTCCATTGGATCAGCCGCCCAGTCCATCAAAGAAACTTAACTCTCCATCCAAAGGCCGGCTCGAGATCATCCCTCGGGCACCGATCCAGGAAAGTCTGGACGCGTTCTGGTCGCAAGACGTAGTGAATGAATGGAATGAGCAATATTCTCCTCGAAAGATGTTGACTAGTCCACGCAAGAATCGATTCATTACGCCAACAAGCGAGGACGAAAACGGTCCGCCAAGTCCAAGTACTTCTCCTCGAAGGCGAAGTCCGCAAAAGGGGACAAGTCCGCTGAAATCCAAAGAAGCGAAGCAAATGAAGAAGACTTGGGATGCGAGGAAGAAGGGCATCGCCGCCGCCTTCTTCAAAGAGCTTGATGATACCATTGCGGGTGGCCAGCTTTCGAAGATGACAGCCGACACGGGCGGCGTGCATCTAATCTGGTCAAAGAAGCTGAATACAACTGCTGGACGGGCAAACTGGCGGCGCGAAAAGGTGCGAGATCTCCAGGCCGATGGAACAACGGTTGTCTCATATAAGCACACGGCAAACATCGAGCTTGCGGAAAAGGTAATCGACGACGAAGTTAGGCTAGTCAATGTCGTCGCCCACGAATTCTGTCATCTCTGCAACTTCATGATCAGTGGCATCCGAGATGCTCCACATGGCAAGGAATTCAAAGAATGGTGAGTATATATATATATATATATATGTATTTATTTATCTTTCTTCGCAAACAACTCTGAAAACTGAATGCTGACTGAAGCTTCCTAGGGCCAAAAAATGTTCTCGTGCGTTTGGGTCTCGCGGCATAGAGGTCACAACGAAGCATTCCTACGACATTGATTACAAGTACGTCTGGGAATGCGTCGACTGTTTGACCGAGTTCAAGAGACATTCCAAGTCCATTGACCCTCTGAAACAAGCGTGCGGTGCTTGCAAAGGACGGCTCGTGCAGACGAAACCTGTACCGCGAGATACCAAGACGAGCGAGTACCAGCTGTTCGTGAAGGAGCACTGCCAGACGATCAAGCGGGACAATCCTGGGTTGAGTCATGGCTCAGCCATGGAAATGCTAGCCCAGATGTGGAAAGAAAAGAAGGCTGAAGACAGGTTAAACAATCGTGAAAAGTCTGATTTGGAGCATGTGGTGAAGGAGTTGCAGATTATCACTTTGGATGACTGATTCTGAATCTGGATCGGAATCTCGCCTTCGGTGGTGCAAGGGCCTCAAAAGCGCTCAAAAGACGTAGAGCATGGTTACTTTACGATGTCGAGCAGCGATGCTCCGAGCAAAACTCTTGTTTCTTCTTGGATCACGCACCGATTCCCATGTCATTCCATGACAAGGCCGCTTTGATCAGTAGCGAGCTTTATGATGGCCTCGTTTGTTTTTTCCGCCCCGTGCTGCATGAAGAGCTTCCAAGGCTTCCTGACTCTTTGAGCTCCCCATTCATCCGTCTCATTCCAGCGGACCTTGGCTTTGCGTATCTCAATTCCCTCCAGCCCAATCTTCTCGTAGTAGCTTTACAGGCCTTCATTTCGGCATCGTATGTGTTGGCATAGAACCTATATCACATAAATCAGTGTTGTAATATTGTTTCTCATACCTACGTATACGCTTTCTTTGAAATGCATGGCTTAACGGCATGAAAGTCTAGATGGAAATCGTATTAGCCAAACGTCATTACTTCCCGCGATATAAGGTGTGATTTAACAGCTATGAAATTCATATCCTCGTGCATTGTGAAACCCCTATTTATTTTCTAAATCATGGTCTCTCGGCAGCCGAGCAAACGGCTGTCTTCAGTGAAAGCGGTTGAAAGAAGTTGTGATCAGATGACTAAATTGAAGAAGCGACGCAAGCGCGGAGGATGGGCTTGCCAGCTACTGAAAACGAGGCAGGGGCTCTGAAGAGTCCACTTTTGGATGTTACCCGAACAAGTGCTTCATTTCCACGTATAAAGAGCGGGTTTGCACGTTACCAGTGATCGCACTGAAAGAGGTTGAAGGGACGACAACAAAAAGCTCGGCACGATTAAAATTATCAAAGAACCTCGATTCCAAGCCCGCTAGATATCATTATGAAGGTTTTTATCGACAACGTTTTACCAAGGCAGCTGTAGTGGCGTCGGTAAGTCCTTGCCCAGAACGTCTTCGGCGGTACCGATGTCCCTACGTCAGGTCAGCCCTTGTTCAACGGACGCAGCGTGCAGTTGCAAAAAAAAAATAAAAATAAAAATAAAAATAAATAAAAAAAAAGTTGATGAAGAAAGAAATTACCATACCGAGCGCCTCTTGGGGCCCAGAACTGGCCCGTTTTTCCCAAGTCAAAGTCCTCGTCGACCCACTGCTTCAGGCTCCTCGCTGCTACATCCGGAGTCACTGCTCCGCCAGCATCCCAATACTTGTCAAAGCCAACGCCCTTGGTCATCTCTGTCCTCATAAACCCGGGATGCACAAGTCCGACTGCTATGCCCTTGTCCTTGAGATCTAGGCTGAGCAGTTTGCCAACCATGTTCTCTGCCGCCTTGGACGCGTGGTGTGCATACATGCCACCCCCTTCCTTCTCGTGTCTAAGCGTGATGGATCCGGACTCCGAAGACACGAGTACGATCTTGCTTCCTTCCTTGAGAAGGTTCGCCTTGATGATGTGGTGGACGAGAAACACAGGGCCAATCGCGCTGGTCTTGTACATGGTCAATTCTTTCTCCCAGTCCGGTTCATCAAAGGATTCCTTTCCAAAGTATCCTGCTGTTACGATGACGATGTCAATCAGTGCGTCTTTCTTGTATCCGTCAACCACGACCTTGCCGGCCTGCTCTGTGCCTATATCGACGCCGCCGATCCACCGCACGTTCTTCTCCTGTGCGGAGGGAGGCTCGCCGCGTGCAGTCCCGTACACTGTGTTTGACGCTGAGGAAGCATATGCCTTGAGCAATTCGTTGCCCAAACCACGCGTTGCACCTACAATGAGTATCACAGGCATTGTGGGGGAAAGTGCTTGGAAAGAGGGCAGGCAAAGGAACTAGAACACAAGATATGGTCGGCAGGAGTAGTTCTCACGCGAATAGATGAGCGACGCGTTGAATGGAATCAGCGACTGGCGAAGATCACACATGTTTAAATTCAGGATTCACGTGTTCTGAGCTACCCATTACTGTTCATCACGTAATGCACAACTGGCGCGAAGACAAGACGCGATAAGTTCAGCTATATGCTGTCAGTCTAAGCACATACCAAGTATCACGTGACATAAGCAAACGCTGGCTAGATAAGAGAGGAGAGCCAGGGGTAGGGGACAGGAGAACAACTATACAATCCATTAGTCAAGATAGCATATAATAAACTAAGTAGGTTTATGATTTTACTTATATACTATTCATCATTCCCGTGATCTTCCGCACAGACATTGACAGTTATAAGCCTGGTTAGCAACCAATATAGTACTATACAAAGCGAGAAGGTGCAGCAGCATGCACAACCTGCAGGATGAGCCTGAAAAGACCTGCATAATTATTAAGTAGTATACTGCCAGAGTAATAATGATAACTACCGATATATAAATACAACCTGAGTAAAGATACCGGATCTTAAGCTTATCAACACTTTGCAAAAGCAAAAACTTAAAGCAATCATACCATACTTAACCCATCTATCAATTAGGCAGTCAACCGAGTTGAATAAGTTCCTGATAATCATTATACAAACTATAGTAGATATGGCGAATACCATCAAAGTGAAGGAACAGCTAGTCATCCTCAAGACTCAGGATGATTGGGATAAGTGGAAGGGATGGTTACACCTATGCTATGGATGAAATTCATAGACCTAGACTTAACCAATCCACCAGCCATACCAACCCTTAATATGGAGGAACCAATTAAGTCAGCCTACTCGGCCACCTATACTACGGTGGTTAGTAGGGCAGAGGAGGAGTAGGTTAAGCCACCTGAGTATAATCGAGTCCAATACAACCTTACAAATAAAGAGAGAGAGGAATTCAGGTTCGACTTGGAGATCTTCACTCATAAGGACCTACCCAAATTCAAAGCTAAAGAATGAGAATATATGGAAGCAGCTCAGGTCATCCGACAGATATATGATAATATAGCTAAACTATACTTAAAGGCAAAAGACCCACTCTATATATAAGTTTAGAAATTGTAAGATATCTATCAAGGCGATCCAGCTCTATAAAAGCGATGCATAAGGGAGGCGTATAATACTGCAATCAGGATGCCAGTAATAGCAAAGATAATTATATCTTAGATATCTAAGTGGTAGGAGGTAATGCTTTAAGCTAAAGTAGTTAACCTACCATATATACTAGACTATAAGCAGTGGTTGAGTGACCTACTGGCTATAGTTAGTGATCTGGTCCTGAGTATAGTAACTTAGATCCTCCAGACCACAGCTGGAAATGGTGATCTTAAGACCTACCGCGATATAGTACAGGCTATTTAATTAGAGTACAGTATTTAGCATTTTATAAGACCTGCCTAATCTGGAGCAAGGCGTGGAGTATTTATATCTATAACTACTAAGGCTGAATCTGAAGGATCTGATTAATCTAAAGATCTGCTATCAAGACCTCATACTAAGGCGGGTGGGAATGAAATAAAAAGACACCGATCAGGCACTATTAGTAGCTGTTGGGGGTGTGGCCTGAAAGGTTACACACTTAAAGGCTATTTCTTCGTTAACCTAAAGAAGAGGTTAGAAGAATGGAAGCTATTAGAGTTTAAATGAAGTATCTGGCTTCGAAATAAGAAAACCGAAAGGGTTATCAGAGAATTAAAGAGACTCGGAATGCCTATACCACCTAATGATAAGTGCAAGGCACTAAGATTAGTTAAAGATAGTAGGGCAGATAGGTAACTAACCATATAGCCTTAGCCTAGATATAGAACAGGCATGAGCTTTATAGTTTTACCAGCCTAAGGTCTGAGATAAGCAGTACTACTGGACTCAGCCAGTACAGACCATATGGCTAATGATCTTAAGTACCTAATAGATTACCACCAGCTGAGCGAGCCAGAGTAACTTCTTAGGGGTGGAGGTTACATCGAGATCAAAGGCTATGGTACTGTAAGAATACCCATATGCAGTAGTAAGTATCTTAATTTGAAGGGAGTGGCTTACTGCCCAGATATGCTAATAAATTTAGCATCACTGAGAAAGCTGATGAGCGCAGGTATCTACTTTAATAGCTATAGAATGATGCTTTGACGGGCAAATAGATCAAGCATCTATAAGGTAGCTGATAAATATAACTAGTTCGTGATTCATGAATTCTATCCTTGTGAGGACTAACTAGAGGGTACTTAACACACAGCATTTAAGACCTAATATCAGGGGAATATGCGACCAGTTTCAACAGCAGAAGGACATTTATGGCACCTTTGGATGGGTCATGCAGGTATATAAGTGCTTGAGTGACTTAAGACAGCGACCCGGAATATAAAGATTTGGGGTCCGGTGATAGCTAAATGCGAGGCATGTGCACTATTAAAGATAAGTGCACAGATATTAAGGGCAGAACCAGAAGCACCACCAGTATATCTATTTGACGAGGTCTCAGTGGATATACACCCTATATAAGGATATAGGATCTATTTAAGCTACCTACTGATTATATATAGAGACTCAGGATTTACTATGCTATATATGCTGACAATAGACAGTGCACAATCAATCTTAGAAGCCCTAATTAATGTATACTATTATATCCGAACCTAGTTCAAGATTAAATGGCATAAAGTACGCAGTAATAATGAACTTATAGTAGATATTATTCAGACATGATTTCGAGCTTAGGATGTTAAATTTGAGCCTTCTGCACCAAACACACAGGCACAGAATAGCCTAGTAGAACGCTTAGGGGGTGTAATTGGTGAGATAGCTCGAACCATGAGGATCCATGCAAACCTGCCTAAGGAATACTGGCCCGCATATATCGAAGCAGCATGTTACATCCATAATCGCCTTCTAAGAGCTCAGAATTAATGGATGACTCCATATAAACTGGTGTACAATATGTAAAGGATCAACTTTGGACTGCAAGGAGACTGGATCAAACCGTCCATCAGCTATATACGTGCGTATGGATGCAAGGCATACGTCATGATCACAGACGTGCGGAAGAAGACACGCAAGCTGTTTTATAAGCTTAATCTAAGGGCGGATATTAGGTACCTAATTAGGTACACTACCTTGAACATTTATTAAATCTGGATACCCCACTCTAACAAGATCAAGCTGGTCCGAGACATGATCTTTGATGAGTCTTAATTCTTTAATAGCAGGATTGAGAAGCTTGACCCACAAACTGAGTGAGAGCTTAATAATATTATTGAGGAGGTTAGGATACCTGATCAAGACATCTTTAATAGCATCTGGCAACTGCCTAATGGCTGGGTAGATCAGGTACTATCGGATGTGAATACCGAGGACTCAGACCCGCTAAGTCAACTGATAGCTGGACTATAATAGATATAACCAAGTGAATTAGTTAGTAGTGAAGGAAGCATTTTCAGCCAAGACACGCTATTAGTCGCCAATTCGGAAAGCACCGCACCTATAATCTACAATATGGAAGGAGAGAATGAGGCTAAGCGAGTGTTTGAGTATGTTAAGCATAATACCCTCTGAGGAAGCTTTTATGCTGGGCGGATGATGGGTAAGAAAGATATCGCCTCAAGAATAGCTATGCTCACTTAGGATAATGCTGAGGATTAAGAGACCTCAGATGCCCAGGCTCTACTAATTAAGGATCTACCACCTGTACCAAGAAACCGACGAGAGATGCTCAGACACCGATTTGCAGAAGAATTTCAGCAAGCAGAAGCTGAACACCTGCAGACTTACCAGTAGGTAGATAGCTTTATTAAGGTGCCGAAAGACTCAGCAAAGGATAGTGTAAAGCTGGGCAACATATAGATCTACAGCTATAAGCCTGATCAGGATGGTTGGCTAGCTAAGTTTAAAGTGAGACTAGTAATTCGAGGTGATATAGAACCAAAGATAGTAGAAGATATATATACAGCTATATTAGTGGCACGATCATTTCGAGTTCTGATAGCCATAACAGTAAAGTATGATTTAGAGACCGCTCAGATAGATACTATAAATATATTTATAAACGCAAGTCTGGACCGAACTATGTTCATGTATCTACCAGAAGGCTATGCACGGCCAGGAACGGTTTATCACCTAAAGAAGGCGATATATGGTCTATGCAAGTCGCCATTACTCTAGTAGAGAGACCTGACTCGAATATTTAAAGAAATAGGCTTCTAAAAGGTACCCTAGGAACTATGTATAATAATTAACAGCCAGATTATTACTTTCTTCTTTGTAGATAATATTATACTACTATATCTAAGGTATCTACAGCAGAAGGCCTACCAGATCATGTCTGATCTCAGGGCCAGGTATAAGCTAACTGGTGGAGACCCAATTAAGTGGTTCCTTGGTGTCCATGTGATCCGAGACCGAGTACAGAAGAAGCTATGACTATCATAAGTATCCTATATTAATAAGATCTTCAAGCTAGCAGATAGTAAAGAACCTAGGCAGTCGGTTATAGTACTGATCAGCCAGGAGGAACTACCCATTTATCATGACAAGTCAAGTAAGAAAGAAGTTAAAAGGTACCAGCGAAAGATCAGGTTAATCCAGTTGTTACGGCGTACTTGTCAGTACAGCCAGGGTAACATGGGTCATTGCCAAGCAATGCCAAGTGGCAGTCTCAGTCTTGGCATGTGAGACTTCTGCACGAGTCTCAGTCTTGGCATGTGAGACTTCTGCACGAGTCTCAGCCTTGGCAGATGAGACTGTATGCATGAGTCTCATCGGGAGCGATTGAGACTTGGTCATGAGGAACAGAAAATAGGTCTATATAAGGATGGCTACTCTCAGGTCTACGCTCACTGTAATTCAACTGTCTAGCATAGCTAGTAGTTAGTTTGAATACATTCTCATACTCCTGAAGCTCATACTATTCTAAGCCATAAACATAACTATCTTATTATATTCCTTCCTTAATAAGCTCTGGTTATACATTGTTCCCTTGCTCTAGGAAGCTGAACCCTTCCGAAGTGGCTTACATTAGTGAAGCTAGTCGGTATCGGGAAAGTATTCCTAACACCAGTATATAGCTGTTATTACTAGACCAGATATAGCATTCGCAGTATCAAGACTCGCCCAGTATAATACACGACCTGGACCTATGCATTAAGATACAGCAGATCAGGTATTGCATTACCTGAAGAATATGAGAGACCTAGTAATTAAGTATGATAGTAACTGAGCAAGCGATGGGTGGCAGATAGCGAGTAATACATCCTACGCAGATAATACTGATCGTAAGAGTTCATAAGGGTGATTATACAACTTTATAGAGGATTAATTGTATGGAGGTCGACAAAGCAACCTACAGTGACCATGTTAACCACAGAAGCTGAGTTACTTGCTATCTCAGAAACCGTAAGGGAAGCAATATTTATGGCTAGGTTACTAAAGGTACTAGATAAGGAATTGGATATAGTACTTATAATTTAGTGTGATAATAAGCAGACAATCAGCCTACTTATAAAGGAGAATGCTGTATTGAACACGTGTCTCAGGCATATTGATATTTATAACCATTAGCTGTGTTAGGAGGTATAGAGGTGACATATCAAGGTTATCTGGGTGGAATCAGTGAAGATGGCAGCAGATGGATTAACAAAGGCGTTGCCGAAGATCAAGTTTAGTAGCTTCAGAGAGGCATATGGTCTCAAGGTAATTGGTCACTTGATGAAGGATGCTGAAGCAGATGAATGAGAGATAATAGACTGAGTAAGATCTGGTAGTGTACCCTACCAGATCGGGGGTGTGTCAGTCTAAGCACATACCAAGTATCATGTGATATAAGCAAATGCTGGCTAGATAAGAGAGGAGAGCCAGGGGTAGGGGATAGGAGAACAACCATACAATCCATCAGTCAAGACAGCATATAATGAACTAAGCAGGTTTATGATCTTACTTATGCACCATTCATCGTTCCCGTGATCTTCCGCACAGACATTGACATATGCACACTTGGTGATGTAATCACGCCAAGGTAACTTAAAGTAGTTATGGCGCAAGCTTCCGCCCGCCTTTCCCGTTCTGACTGCTACCCGTGAAGCTACCTCAGTGGAGCCGTGTCGTGATCTCGATCAATGCCATTTGTCTCTCGATATACTGACGCGTTATAAATCTTGCCAGACGCCAGGTGGTTGCTAGATCGCGACACGATGGCTGACTTCCCGCAACTGCGCCATGTCATACGGACCTGTCCTGTACGCGTTCACGTAGTTGCTAAGGGGCTGTCGTGTCAGGCTAAGTGATTTGACCATAGGTTATTGACAACCACGCGCATAATTTATTGCTGCCGTCGGAATATGCGAATCACCCGTTTGAAAGCATAACCACCGAGGCGGCCGGCCCGGCGCTGTCCGATGCATACTTCTCTCTTTCGCATCTGCGGGCGTTGACCCAGCTCAGGGACCTGTACAGTTACGATGGGCCTGACACAGAGTGGAACTGGGCCCGGCTTCAGGAGTTGCGCCATCAATGGATAGAGCGCGATCATGACGGTCTTGTTCGCAGCTGCCTCCAGGGCACATATTCGATTCTAATGGACGATGGTCTCCTCGATCCGAGCATCATGCACGACTACAGGTACCACGACCAGTTCACGGAAGCGCCAACTAAGCGCATCCTCAGGATTGAAACCCTTGCAGAGAGTCTCATGGCGGAGCTGACTCGAAACGCCAAGGACGAAGATCTTGCTGTTGCAGACTTCATGGCGGACACGTATTTGCTCTTCACGGAGCGCTTCGAAATCCAGATCAAGCAGGCGATCGAAGACCCCGAGGTAGCTGGCTTCAAGAGCATAATATGCTACCGTAGCACCGAGTCTCTAAACATCGAGCCTGACTACGAAAGGGCACTGCTGAAGATTGGACCCAGCTTCGAGGCGTACATCGCACGGTGCGTTGAGCGTAAACGATACCGCGTTGACAGTAAGTCGGTCAACGACTTTCTAGTGCTGAAAACTTTGGAGCTGCTGGCGAGCAGTTACGAGAAGGGAACGTTCTCAAAGCCGATACAATTTCATGCGGGCTTAGGTGACACCGATATCGATCTGCTCCAGAGCAATCCGGCCTATTTACAGCCCCTGGTTGAGCGGTATCCCGAAGTACCATTTGTGATTCTGCACTCCGCATATCCGTACACGCGAGAAGCCGGGTATCTGGCCATGGCATACAAAAACGTATACCTTGACCTCGGCGAAGTTTTTCCCATGCTGTCGCGAGATGGTGAGGTGAAAGTGCTACGACAGTCCTTGGAGCTGGTCCCATTCTCCAAATTGCTGTGGAGCACGGATGGACATCTTTTCCCAGAAACATACTGGCTAGCCAACAGACAGTTTCGGGAAGCTTTGGAGGAAGTGGTCACTGGATTTGCGAGAGAGAAGGATCTGTCCGAGCAGGAGGCGATCGGCCTAGTGACGGCTATATTGTTCAATAACGCTAATTACCTCTACAATCTGCATTATCCGTTGCATGATGGTGGCACAGCGATAGACAAGAGAATGATGCCGTATGCCAAAGTTATTGACCCCAACAGGGAAGCTACTCAACCGAGCGGCGCACCGAAGTCATCCACATCTACATACGACGTACGGATTTGGTCCAGCTTCGTGAAGCTTAATCAGGAAATCCGCTTCGTCTTTGTTCAGTGGCTTGACTGGATGGGCACGATTAGGCACCGCATCTACCCTGCGATCGAGTTTCAAAAGCTGATCCAAGCAGGTAAGCGTATCGAGATTTCAAGAGGCAACCTGGGAACGCTTCAAGACGACACCGTTACGCCTGTTGTGAACACTACGGGCATCGTATGCGTAGAGCCAGATCTTAAATCCTTGAAACCTGCGGCCGGTAGCCCACGACCTGCAGCGACGGTGATGTCGTGTCTTTGCGACACGGAAGGCAACCCAATACCGGAGTGTGCTCGTTGTGCCGTCAAAAAGCTAGAAAGAGAGGTGTTAGAAAAACACTCCATCGAGCTTCTTGTGGGCTTCGAGATTGAATGCGTTTTCCTCCGTCGAGGGTCCGACAGCGAACAGTCCGAATATGAGTGTCTGACCACAACGCATGCCTGGGGCACGTTGAGCGCGGAACAATGGATGAAATTACTACCTCTCACCATGGAGATTCACGACGCGCTGCAGAGCATCGGCATCCAGATACAGGCCATGCACCCAGAATCTGCGCCGGGTCAGTACGAGTTCATCCTACCGCCGCTGTCACCAACTGAGGCGATAGACACGCTTTACCAAGCACGTCAGTGCATAGCTATAGTCGCGGAGCAGCACAGCGTGCGTGCGACGCTGCACCCGAAGCCCTTCTCCGGCGCCGGTTCAGGAGCTCATGCTCACGTGTCTCTGAACTCGGACCATCTCTCAGAAGAGCAGCTGCAGGCTAAAGGGACACATTTCTGGGCCGAAGTTCTCGCCCACATGGAAGCGCTGTGCGCATTCTCTTTGCCCGAGAGTGAGAGCTACGACCGCATCGTCGAGGACTCCTGGACCGGTGGGGTGTGGGTTGCTTGGGGTACGCAAAACAGGGAGGTTCCGCTTAGGAAGAGTGCTGGAAATCGGTGGGAAATACGGGCCATCGACGGCTTCGCGAACATGTACCTCGTCCTCGCCGCAATCATGGCCGCAGGCTTGCGTGGTATGGACGAGCAGGTTGAGGAAACAATTAAGGACTGCCCCGGTAAGACGCACTTCTCTTCTATCCATCTCTTTTCTCGCAGCGACGGGCTATCAACGTTTCCACCGAATATAAGCTGACAGTTCTGCATCAGAGAACCCAGCCCACCTCGACGAAGAAGGCAGGGCGAGTTACGGAATCACACGGCCGCTCCCCAGGACTCTGGAGGATGCACTCAAAGCGCTAGAAGAGGACCAGGTCTTAGCCAGCATTTTACCCGCCGGTATGGTCAGAACCTACATGGTCATGAAAAGGAGTGAACAAAGACGGTTATTACGTCCCGAACCAGAGAGAAGGAGATGGCTCATTGAACGATACTGATGCTGCTGAACGTGGTTACCAGATGCGAATTTGATAAAGATGATGATCTCACCGATACGAATGAATATCATTAGTTACCAGTAACTGCTGTCCGAATCTGAGAATGTGATGCGATTTTGTTGATCAAAAGATAAGGATTATGTACTAAACGACGTATCCTGTCGTATCATCGAGTCGTTGTCAAAAACCACATCGACTTTCAAATACGCTGCGTCGCGTTACGCTGAGCATCTAGGTTAAAACGGCGGCAAACGTCTAGTGGAATGGATGAATGTAATGATTTTTTGAAAACGCGTATAACGACGCAAGGGGCCGATTAGAATTTCATGAGCAAGAAAATATGTTTAGCATGTCTTTGTCGGGATTGACACAGTGACAAAGAATACCGAGCATTTTTTACTTGACGACAGAAAAGGTAGCCATTAACCGAGCGCACGAAGCTACCACGCTAAGCGAAGTCAAACACTGTTCGCTGAAATGCCAATAGTTTTTTTTGCTTCGAAGGAAATTGTCTGTCAATGCAAACTATGTTCGGACGTAGCAGGGCATCCAATATAGAAAGCAATTTGGGCACCAGATTAGCCACGCACTACGTCAGTGAAGTAACATGGAGTAGCTCACAATCAAGACAAGCTTTAGTCCGTGTATTACGTGTAGCGCGCACGTTGGCTGCTATCTACTGGATTAATGAGGAAAAATTCATCCCGAGTTCCCTTTTTTTTTCTTTTTCTTTTTCTTTTTTTTTCTTCTCGTTCTTTGCATCGCCATGAATCACAGAGTCACAAATGTTGTCCGTGAGAACATAGTGACCACGCTTTGATTAATATGTAAAAAATGCTCATGGTAGAGTGATGATGAAATGCTTCACACATTTTGCTGCTCCTTTTATGCCAGATCTCACCCAATGCAAATCGTGACTCCATCATTGCCTGTAGGAAGCCACATCGTACATGAGGGAGCAAAGGCATCAATGTACAGCAAAAAGAGTTCATGAATATGTAGGAGGTCAAGATGAGAGAAAGCTCAAGCAACGCCAAAGACGATGTTAGCCGCCATAACTGCAATTGCGAGTCCGGCCATGCCGTTGGCGGCACCAGCGTTGGTAGCAGTAGGGGTGGTTGCAGAGCTGGTGGTAGTGGACGGGTGTGCGCTACCAGTTGGGGTGCCGACGACATGGCTGGATGTCGTGGTCTGAACAGAGCTGACATTGGAAGGGGCCGGAGCGGAGCTGCTAAAACACAGGATGTTAGTTTACAAGGTAGACAAAGCAGAGGCAACATGATCTTACCTAGCAGCTGCGGTGGAAGACACGGGAGAGGGAGCGCTGCCAGCGCCACTGCCTGAAGCAGTAGGAACCTCAGTGCCAGCAGGTGGAACTGCAGAAACTGGAATGGAAGCAGCCACTGGGGGAGGCTCGAAGTGCGTGGCAGGGGCGGAAGCTGGAGCAGTGGTGCCAGCTTGGGGTGGAGCCTCAACAGTTGGTGTGGTAGCTGGGGCAGGGGCAGTGGTCACGCCAGCGATGGAGCAGGGCTCAGTGACCGTGACCGTGACTTGAAGAAGAGACATCAGTGGGCGTAGAATAGACATCGCATGGATTTTGAAACTTACCAGTTCCAGAAGGAGAATCAGCAGCCCAACGAGGGATCACGTCCACCTCTTTGCGAAGTTTGATAGCCGAAGCATTCGTCACTGTGACTCGTTCAAGATTAGCACACATAGCACAGCACATGATGAGAAGCGACTTCAGTGGGTTCTGTACAAGTAGCGGCAGTGAGCAGAGCGACGAGGGCGTGAGCGAGCATCTTGGGAGTTGCTTTTAGGTTTTCCTGTGGTCAAAGTCAGCGGCTAGCAACCATCTGAGATACTTGTCAGTGACCGCCTTTGCCGTACGTGAGCTATGGGTGTGTAATCTGAGAGCTGATTGCAGTATCCGAGCCGTGGATGTAGATGCTGTGAGAATGAAGCAAAGTATGCGTCGTCGAAAATGGAGCCTGTTGGACTTGTAGACAGAGAGATAGAGAGAGAGAAGGTGGAAAAAGGATTGTGCGAGACAGCAGAGACGAAGACATTTATCGACCGCCCGCACGGGCCCATATCCAAGTCACGCGAAGCAGGAAGGAGTTGCCCGGGTGATGGCTTCCGCAATAGGAGAGAGCGAGAGCAGATCGAGCGTCGAAGTGGCAGTCACTGGACGCTGGAGTAATCGAGTCGGAGGCGGTCGTGCTGTGCTACACCTGTGACGCGGCGCCGGCGACAACAGGAACACGACAACGTCTGGCGACAGGACGACCATGTCTCGGGCACCCAGGGGCGGAGGCCGAGAGAGGGAGCGAGGGGAAGACATCCAGAGGTCGTCGCTCCACCGGCGTACGCAGACAGCAAGCCCCGTGCCCGGTAGACAAACTGACGCTGTGCCTGTGCGACAGCCAGGCTGCAAACACAGCATGTAGCCGAGCGGGGCGGTCGACAGTGTGGCCGACACACGTATTACAACCCTTGCGCAGGTCTGGCTCTTTATGGAGCCTTCCAGAAAGTCGATTGCGTTGTAGAGTCCGGGAACGAGGGGCGCGGGCATTACCCCCCTTTTTGCCCTCTTTAGTCAACATCGTCGTCGTCGTCGTCCTGGAGGCGGTAATGCCCCGAAGAGCGAGATGGAGACGAACGTGCGGCATCATCATCTCGAATCTCAAAAGTCAGCCCGCATGAGTCTGCATATCCAGGCATAATAGGCCTCTTACTGGTCACCCGAGCATCGCCCCGTGTATGGCGAGGATGAGACCGCGTTGTCGTCTCTCCGTGCTTGCACGGCAGCGGCAATCCACGACAGCGGCGGCCCTGGCTGCCTTCGGGTCCAAGAGACAGCGCCTCCCTGCTTGACGTCGCTTCAAAGCTCTGTTTACGCGTAGACGTGCATCGCAACCGCCTCGGCAGTCAGCCGGCCTGTGGTGGCTACAGAAACCGGCGTTGATCATCTTCTTGTTTTCCTTTTATCCATCAGCAAAACCCATCGACTACAAAACTCTCATCTACCGTTCTTTTTGATTGCTTACGTCTTCGCTTTTCAGAGAATATCCCCTTGGTTCCCGGCGCTCCACCTAGTGCCGAAAGCATGCTCGCAATGCATCGTCCAAAGGCTGCAGCAACTTTAGTCGCCATAATGGCTTTCAGCATCGGCCACGCTCAAGCACAGGATCAAGGTATTCCAGTGGAAAATTCTCTAACAAGGCAGGGTACTGATGGAGAACAGCGCCCATCCATCGCACCACAGTCGTCGTCGTGGACGAGATTCCAGCCATTGCTCCCATTACAGTCTACTCCACGCAACACATCACCATCTGGGGCTGCCCTGACTGGGAGACCAACTGCCCGGTCCGCAACGGACGCACGCAGGCCGTCATCACCGCTACTGTAGGGGCAACAACCACGATCTGTCCGCTCACCTATTCCCAAGCCCGTCTTAGCTCCTTCAATATCGACCAGCCAAATACGGGTGGTGCCCTCTCCACCACTACAACCACCTGGCCAACGGCGTACTCACTCCCTACTTCCTTCCCAGCACTTTCGTCTTACCCTAACATTGATTGGTCCTCCATCTTCCCGTCGGGAGCTCCGGCTTTCAGCAAAGGAGCGGTCACAGGCAGCTTCGCTCCAGGAGAGTACACCCCTTTGCCTCCAGACTACTCGCCTTCCTTGTCACCTGAGCAAGCTTCGATTTTGGGACTCCCAGCCCGCGGGAACGCTAGTATGATCACAGCATCTGATGCACGGCCCACTGAAACAGTCAGCATCACGACTGGAACCTTCGCCGCGATCATGCCCAGCAATGTGACAGCATACATCACTACCTTAAATGCCTACACGGAGACGACCAATCTCTCGAGCAGTAGTCCTCCGGAAACGCGAAACGGCTCCTATCTTGCCTATCCAGCGCTGAGTACAGCCTCGAACACAGGTCGGATAGCGTCTCCGATTGAGCAACAGACCGTGAACGTTAGCCCTGTTGTTCCTGTTAACTTGTTCGGCTTGCTTGTCGCCATCACAGCGATCGCTTTTGCTATATAAGGCAGGAACCGAAGCAGATGACCAGAACGGAGGCACGAACCAGCACTGATACATGGTCGTGTCTCAAACATTAACTTCATGGTCCTCCTATTTCACAAAGCGTTTGAGGTCCACGGTGTGTGAATAACGCAGCGGTCTTCAACGCACAGATAGCATACTGTCGCAGGATGAGCCTTTTGCACAAATACATCTCGCATACTTACGTTGACACGAAGTGTTTCCTTGAGAGACAGTTAAGAATTCGAACTCGGTTTTTCAGAAATGTATACTAGATATCTATGCATCGTGTTATCACAATACTGTCAACAATGCATCTGACTGTCTCTAGCAACATGTCCGCTCTCCTCTTTCGTTACTTCCGCGATTGAGGCGGCATGAAAGAAAAATTTTCCCGTCGAAACGGTTTGTTGCATGCTGAGAATGTAGATCAAGGGCGTATGGAGCATCGCAATCGTTTCTTTCTTGCTGTGGGAAGGAGTCCATATAGACGGTAAGCCGTTCTCCTGTGCTAGAACACAAGCAGAGCAGAAGTCTTCCATGTCTTTTTCTACCCCTGAACCCAGAGTATGCCAACCATTTGTGTAAGGAAAAATTCCACGTCGAGGTAAACGACCACAGCAGGGGAGCGACGTCCAAAGAAGCAGTGGAATTTCGTACGACAGCTTCCACTAAAATAGCACGGAAAGTCTCTCCACGGGTAGCAAAATGGAACAGGAGATTGGGCCACCCTGGAGACGGGGTATCGTTTCCAGTGGGCACCTGGTTGACAAGGTCCGTACTGGGATGATGAAACGTCGTCTTTGCTGGCGCGCAGCTCGCAAGACAAGATGATGGACGAATCCTACGACTGGTTGTCTGCAGTTGAGCAAGCCAGCGACGGTTCGAAGACCAAAAAGAAGAGCAGGCCCTTGCTCGCGCGGGCTTACTCTTCTGGGGCCTCGCCAGCCCAAACTTTGGCAAATCTCCTCCTTTTTTTTTTTTTCCCTCTATTTTTCTCCCCTTCCCGCGCTGCAGCTTACTCTTGCATCCTGCCGACAAAGAGTTATTGAACCTCGACAATGACCGTACATATTGGCGGAGTGCGTTGCGCTATGCATGCAATCCTTGCGCCACCAAAGCTGGAACGACTGCGCTTCCCGTTCACACCAGTACGTAGTGCTTTCTGCTTACTCTGGACGGCCAATGAACTCCGTTTCACCACGGCCGTCGATGAATAAGCTCGTCATCCTGACTTGACTTCGCGTGCCACGATTGGCTGCCATCATGGCCCAGCATGGACGGGTCTGAGCCTCAGCCCTGTGATATTCTGGGCATTCAGCGCCTTTCCTCTTCCAGGTTATTGGCAAAATGCGTGTTTGGTGCAGATCTGGTGGCCCTTCAGCTGCTTATCAGGGTGAGATTCCCTGCGACTGCCTGCCGGTAGTATACACATTGCTGTGCCTTGTCAAATGTGCGAGCAGTACAAACTCGTGAGTTCATTCTCACTGATCCTTTGACCAATTTTTTATCTCTTTGTCCTTGATATGCGTACGGTTGTTGCTTGCCTGCTGAAAACTCACGTAGCTTGCTGGCTGGATCTGGACTCAGCTCCCCAACCTCCGCTCATTACAATCACGCCGTCCGTCTTGGCCCCAGGTGCATGCAGTATACGAGTTGCATACGCTTGAAACAGGGTCTTAAAAGCTTCCTCACAACCAGATATCTGCTTCCACTCTCCTCTTTTTTTTGCCTTGGTGGGGAACTTCAAAATAAGAAGCCCTGGTCACTGTCAATCCAAGAATGGCCGCAGCAAGTTACTACAGCAGTCTGGCAGAGGACGGCTCGTACAGACCGTATAGACCGTACGGGCACATGAGCCAAGGGAGCAGCAGTTCATTAAAACCCCTCACCATCGTGACAAACAACTATGAAAACGATGCATGGTACGACGAGCACCAGCAGCTTAGCTACGCGGATAGTGTGAGTCGCTGAGCACGTAGGTACCAAATTCACAGGGCTGACGGCTACATCAGAGACTCAAACGCCGCATTCGAGTCCTGCGAGTTATTCAGCGTGTCCTTGCCGCACTTATATCCATTGCGGCTCTCGTGCCCATCACCATGACGCTCCACAAGTACCTGAGTACTCGGGGCATAATCCGCTCCGCACCAGATGGCAAAGGCGGAACGATTGAAAGGAGTGCGTGGGCGCTCAAAACCAAGTCCTGGCCGACATACATGTACTTCTCTATGGCCGTCGCATCCACCTTTGTGCACCTAGGCGTGCTCACTGGTTATCTGTGGAGCATCCGCGCCGCGAACAGGATCGACACCATCGGGACTACGATCCAAACCATCGAAATCGTTGGCCAGCTTGTCTTGTGGATCGTTGTTGCAGCCATCTACAAGTACGAAAAGGAAATCACGGAGGATGGCAAGCACAACGATCTCTGGGGCTGGACGTGCAGTGGACCCGCGTCAGCACTGCAGCAGACGTTCAAAGACGTCGTGTCGTTCGACTCCTACTGCAACATCCAGACCTCTAGCTGGTATGCGGGCCTTGTTCAAGTGGGAGCGCTGATTCTATCCTTGTCCATTGTGATACTGGCATGGAAGAGAAGAAAGAGCAAGAAAAACGTGCGAAGGAGCGCGGCGAGAGCTGCTGAAGGTAGAGAAGACTATCGTCACCAAAATGTATAATGGAACGATTCAAACGAACAGCTTTGCTCTTGATGAAAATCTCAACGTGCTACCTACATGTGTAGTTATATCGTCGTCATGATAACGAATCGAAATCAATGATTGCTTCTTTTCGGGGTTCATCAACTCGTCAAGAATTTTTGCCCTTTCAACATAAGTAGTCGTCATGCTTCTCCACTGAAACCCGACCTTAAATTGTCATATTTGCTGACCGGATAGTTGATCTCGTTTTCCCTGTATTCAATCTTCCCGCACCTCTCGAGGCCGGAATACACGGTTGCGATCAGGCTGTCAGCACCTGACTTGTCGGCGCTCGACTCCCACCACATCGCTCCACCGAGCTGCCAATCCCTGATTAGAGCCGTCTTCTGCTCAGCTACAGGCTTCGTGTCGTATGTCACCATTTCCCGGGTCGAGGGATCGTAGCTCCAAGAAGCTGCGAGCTGACGATCGTAATGTTCCTGCGCACCGGGACGAGGCAGAGCCTAAGAGGAAAAATTTAGTTAAAAGTACTCGATTCTTCTGTTCTACTCTGACACGCCACTTACCTTGTAGTCCCATACGCCACGCTCCCAGCTTCCATCACCTGTCCCACTATACGGCTTTCCTGGCCCGTCAGTGGCCAAAAAGCTCCTCCCATAGAGTGGCATTCCTAAAACGATCTTATTGGGGGGGACGCCTCTGTGGACATAGTCCTGCAATGCCTTTGCTGTGTTGAAAGGTGTCGATTTGGGGTCTCTTTGGTCGGGGAAGAAATTTGCCTGGTGCCCGGCGGTCTGATCCCACGAACCAGCGTAGTCATAAGCCATGAGATTTATGAAGTCAAGAGTGTTTGCCATCTCCCTGAGGTGAAGTTTGTCGTAATTTTGGGCGCCTGCTGGAGCAGCAATGGTGAGCAAAAAATGAGGAGGTCGATTGTGATGGGAAGGCGGCAGACTGCGCTGGTATGCATCGAGCTCGGCTCTGCAGCACCGTAGCAGTTCAACATAATCACGAGCTTGCTTGTCATCCTGTGGGTATTCCCAATCAATGTCTATTCCATCGAAACCCATGTCCTTGACGAGGGTCACTGCAGTCCTCGCAAAGTTGCTGCGCCCTTGAGGCGTGCTTGCGGGGGCAGCGAAGTTGCTCGAATAAGTCCAACCTCCGATGCTAAGAAGTACTTTCATGTTGCGATGCTTTCGCTTTAGAATGTTTAACTGTTTGAGACAGCCATACATGTTATTTCCCGTGTCATTCCATGAGTCCGTTGGATAGTGTTTCTCCAAGTCAGACCACGAGTCTGTAAGGTAGACTTCTCCTGAATCTGGTTTGACGTTTGCAAATGAGTATAAAACATGGGTAAGTTTGTCAGCCGGCAAATCTTGCGGGTTATGATTACGCGCATAGATGGCCTTCAGAGAGGTGTTAGCTCGCCACTCATTTGTGGTGAAGAGAGCACTGGGGCATTTCAAATGCTCAAAAGTGAATTCGTACCACAGTGAGTCGAGATTGTCTAACTTACCCAGTTGACAAAGTAAGCAACAGTCCTGTATCCATTGCATTCCTCATGACCACCCTGAAGTTGTGCCATGTCTGTAGTATTTTCTCCAAACCTCTCAGTTTGGATAGGAATCTGATCGTAGTACGGATAATTTGCCAAAGTAAACCGCAAGATCGAAAAGAAAATAAACCAAAAACATGAGTGTAGGAGCATTGGTGACTACATATGGGCGAAGAGCAAGGCAACCCACTTTCATCCTCGACGAAACAGGAAATTGTGGCTCCAGTGGCTGTGTAGCTTGACGTGTCCCTCTCGGCTGAGAGCGCGATGCTGCGTTTTTCATGCGCAGCAAGAGCAGAGCTGAAGAGCACAATGGCTATTGAATATATTGAATATATTAACATGTTTTTAATCCTTGTTTAACGTAGTCGCTGAAGCAATTGATGGCTACCTGGGGACATGTGTGCCACAGCGTTGGACAGATTTGCTAGGCCTCATCGATTGAAATGGTAGTCAATGCCTCCCAGTAAACGCAATCACCATGTCTTGGAACCGTAGAAACATCTGCAGAGTCACCATTGGTAGTCCTGCTTGATCCTCTCATCTATTCAGAATCTTCGAAACTTCGTCAAGGCCTCTTGAAGTCACCAATGCTCATCGGACGCTACTTCGACGGTCGAGGTCTATAACTTTATCTCCAGGGAGGCCACCTAGGACATCATCAAATCAAATTTTTTTACAAGATTTCAGTTCAGAGAGAAATGGCGGACAATGGGTCTTCGATGGTCCTTTTAGCCGAGTCTCAGGTCGCTCAAATCGATGCTCCTATTGATACCACTTACATCTTTGGGTGGCCAGCTCCGCCGTTATTTTTGTCAGCATTGTATACAAAGAAATGAAAATGTTAGCACGAAAGTGAAAGAGCCATCCTTCCCGGCAGCTTAATTCGTGTGAAGCTCAAGATATTCGACACATCGAATGCTCGCAGCGCGCCTTATCCGATAGTCCAAATGCAATCATATGTGCTGCGGTCTCAACACTGCTCATTAAGAATTTAACTAGCATATGGCAAGGAGAATAAAATTTAGCAATGAAGCGTTCAAAGAAATGCAAATCTCTATTATGCGCCTTGCTAATGATACACGTGTTGCATCCTTGCTGAAGGAATACAATCAGATGCAGAAAGCGCCTTCGTGACGCCATTCTCAAATCTCTTTAAAAGTTTGCACGTCTCCATCCGCATATCAATAAAGCACGACATAGCAGGCCAGTGTCTTGAGCCATAAAGGCTCACTTTGAAGAAACCAAAGGTCAGAATAAGTACACGTTATGACCGTTTTAATCCAGGTTCGCTGACCAGATCACTCCAGGAGACTCTTAATCTCAGTTTCCGCAGTCTGAGTGTGCTCAGCCCTGCCCTTTGAAGCAGAATCACCGTCGACGTTAATGTTTTCCCACTCTCCCCCCTCAGGCTTAACGCGGTGGAGCGCATCAATCAACTCGTCTTTTTGGTCATCTCTAACGTAAACAATCATCTGTGGACCCGCTTGTTTCGGGTCACGTTTCTGAAAAACCTCGTTCTCATCGACGACGTTTACATGGCTGTCATTGTACGAGCGCCAAACATTATTTTTGAAGTCGCGGATATAGATCCACCAATGGCCAGCAGCGCCAGTGCCGGAATACCTAGGTATGGTAAGTAAACATTCATCATTGCTGACGTTGGGGGTCTGAATTTACATGAAGATCGCAAAAATGTGGTACTTCATAGCGTCCGTGTCACATCTGCCAAGTGGCAGAGCGTTAAGTTCTTTACGGATCTCCGGCAATTCTTTCTTCATTTCATCTTTTGATACTTCGTCAAGCTTGGCCTCGTCTTCAAGGAGCTTTTCAAGGTCGTAATCTTCTTCGTCACGGACGTCAATAAGACCGTTCTCTCCTTCAGACCTTGCAGACTTTATAATGCTACCAAGGGCGGTGAATGCTTCGTCGCTATCGAGAGTTATCACTTGATTGCCGATCTTGCCTTGTTTCTTAAGTTTGACCTTGCGAAGCCCAAGAGACATCTCTATCTGCTCTAGGCGGTCTCGCAGATCCCACGAATGTTCTCGAATGGGCAATATTTCCTGATTGTTGACTTCCATGTAGCGGTCGAGGTTGATCGTTTTATTCACTTCCATATCATGTGCAATGCGCTCGCTACGAAAGTTTCCGGTTTTCTCATCCTTCACCGTTTCGCGGTTTTGAAGGTACCTATGATTCGAAGTCAGAAGGCCTTTCTCTCGGAGTGCCTAGAGCTGTTGTCACAGCGGTAATAAAGAATTTACCAGGGATGGTACTTACAACTGAAGAATTGGAGGCGCCACTTTGATCACTGTATATCGTGTTACTTCTCCTCCGCCAATTTCGATCTGATCACGGCCAAATGTAATATCGAGTCCCTCTTGTACGTCCTTCGGTTTTTTCGATAAGTGCAGCATTTGCCATGGATCGTAGTCTGGCTCAAAACTTACTCTCTTCTCTGTGTTCCTCGTGCAGAGCTGCTGTAAAACGCCGTAAAATAGGTCACGGATCCGGTCACCGCGCTCGCCATTGGGGTCAATACGTGTGGGCTTTATAGCTGCGATGGTGCGTTGAATTATCTTGGACGTGACTTCATGAGCATCTTGCTGCCTGTACTGTTCTTCGAGAGGGGTAGAGTGAGTAGTGTTGGTCTTATCTGAGTCTTGCTTTGGACGTGGTGGAACTGGTGGTGGACGATTAGGAGGGCTTGCCTTATCGTCACTGCTATTACTTTTCTTCTTATCTTTGTCTGCGAGAGCATTTTCAGATCCAGTTTCTTCGCTACTCTCGATCATTTGCTGGTCGTCCGCGTCAGAGTCAGGTGTTAGGATTGGGTCTCCAACGAGAGTGACATCACTCGAAGTTTCGTCACCTTGCACGGCCTCGGAATCGTTGCCAGCAGAATCGGAGGATTTACTGCTCTCAGCGACAGGAGTAGTGTTTTCGTCAAGGGGGATCACGCTCGGCGGCTGTTTTAGTGCTTCTGCGGCCAAACTTTCGTTTGCTTTAACATGAGGTCCTGGAGCCTGTTCGAGACTCTTGAACAGCTGCTGCAGCTGCTTCACGAGTTCGTGACCATCTTCCACATGCAGCTTTCTAATGTATGTTCCGGCAAGCCTGCCGAGGTTATCTATGTCAGCTGTTTCAACTGGTTGCTTAAATTCTTCGAAATTTAGAATGGTGTCGCGGAAAATCTTGATCGCATTGAGGAATTGAAGAATTGAATGCAAGTAGCAGTAGTTACGGGTGTTGATGAGACCAATCGGTTTGCTGTAGTCGGCCTCCATCTTCGGTGGAGGCGCAGGTTTGTGGTGCTTTTCTAGAAGACTGAAATACTGTGCGGCTTGAACTTTGCGCTCCGTAGACTCATTGGGGTCTTCCAGGGTTAAATTGAGTTGTGTTTGAAGCACAGCAATCTCAAGTTCTGCAGTCCGATCCTGAATACCATAGAAGCGATACGCAGCAGCAAGTTGGTCGTCATCGGAAGTAATTGTTGCTTCACCAGTAGCTAGATAGGCTTTAAGAGCTTCACTGTTTCGATGATTTGCGATCAATTCAATGGCCTTGGAGACCTTTTCTTGATTGCCATTAGAGTCATTCTCGGCTCTCTTCGCTCCAGCTAAAGCAATGATGTAGTCGTCTTGGTACTGAGCATTCTCGTTGTAGCTAATTCTGATGTCAGCATCCCTCTTGATACTCATGACAAATCTCAAAGGCTTTATCTACACCAAAGCTGCGAGTAGATGGTAAGGAGATTTGAGTTGCGTTCAGCGCTTTGGAAATGTACTTACGCTGAATCCAAGAACCGTAATGCGCTGTGGTGATCAGTGATCTCTGTTTTCGAAGAGTCAGCAAGGATCCACCAGGGACCAGCCACAATTGATGAAAAGTAATTGTTTCTATAAGACTCAGATGGAGCCTCGTCAAGCTCTTCATCTAACCAGCGGACCATGACTGTAGCCTGGTGTGTTTGTAATAGAAAATGTGAGAGAAGCTGAAGACCCGTACGATGATGAGGAACTGCAGAGGCCCGTGCGGTTGACGGAGAGACTGCCCATCGCTTTCACAAGCGGTGATATACCTGCAGTTACTCTAATCACATGTCTTTCACTCAAATTTTCGAGAATAGCAAAGACAGTTATGATCGGAGCCGCACGTCCAGGTAGAGTGATAAAGCATACCTCTAGCACTCCGCATGTGTCCCAACGAAACGACGACAGCGACTGGAGCATATGTGTACGGAGCTATGCCTCTAATATCCAGGCCTCCATGATGTCAATAGTTCAGCAGTGAATACAGCACAACTATCAACAGCCAGCATAAAGAAGGCTTTGACAATAGCAGTGCTCAGCAGAAGCAAATGGGGCGCCAGAACATCGCAAACTATGGCATCTTGGTTGAAGCAGAAGGACGGTTATATGTTGCGGTCCAGGAAGAGCCAGGTGCAAAAGCTGCCGGACTGGGGGATCGGATACAATTAGACGCAAGTGGTCGTGTAGGTGCTCAAGCGTCCAATATCAACCCAACTAAGAGAGAGAGAAAAAGGATATCACTCACCATTATCTGCGGCATCAAGCAACGCTTGGCTGTTTCGTGAAACACCGATCAACCTCAACTTCTCCCTACATTCCGGCTCTGCGCTCTTAGCAACACTGCCGAGACGGCTCTCGAACACTCCACGGATATAGTCATCCGTGAGCTCTGCTGCCTGTCGTGGATCCAGCGTAAAATACTTGTACGCATTGACAATATCGCTTTTCCCATAATACCCTTCTGAAGCAAGCAAGGCCAATTTCACGTCCAAGGTTTCGGAGTTGCGCTTCTTGGCAATGGACGTCAAGCAGTCGTAGTAGTACGGCATGTTGGCGCTGTCCGTAGCCATTTGACGGTCAAAGGCAAAGGATATGAGCTCATCTGAGAAATCTCCCAGAGCACCTAGCCCAGCGTACCACGATTGCTCTTCCAGCGTCAAGGTCGGCGCTCTGCGTGTGGTTTTGCTCTTTTCGTACTCGAAAGTTGAAAGCAACACCTGTGCATCTTCATCAAATGGCTCCATCTTTCCGTTGTAACCTTTTAGTTTCTCAAGCTCAAGTCTAGGATCTTGTTCTTTCAGTTGTCTCATCAGTGCCCAAAGCTCTTCCTGAGTGTCTTCAAGCTGCTTTCTCAAACTCCACGCCCAGGGATCTTCTGGTTCGGGTCGAGGAAGCATATAGAAATCTCCTATGTCCTTGAATCCCATCGATGCAAGGAGGCTGTTACAATCCTGACCGAAGGATGTGACAAAACGGCGATTTAGTTTCGGGATTTTCTTCTCGTCCGAGGAGTCAAATGAATCCCTAAGATACGACGACATTGCGTCAAGAACTTCAATCGGGGCAGCCGGCTTAGTATGTCCACGGTCCGGGTCGCTCGCCTTTGCTGCCTCCAGCCGTTGCTGCAGCTTCTCGGGGCTCGTCAGGAGTTCAATGTCTGCTGGTCGCAGGCGAGGCCACCTATAATCTATGCGTAGCTGAGCCGCGCAGCCGGAGCAACGCGCTTGATACCACTCGTTGTGTTCGTCATCGCGGAAGAAGTTCGTAAAGTGGTGTAAGGGATAGTCTTGCTTGGGACATGGCTGCGAGGTATGCTGAATTTGAATGTCCACATGAGAAAAGCAATGTTGACAGAAGCAAGCTAGCCTATACGTCTCTCCCGGAGCCGTGATTCCACTGTCGGGCAACACGGTCTGATTGCGTTGCGTGGTCCAGTAGTGTTTGCATGGCGTGTAGAGAGGCGCCCGACGTGTGGCATCAAACTGCTCGTCATATCCCCTTGGAGGGTGGATAAACGGGTTGCGTTCATTCTCGACGCGGTTCTGTCGGTCTGCGGTCTTGATGGTTGATATCAGGCGCGGCGCAGTTTGTCCTACTGCTTTTGGTGTTATTGAGAGATGACCATCTTGAGAGTTTGGCCGTTTGGTCGTGCGGGGTGGATCTGAACTATGAGAGCGCTTCTTCATACCGGAATGTTGAAGGTCTTGTATATGGCCATTTGAAGCCATGGATTGCCGATGACAGCTTGTTCTGAGCCGGTCGACCTTAAATAGATGTTTGCCGGGCGTAGGGCAGGATACGTCTAGAGGAACGGAACGGCGTCGCAGGAGGCTCGTAGGCTGCAGTAGGAGCTGAGGAAGGAACAAACTGGGTCGATGGCCGAGATGACCGCGTCAGCCGTCTTTAAGAATCATTAGCTGTTTGCCGCGGACCGTATACGTGGTCCATCACCTTGATAGTCGCCAGGCAGGACGTCGCAAGCTCGCGGCTTGGAATATAGGAAAACGTTCTAGGGTATCACTTGCGAAGAGCAGAAAAGTGTGAGACGAGAAAGAAGACGGAGCTCGAGCTCCAAACAGTCGCAAAGGCGCTTTACCGCAATGACCTGAGACAGCGACGTGCTGGCTATATGGCACTCTCGAGCCAGGATGAGCATGTTCCCCAGATTTCTGATGATCATGCACGCCAAGCGATCGTCACCATTTTCGCCGCATAGAACCGCTTTCCCGAAGAAGACAACAACCACTTTTTCACAATCCACACGTCCATATCGTTGTCTCTAGAGCGCTCGCGACCGCTCCTGTGAAGGTCGGCAACCGGACGCTCTCTGCTATACGTCAGCCTTGCTTTTTGTCGAGCTCTTATCGAGCGCATTGTTCGCGTGGTCCTGATGACACAGCATCACTTGATCAGGCTCTTCGCCTTGTTCTTCCGGAAGAGTCGACGCCCATAAATCATGAATCTGGACCGAAGAAAATCCCTCATAGATCCTACATACTTTTATTACCTATATTGTTCTTCTCAAGACATCTACCTTCGCATGTTGAGAATCATGCAACCTCGTCGAGGTGCTTGTGTAGGAATCTCGTGAGAAAAGCACGGGATTCTAACCAGATGGCTCGCAAACTGTGCTAATCATGTCTTCTGGCCCTGTTGCAGCATTTGGCTGTATCGTCAGAATGCCGTCCTCGCACGGTGGGAGAAGATCTTCAAACACCCCCGCTCACGATCCGGAAATGATTAACCATGATGATTTTCCGAACTACAAGCTATATACTACTGAATTCCCGGAGTCAAAGCGCGCTTAACGATGAAGCAATCCTGCTTAGCATCAGGCTCAAACCTAGCGATCAACACCGACCATGCCTGTTGAGCCATATCTCCTCTGGGTAAACTCAAAGCCTGTCAAGTGCCCCGTCGACCTCTTCGAAAAGTGGTACACGACAGAACACGTACCTGATTTGGTCAAGTCAGGAGCTGCCACGCGAGCAATATTCTATCGCGAGACGCTAGACTTTCCTGGCTCAACTAGGCAACACCACGAAAGGCAATGGCTGGGCGTCGATCAGGAGCAACCATTGGAGCCTTTGCCGTATCTCGCATCGTACCGGACGAAGTACAAGGAGGCTTTGAAGAGCAAAGAGTACCTCAAGATTCCCGTCGTCAGCGACATGTTGCCTTGGGAGTCAAAATTGCACGCTGAGAGCGGGCTTTTCGATGCCAGAAACTGGGAGTTGATCCAGGACTACGACCCAGACAGCGTCGGAGAGGGTGAGAGAAATCCACCAAGTTTCCCCAGAGCACGTTTTTATTCTTATCGATACGTATACAGTCCCCCCCAAGTTCATCGTGACCGTCGAATGTGAGCCCTCGGACGAAGATGACTACAACGCCTGGTACGAACAAGAACACCTAGACATTCTCCACAAAATACCGGGATATCGACGCTCCCAACGCTACAGGCTAGGCCCGCGTGTGGACGGGGTAACCAGAGGACAACCACCGAACTATGTCGCTATACATGAGACCGATGATATCCAGCAATTCTTTCAAGGACCGGAATTCGATGCAGCGTGGAGTGAGTGGACGAAGCGCGTTGTGAGCAATGCGAAAGTTTTTGTAGTGAGAGCGTGGGAGACTTTGCATCCTGAAGGATATTGACCTAAAAGTATGACCACGAGCATCGCTGAGATCGTTGATTGAAAGATTTTCGGTCTCCGTTATTACTTAATATGGTAAAATCGGGAAAGCTGATTAATGCCACGCTCGGTTGACATTCAGCCAGCAAGCGCTGATGGAGTTGCTCAACCGTGCCAAGCAGCTAGAGAGTACATACACCCTCAATCATAAAGGCTATTCTCACTTCCAGCTTCCGTTTTCTTTCCTTGAGGCGCCGTCACCTTGATCCCGCTTTCTAATCTGTGGAGATTTATCTCGTATCCCTTGACGTCGCACCAGCTTTTCACCGTCTTGATGGCATTCTTAATCTCTCTTCCATTCAACTCCCACTTCGCTAATTCCTTGAGGTCTTCTTCTTCTAGGCCATCAATAGGTCTCCGTTCTGAGCATCGCATGGGTGGCAAACGCTCCAAAAACTTTCTCCATAGTACTTGCCTTGCGGAGGGTGGCAGTGGGTTGAAGAGCAAATGGATGTTCACGCGAGACCGAAAAGCTGTGTCGATGGTTTCATACAAGTTAGTTGTAAGGAAGATGATGCCACGGAAGTATTCCAGCTCGCGTAAGAAGATCGAAACCAGCTCGTTGCGGGCAATGTCATTTGGGTTGCGCTCAGCCATGAACACGTCTGCTTCGTCCAGGAGGATAACTGCATCCCACTCGGTTGCCATCTCAAAGACCTTTTTGATGTTCGCGCCAAGTAGTGCAGCGTTGATACCTAAATCTTCTGCCTGTAGGTAGTATAGTGGCCGACGTGTCCTGTCCGCCACGGCTTCGGCCGTCAATGTCTTACCTGTTCCGGGAGGTCCTGAGAGCAGGAGAATGAGGCCCTGTCCCTTCCCCATGATTACGTCCTCGAGCCCAGAATTTGTTCTCTTGTGGTTCTCAACAAACGATAAGACCAGGTCTTTCTGCTTCTCATCGTACACCAGATGATCGTAAGCATCATCATTCCATGTGATCGAACGAATGTCATCGACATAGAAACTTACTACCAAAAAATTAGTAACTTGGGAAAACAAAGTGACCAAAAACCTATAACTTACGCCAAAGCTTGTTTTTCAAAGCATAGCCCTTTAATATCGGAGATAAGAACATCAAGTCATGGGGCCTACCCAACATCTCCTCTTCGTTCTTTTTCTGGTCTGCTTCCGATAAACGCTTGATATAATGATGCTCTGCCTTGTCATCCACAATCTGAACCGCGTTTGTCGCCACTGTCGTCGTAGTCATCGGAATAGTGTTGTTGAAAAGATCTACAGGCTGCTGCTGTGGTGGCTGTGGCTTTGTTCGGTTTTTCCTTCTCTTGGAGTCCCGGTCCTGACCTGAAGACCGTTTCAACGCCTCGTGATGCTTTTCGTAACCATAAATATCTATGAGGATACGACCCGATACCTAGAGAAATAGCCTTAGCAAACCCGAAAGACAGAATTCGAACCCATCGAACGCACGTTGTGTTTCTCATTCCTGGTTCCTGTTGCTTCCTCGTTAAATAAGCCCAAGCCATCGTACTCACAGTAAGTCAATCCTTGGTACTTGAGCACCTTCTTTCCTCTTTCTGCTAGCCTGGATTTAATCTCGTCCGGATCTTCGGCAAAAGATAACGGAAAATGATCCAGCTCCCTGATGGGTCTGTTGCCCTCGAAAGCGGGAACGTCGAGGATCGTGTCTCTCCAGGCAAAGCTTTCGCCGTCAAATGCGAGCTCCTCTGCTTTGATTATCAGGTGCTTTCTCGTTCTTTGATCTGTGATGATCTCTGTATCGACCACCTTACAAATGCGCTCACAGTCTTTATCGGGTGAATAAACGAGTGAATCTTTTGGGAAGTACATCCACGAATATTTGAAATTGATCAACTGGCTGCTCTGGAGATTGCTGAGATGCGTCTGGACGCCGCCAAATATATCGTTGAGCACTTTCATGAGAACTCCAAGGTGGGACTTCAGCTGGGATTCTGCTGTCTTACGCCAAAGCGAGGCAATCTCATCAAAGCGGAACCAAAGTGGTCGAAATGGATGTTTGAACGTGGCTGTCTCTGTAGGCTCAAGGTAGACGTCCTCCTTCTTCATGATATCCCGCAAGGCTCCAACGAGAATTGGGCTTTGAACTTCAATCATGTGATACTTAAGGGCAAATGCCCCTCCGACCACCGGTTTTTCCAGGTCCTTAACTTTATAGCTAGCTCAAGGTCAATTATGAAGTCAGAAACGACACAAAGGCTGGATCACTAACACTTTGACTGCGACTCGATCGTAGGCTTTAGCTATTTTCTTGCTCACTTGTTTTGGAGGCGTTTCGACCCAGTCGAAGTAATTGGCATTCGAGTTCTTGCCCTCGTAGAAGGTCTTGATGGCGGCGTCGCATCCAAAGGTTGGGTCCACAGTAGGGGCCTTCTTAACAGCTTTCTCGGATTTATGATCCGAACATTCGCTCGTGTCGTCCTCCGTGTATGGCTTTTCGCGTACGATCTTGCCTTTGCACGACCGTGCAAGGCTGGAGACGCTTTCGCCAATAGTGACAGCAATGTCACCTATGGCCATATTGAAACCCGAAATTCAGCTGCTTGAAAAAGGCAATCTCGAAAATTCTGCTCGTTGTGCGTGGCGTTTGTATTTGAAGACGTGTCCCAAGGCTAGAAATCCCAAGGATGAAGAGTAGGCTGGAGTTCGACAGACTTCGAAAAGCAGAGCAACAGGAATAGAGAAATGCTTCGGCGATTGAGCCAACTATGATCTGGCCGAGCTAGATATATGGGGCGTTCACAATAGGCAACAATTTCGTAGCCTTTCTTTCAAAAGTGGGAGCTCACCGCGCGCCGTTTTGGGACGTGGCGTTAGCTGGTGTTGGACGAGGATGAGGTCGCAGCCATCCTGGCAGCACTCGGGGTAGCGCTGTGGCGTTCGGCTGTGTGCATATCATAAGTCGTCGATTTGTTTATGGGCGGAAATATAATGCGATTGGGAGTTTTCACGGCTCCGAAGGTTCGACAGCCCATTACGCAACAGACTTTTCAAGGCGTCCAGATTTGTCGTCGCAAAGAGCGCCTCAGGCGTCATTCCGCAAGAGAGTCGTAGACGGATGTCAAGCAGGGCAAAAAGACTCCAGTCTTAAGCGTTGAATTTATGCGATTCAACGCTCGAGCTCTCGGCCACAAGCAATGAGCTCTAGCAAGTTGGGTACGAGCTATGCGATTATCTCACCTGCCTGGGGGACAGGACCGGTTGAGAGCATTTTCGAAGTCACACTTTTACCCCTTTCCGGAGCAGTAGCGGAACCGCAGGACGTGGGACGCTTTTCAGTGCCCGCATTCCGTGTTCGAACAGCATATGTAGCCCAAGATGCCAGCTCCGAAGATGGTATTTAGAAGAAGCGAAGAGCATTGCGGCGTGTACACGGGGGCAGCCAATGGGAACTGGCTTGTCAGCGCTGCGAACCTTGGAGCGGCTCAGTTGCCCAGGACGTTCGCTTCCGATCCACAGAATAAGCCAATCAGCATCCCGATATAGTAAACCTCGGTATGTTCCCGTAGTACTAAACATTGCTTTGAGAAATGCGGTGCAGCGTCGTTGCAAAGTGCCGAGATTCAAGTTAGCTCAGTTGGAAATAAAATTCGGGCACTGCGCAAAGTCCCCTCCTTTCGTTTATGCTGTGTTGAAGCAGAGACTTGCCCTCCGTCTCATCCCAACCCAATTGAACCATACCGAAACTATGGCACCCCTCACGCGCGCCGAAGTAGCCAAGCACAACACGGAGGATGATCTTTGGGTCATCATAGACCACAAGGTTTACGATTTGAGCGAATTTCAGGATGGCCATCCCGGCGGCAGTGTAGTCCTCAGACAAGTAGCCGGTCAAGATGCCACCGACGCGTTCTACAACCTCCATCGGCAAGAAGTCATCCAGAAGTACCAGACACTGTGCCTTGGCACAATCGAGGGCGAGACGCCAGAAGTTATTGAGCAGAATGCAGGAGACCTGTCTCCCGTCCCGTACGCCGAACCTCTGTGGTTGACCCCCCAGTTCAAGAGCCCATACTACAAGGAGAGCCATCGACGGCTTCAGAAGGCGGTGAGGAAGTTTGTCGATGAGGTGGTCACGCCAGAGGCAGAGGCTAGGGAGGCGGACGGCAAGTACATCAGCCAGGAGCTTATAGATAAGATGGCCGAAAAGAACCTCCTCGCGATGCGGCTGGGCCCGGGCAAGCACTTGAAAGGTCGGAAGCTGCTGGATGGTGTTGTGGAGCCAGAGGAATTTGACTATTTACATGACCTTATCATCGCGCAGGAATTCAGCAGGTCGAATGCTAGAGGCTTTCAAGATGGCAATCTTGCTGGCATGATGATCTCACATACTGCCATTCAGGAATGGTTGCACAACGAAGAGCTGAAGCAAAGGTTGAACGAGGAAGTGTTGACCGGCAAGAAGAAGGTCTGCTTGGCTGTGACTGAAGCCTTTGCGGGCTCGGACGTTGCCGGTATGCGGACCACTGCTGAGAAGACGCCTGATGGGAAGTACTTCATTATCAACGGCACCAAGAAGTGGATCACCAATGGCGTGTTCTGCGATTACTTTGTTACCGCCTGCCGGACAAAGAAAGGATACTCTGTCATTCTGGTACCCAGGCAAGAAGGCGTCACTACAAAATTGATCAAGACTTCGTATTCCACAGCAGCCGGTACGACATTTATCGAATTCGACAATGTCAAGGTCCCCGTGGACCACCTTCTCGGGCAGGAAGACAATGGATTCGTTGTCATCATGGCTAACTTTAACCACGAGCGGTACACTATGGCTTGCGGCGTCGTTCGGAAGCAGCGCACTATCGTAGAGGAGTGCTTGAAGTGGGCCAATCAGCGCATTATATTTGGCAAGAGGCTCATTGATCAGCCTGTCATCCGGCAAAAGTGAGTCTCTATGTTATCTTTCCCTTGCGCCTTCTTTCCCTGACACAAAATTCTAGGCTCGGCAGAATGATCGCTATGGTTGAATCGAACCAGGCATGGCTAGAGTCCATTGCCTTCCAGATGTGCAACATGTCCTACAAAGAGCAAACGAAGTTCCTTGGAGGCCCAATCGCGCTACTTAAATATCACGTTACGAGGAGCTCGGAGGCTATCGCAGATGAAGCAGTCCAGATCTTTGGCGGACGTGCTCTTACTCAAACAGGTCAGCCTCATTATCTCTCCTTTTTTTCCCGCACTTCGCTAACTCATCTTGATAGGCATGGGCAAGGTCATTGAGATGTTCCAGCGCACGTACAAATTCGACGCTATCCTTGGTGGTGCAGAGGAAGTACTGGCTGATTTGGGCGTGAGGCAAGCATTGAAGTTTATGCCAAAAGCTATGCTATAGAACGTTGGAACTAGCCCAGTAATTTCGATCTTGTATCATTGTTGCAGCGACTATGTAGATAGCTAACCATCATCAGACTGGGTGGGTCAAACGCCTTTAAGCTGACCGTGCTCTTCTCAATGTACTCTAGACAAACAGAATAGAATTAGTTGGATGCTTCGAGCGAGTTAAATTGCTCTTGTCATACGTAATTGTGCTAGAGATTTGGCTGCTAAGATGCGCCCCGGTTTAGGTCAGGTCGCCACGTCTGTTATGAGACCATCGCAATATTAGAAGCTTGCAAACAGTCTATGGGCGCTTGCTGTTTGTTATTTGAAGCAGTTTTCTTTGGTAATTCACACGAGTTCACGACAATAAACTCGCTTGTCGACTCGTGTCCAGCAGCAGTAATTCTCGAAGTCTTTGCTGATAGGGAGCCACTCAGTACATTCAATAGCTTTTTCCTGAGACTTTTATATCATTCGGCTCTACATCCAAAGTTGAACTCTATCCAAGATCTTTATCTCTCTCTCTCTCTCTCTCTCTCTCTCTCTCTCTCTCTCTCTCTCTCTGCAGTCAACTTTCTTCAGTCATGTTAACCATCATGGACTAAAGACGATAGGAACACTCCCATGTCTGCGCTGTTCTCCATCATTTCTATGCAAGATCACAGTTTCAGCAGGAATTAGAGCAACTCGTGGTTAGATTCCTTTCAGCAAGCCAGGAGACTATAATTGGCCAGTTCCATGAGTTCTCCTTCAAATGAGACGCGCATAAGATCTTTGTTAAGAAACAATAGCTTCCCAACGAAGCCACGGCGCCGTGTGCTCCCCACACAACCTTGTCCTGTCGATCGACGAGCTGTGACTCAATCAATCAGGATCTGACACGAAGGAGGTTACGTTATTGGACGAAAGGTATAACTTCGTAAAAGAAAGCCTTTCGCCAGCCCAATGGGTGGGGCGAGATCAAGCAACCAAGGTGAAATTGAAGGACAGGGGCCAATGACGTAGTCGGCTTGGCAATTGCTGCCCTGCATCGCGCTAAAATGCTGCGTGATGAATCTGGGGATCTACATCCTCGACCTCTTGGAGATTACAGGTACAAAGATAAAGCACGAATCTTTCCCTTACCATTGTATCGTGCCAAACTTTATCGATCGAGCACATATCGTCTCAGTCCTCCAGCTTCAAGGGAGCTGTTGCGAGGGACCAGCGCAACCGTGCCTCACTCGATCAAGCCCCGCATCAGCCCTTCAGCCCAATTTCGTATTCATCCAAACATCCTCACCACCAGCGAAGTCCTGCAAGCATGGCCGCTAGCACTCCTTCGATGATCATCAACCTGCCGCCTCCTCGTCCCGAGGAGGCAGCGACGCCCAGTGATCTTCCGTGAGTACAGAGCTTCCAAGGGCAACATTCTGCCAACAGAGAGAGAATCGGTGCCTAACACAAGCCGACCAACAGGGGCACGCCAAATTCTGGCACCACCACAATGTCTGAACTTTCGACCGTCGCTATCAAGGACGGCCATCGTGGACATCTCCCTCATCATCATCACAATCAACCTCTTGACGCTGAGCGTGCGGATCGCATCTCTCGCCTTGCAGGTCTTGATCGTGTTCAGCCTCGAGGTTCACTTACTCCAGGCGCTGGCGTTGTCTCAGGACAGCCTTCGAATCCTCCACAAGGTTACTTTGACTCCAACAACCAGCCCCAGATCATGCGCGAGCGCAGCACAGTCGGAAGCGCATCCGCAACTGGCTCAGTTGGTGGTCGCACAACGTGGGCCAGCGGCAGCGATGTATACGACCCGGACAAGATGAGCGAGGATCAGGATGTCGACACCTCGTCAATGGGTGGGTTCAGTGATGAGGGCCAGCAGTCGCTTGTGAGCTTTGGAGAGGGCGCAAGAACGCCTGCACGCCAGCCAAGTCATCTCGGCAGTCCGGTCGCAAGCAAAGTAACGCCAGTAACGGGGGTGCCAAGCGGTTTAAGGGAGAGCACCAGCGCGGGAAGTCCATCACAACAAGATGCGAGAATGATTGACGGCGTCACGTACGATACCAGTGTTGTGGACACGACGATGAGTGCCAGAGACCCGAACATGGAGCGCAGTGCTGAGACTAGCGAGCGGTTGATGAGGGAAAGGTTGGGTAGAGGCTCCCACTAACGTAAGGTGAAAAGGGTACAAACGAGATGTTGTGACGTATAAAGGTACGGTTTTATTATGATACAAGACGCTGCCACCGCGCTCGCTTTGGGCTGGCCTGATTGCTACTGTGAACAAGTCTCGTTGGACGCTTAGAAACGTCACGACCGAACAGAGCACAGTGAGATGTTGTGGGGATATCGACTTTGTATTCACTGTATGTACACACCATGAAAATGAAGAAAAGCGGGCGCAGTCTTTGTTTGGCTACATTGGCACATCATGTCTAAAATTTTTCTCGTAATTTGTCGCGAAATCCTGAAGAGAGATGATTCAGAAGGTGCCATGGCACAAAAAAACATGTGCAGAACTATCTGTACTTCAGTTGAAGACTACACCAGAACTATGCGTCTATGAGGGTATCATGATGTTTGTAGAAATGCGCGGTCGTCTTCCAATATTCTCACGAGGTCGTCGATCCTGCTCATTCCCCCTCGTCAGCTCTGACATATTTCATGCAGTTGAACATGCACATGTACGCTTCGTCAACCTAAAAAGACAAGAAACTACAGGCAAATGGGGAGTCCAAGGCGACAGCAAAAGGATTACGCCTCTCCAAAGTCTTGGTGCCCGGTGCTGTTTGCATGCGCAATGGCACCCTTCTCTCCCTTGCCAACCCAGCCGCATATATTGCACTTGATTGCGAAACTCGTAGTATTGGTGTAGTAGCCTGCCTCACTGAGCCGCCGGCCAATTTCGATAGCCTTTTGCTCAATCTCAATATCGAGTGCGTCAAACTGTGTCACATCGATCTCTGGTGGTCCCCACTTGCCCATTGCATTGGCGGCAAGCGCATCCCAATGTATGCCCGAATATACAAGGAACACACGTTGAGCCTGACCCTCGTTGAAACGTTGAATTGAACAATCTTCGAGATTGACGGCGCACACTTCAATGCCGAAAGTTTCGGCGATAATTATGATCTCCGTTGCACCGCCCCACGAGTTCGGATTCTGAATCCATCGGCAGTAGTCGTCCGGCTCCTTCTCAAGTACGATCGCATTGAAGCGGTCCGTGTCTGCCTGGACGCCCTGCGCAACCATGGAGCGCAGCTCGACCATACCATCCACATCGCTTCCGAGCAGGCATTTGCCCAGCGCGCGAAAAAGACACGAGTTATCGTCTGGCATAACACGGTGGACGAGGTAGGAGCCATCGGATAGCTCCACAGCAGGCGGGTCCTCTTCAAATTTGTTAGGTTTTTTCTTCAACGGGAGAGGCTGTTCTGGCTGCGACACCAGCTTAGCAGCAGATGTTCGTTCATCAGAGTTTCGCGCAACAGAAGTTGGTGGTGCGGATGCACTAGTATATCCGTGGACTGATGGGCTTGTCTTTTGCTCTTTGTTTCGCTCCTCGACTTGAACGCGTTCGCCGTTCAGATTGAAGCCGGTGTCCGAGAGTTTCACGGATGAATCGAACTTGTCAAGATCCAGAAGCTTCGGCGGAAAACCTGCTTTCAGCGTGAAAGCTGATAATGAAGATAGTTCACGGATTTTGGAAGTCAGGTCGGCCACGGTGGCCTCGTCGGCCAGATTGATAGTGGACTGCCCGAAAGCTCCACGGACACCAATGCGTATAGTCATATCCGACGAGTCGCGCGTACTACAAGTGGAACAGTGGCCAAAGAGGCTTTCCCGTTTGATGGATGGGTGAGATTTCCGGACTGGTGCGAAAGGTTCTAGTCGACGGAAGCTGTCCACGTGGACGAAGGCCCTCCACAAGACTTTGTTGCAGGCGCTAGAGAACTAGAACTAGAAGCTTCCACCAAGGCGGCACTCGAATGGCGAGTCAAAGTACATGCGGCCAAAAAAGGCACAAGCAAGGGAGCGGGGGCTTACGATATGAGTATACAGAGTACAACGAAGGCAAAAGGTACCGCGGGGAAAGATCTGAGACGGGCACGTGCGTATGGGGATCAAGAGGACAGCATGAACGTACAGGAGCAAGAAGACGAAAAAGTCAATCAAAAAGCGTGGGCCGACAAGGTGGTGGCGATGACGACGAGGGTGCAGCTGGCCGAGCGCTCGTCGTGCAAGATTGAAGACGGCCGGCGTCTTGGGCTTCACAGGTCGACCTAGCATGCGCAGGACAGCAGCGGCATGCATTTCTCGCTCTCTCCACTAACCCAGCGCGGGCAACGTTTTATTGGAAACTGGCAATCGCCGCTCACGCGCGGGCACCGCTTTGGCGGACCAGGCCCAAGTCCCACGCTAGTCCTATCTTGGAATCCCTACAAAGCCTCCAGGTCGCGACGTCTCTGCGCCTTGAGCGAGCGCGACCGACGTTCACCTCGTGTGCGACAAGTGCGACTGCTTCTCCACCCAACGTTCCTTCCGCATCGGGTCCATCTCGAGTCTCTCCTTACGCTTTCCTCCGCCGCCTTCTCCCACATTGTGCCGCTACGCTTGCGGCTGCGACGACATCGAGGCGGAGACGTACCCACGTTTGCGGCATTTCGCGCTGCTGGCCAAGACCGTACTTGCGACAACCACGTCGGCATCCATCGAATGTACTCTCGATCCGTCGCGTCGTAAGCCACTCGTTTTCTGACCGAGGACGGAGTTCTTTGACTGTACATGTGTCGCTTGTGTGCTGCGACATATCCTCTCCACATCTCCACCTTATAGTAGCAACGACTATGGCCGAGCATCGTGAAAGCGAGACGCCCATTCCCACAACCGAAAATGGCCAGCCGGACGGCGTGCAGAGCTCAATCACCGACGATCAGTATAGCGCCATGCTGGACCTGCTCAACAACATCTATGACTACCGCCAGCCCGACGGCCACGACCCATCGAAGCTATTCCACCGCAAGGTCAACAAGCGCATGGTTCCAGACTACTACGATGTCATCAAAGAGCCCATGGCTATGAGCACCATCAAGTCGAAGCTCAACCAACGCGAGTACAAGGACGTCCAGGAGTTCGTGCGCGATTGGGCCCTCATATCGCACAACGCGCAGGTCTACAATGTGCCAAAGTCCGGAGCGTATCAGGATGCTCTGGTGATCAAGGATCTTGTTCAGAAGGAGTTGGCAAAGATGGTAGAGAGCAAGCTTATCACAGAAGAGGAGGCAAAGATGCCATTCTTGGGCGAGATCCCTGCCCAAGAAGACTATCCGATGGATGATGCTGAAGATGATGATGCAGAGGGCGATGGCTCCGAAGCCGAAGACGAAGAGGATGACGAGGACGACGAGATCGACGACTCAGACGAAGAAAGCGGTAAACGACGAAAGCGGCGAGGTCCACGCTCAACTGCGGCAATTTCCAAGCGCGAGAAGAGCAAGTACAAGGACGACGACGATGATCCAGAGGCACGAAAGAAGCGTGGCCGCCCTCCACGAGTGGATACACCTATGGAGGCTCGTATAAAGGAAATTCTCAAGTCAATGCGAAAATTCAAGAATTCAAATAACGCGTTGATGGTCTACCACTTCGAACGCCTTCCAGACAAGGCAACCATGCCCGAATACTACGCTGAAGTTAAAAATCCGATCGCTTTGGACGTCATCAAGAAAAAGCTTAAGCGCAAGAAGTACAACGGTATTGAGCCATTCATGAAAGACATCGAGCTCATGTTCGAGAATGCAAAATCGTACAATGAGGACGAAAGTCAAGTGTATCAGGATGCAGTGTTCCTTCAGAAGGAGACGAGAAAGATAGCAGAGGAAGTGAAGAAGAAGCCAGACTCAGAATTTGTCATGGAAGACGGCAGAATCCCTATGCCCGATGGTATCTTACACAACGGCGAGTTGTGGAAAGTCGGTATGTTGGGCCAGATAATAAAACGAGTGACTCGCAACTAATGTATTACAGGTGACTGGGTACACATTCAGAATGCGAACGACCTCACTAAACCTATTGTTGCGCAAATCTACCGTACCTGGCAAGACACTGACGGCAACAAGTGGGTGAATGCATGCTGGTACTATCGCCCCGAGCAGACGGTTCATCGCTACGATCGACACTTTTACGAGAATGAAGTTGTAAAAACGGGACAGTACCGCGATCATCCTATCGAAGAAGTCGTCGACCGCTGTTTCGTCATGTTCTTCACGCGCTACAACAAGGGCAGACCACGAAACTTTCCCGCGGACAAAGAGATATACGTCTGTGAGGCGCGTTACAATGAAGAGAAGCACAAGCTCAATAAAATCAAGACGTGGGCGAGCTGTTTGCCCGACGAAGTTCGAGATAAGGACTATGAGATGGACCTGTTCGACGCGCCGAAGAAGATGAAGAAGGTGCCCAGTCCAATCAAATACTTGTTCAAGGAGGGCGAGCAAAAGGAGACTGATGAGATGCCGAAACCAGTCTGGGGAGCGCCAAACGCGCCGCCAAAGATTGGCGCCGTCCACTGTCGGCCAAGAGATCCTAAGGTGAGACCTACCTGTGAATCTGTCCATGGTGAAATCAATATTTAACTTCAAACAGGATTCACCACCCCCAGAACCAACTCCAAGTCCTCCTCCTGCGCCTCCACCAGCTCCTGCACGCTCTACATCTGTTCTTGCTGCACATTCAGGCGCAAACGGTTTTTCAGCAGATTCGCATCGGCCGCCAGATATTCAAGTGCCCGGACCGTCTACTGCTACTCCAACTCCGTCTCACCATCCGCACCAAACACCGTCCACGTCATACGCAACGTCGCATTACCAACAAGCGATGCCATCTCCAGCGCCCATGCTCCAGCCAATGCCACCTTCGGCCTCACAATATCGGCCAGCGCAACCGCCACTCACTCCATCATCTTCATCATACCATGTGCAATCTCCAGCTTCGTTGGCTCAGCAGACTTCACAAGCAACTCAGCTCCAGTACCAGAATACATTTGCTGGTGGGCCAAGCGGACCGACTGGCTACCGACCTCCGCAGGTGAACGCTCCGCAGCCGACGATGACGCAACAGCAGCGATACGAAGCAAAGCCTGATCCAGAAGTTTACTATCTTCCAGATCACGCGAATAACTCTATTCCTGATGACATTCGTAGACAATTTCAATGCGATGCTTACGGCCGCGTCCTTTTCTTCACGGCACCACCGGTAGAGACGCAGCACAAAGGTCCAAAACTAGGTCACACAGCGAAATATCTCGCGTACAAAGCTGAACGACAAGCAATGGTTCAGGAGAAAAAACGCCAGCGTTTTGCTATGGATTTTCCTAGAGAGACCCAGGCAAACAAGCGCGCGAAAAGCGAGGACTTGGAGAAGTTGATGGTGGCCGCAAACCTAGAAGCGATAGAGAAAATTAATGAAATGCTGGCTGAGGCAACTGTTGGAGAATACCAGGCTACTTTCAGGCAGAAGTGGCAGGAAGCTATGAACAGAGATTTGAAAGCCCTCGAGGCTGGACAAGATAGAGTAGCAAAGTTGAGGCAGGCAAAAGCAGAACGTGATGCCGAGCTTGAGAAGCATGGAAAACTGGAACTGAAGATTAAAGGATTGACGGGGTCTTTGGAATATGCTGTCAGGACTTGAGGTGTTTGCGAGGACGATGTCGATGCTTTCTTTAGAAAAGGTGGGAAAATCTCGTCCCCGACGTCGAATGGGACCAGTAGGCGACGAAAGTGAATCTCAGTGTGTTGCAGCTCGGACAAGGAATGAAAATCCTTCATTCTAAACCTCAGGCTTTTAAGCCAATCATTCTACGATAGTTGATAATCAAAGAATACCTCATAGGTACAAATGGAGAGAATTTATTCAAGCGATATACTCGTCTCACAAGACTTCACAAAGGCGAGCAACTCCCGGTTGAATCGTTCAGACTCTTCCCAGAAAAGCCAGTGCCCACTGTCAAATACCACCATCTTAGCATTTTCATTTCCACCCTTGTGCTTTTTTGCCCTCCTGACTGTCTCTTCCATGCCAGCAACACTAAAACAACCAGACCTCCTGCCGGCCATGACGAGAACCGGCTTTGAAATTTGTTCGATAGCCTCGCGATGGTCGTACCTCGTATGATCAGATAAGAGTCTTGCCAGCCAAGGGCCATTGCAGGTCCTGCTGATGGCCACGAAGAAATCCTCGTCAGCTCTTTTCTGCTCCTCCGTTACTTTGTCGCTGGGCATGGGAGCATATCTGTACCCCAAACACGACATGACCAGACCCACGTATGTTTGTTCGCGAACTTGGGGGTCGTCACTAGCCCACGCCCTCTGCGCCTCCAAGGTTGTGGCTTCATCGTAACATCCGTAATGTGCGAGTTCTGGGCCCCACGAATCAAAAACACAACGATCTTGAAGCGGAGCCTGATCGACGAATATCAAGCCAGCAAAATCGGCGTCGGTAAAGAGCTCGACATATGTCCAGAGCACGGCAGCGCCAATGGAACACCCAGTAGCATAGATACGAATGTTCTGGTCGCGCGGTTTGATGACCCCCGTGACGAGTTCATGCAGGTCCATTGCCAGACGTGCGACATGGTAGCCGTGCGACGTGTGTTGCGATTGGCCATGTCCGCGCAGATCTGGTGCAATCACCCAGTGCTCTTGTGAAAGTTCATTGGTGTTGCGGACGAAATAATCTGAAGATCCGGAGAAGCCATGAAGGAGCAGGATGCACGTACTCAGTGAGCCGGACTTTGCGCTAGATGCATAGCTTTGCTCCTCAGAGACAGCGCCATCTCCTGAGTTGACTGGACCTACAAAGTGCGATGTTTGGTAGGCGATAGCACAGCCGTCATTAGCGGTAAACGTTGCGTAGCGCATGTTTACTGGTGTTCAGGAGATCTAGCAATTCAACTACAAGTAGTCAATGCAGCGACTGGGTGAATCAAGCGCTATCACCTACGATGACAGCTTCGTCAGAGCCAGCAACACGTGAAATGCGGCCAGGCGAATGATGATGGCTGAGAAACAGGACGATCCTCCAAGAGCTTTGTCGTAAACGCGGGACGAGGAGATCATGTCGATCTCGTCAAACGTGTAGATACGATGCTACACAGAGCCCACCCAAGTCTACGCTAAAAACTCCGTATGTTCCCACATAGAGAGCAAGAAACAACGGAACGCAAAGGGAAGTCACCATTTATCTACTACCATTTGGGCGCTTGCTGTATCTTTCGTGTATGAATACAAGAGTGCATCCGTTTGGAACGGAAGCAAAAAGCGAAAGGTTGATCTGGCCCGAAGAACGTGTTCGTGCAATCGCTTTGTTTTCTCGAAGCCCTTTGATTCCTGGCCCGCAATCACCCACCCCGCTTTGCATTCAGATTTTGTACGCAGAATGTAGGAGAACTCGTCTGATCAGGAACTCGAAGGATTCGTGTACGGCTCAAGCCGATCTCAACGGCATGCCGATAGCGCAGTCGTAGCATGTCCAGTAGTCTTGGTCAAGTTACGTCGGCTCGCCGATCATGGTACGCACGTCAAGTTAACTCAAGCTATGTTTTGCTTCTTTTACCTAGAAAAGCCCCTGCCCAATTTCCAATGAGTACATTCACCACGACGATCGATGTCCAGGCGCGGCGTGCCTGAGATCTATATCTCATCCTGCCGCAGATCCGCCCTGTGCACCACTTGGAAGCCAGAAACCGCCCTACACGGGGTCGTATCGCGAACGATAAATGCACGTTCTGCACGGTGCAACCAAAACGTCAAAAGAGCTATCACCCTGAAATTGTTGCGCTAATGTCTCTCTTCCGCCCGTGTCGGAATCTGCGTAAAGGCAATTGGGTCAAGGCAGGCATGCGCAGCCTTTAGAGTGCCTGCAGATCATCCAACCTCCGCCCGCACATCGCAATACGAGCCGACTTGTCAACCTCCCTCTCGAGGAATGTCGCCATGACCAGCCCAGCCGTGCCAAGGGATTGACAGGCGCCCTGTAAGATCTCTGGAGCCCCGGGAAAACCCTGAGGAGGCCTTGCAGTATGGAGAAGAGATCAGAAATGCTGATGTCGATCTCCAACACTATCGAACGGCCGTGAATTAGAAGATTCTGTAGGACACCGTCATACAAAATGCTTCCGATGCGAGGAAGCCTGTGCGATACGACACCAGCCTTTTGCTTCAATGCTCAACGAAACAATGGCAGAATCTCCCTCAGAAATCAGCCTGTACAATTTCCCTCCTCAACCGGCCAACTTTGACTCGGTCGGCATATTTTTCGTTACATTTCTTTCAGCATGGACGACTCTCGTGGCTTGTGGAATGACTTTTCTGATAATTAATCGACGGAACCCAATCATCAAGATCAGAGGCCTAAAACTCTCCCTTGCCGCAATATGTATGCTCCATGCGTATTGGATCCTTGGACAACTTGTTTACCCGATTGGCGCAACCATGAATCCGATCCTAGCCTATGACATACAATACTTCTTCATGGGCATATGGCTTCCGCTCGGCATTGCGCTTTTTCATGCGGCCAACCTACGATTTCTTCACGTTGCCAAAAGACAAAGAATGTTTACGAACTACCAAACGTTGCAGCGAGGCTGTAACAGGGCCAGGACGTCTTGGCTCCGTCGTCTCCGTAACGCGGACTATTCCACAAGAGTCTTGACATTCATCTCTATTGGCATGATTCTACAGGTAAGTGTGGATCATACACGCAAGTGTCTATGATGCTGAAGAGGGTCAAGATATTTCTTACTGTTGCCATGTGGATTGCCTGCCGGAAATATCATCCAACGTTTGGAATACCAGGAACAGAGCTTCCCAGTGGGACACCACAAGAACAACTTGTAGTGCTCGGTCAAGGTTGGGAATGGTGGCCAACTCTCTTGTGGCAATTCCTTTGGAGCTGGATCGTAGCGCCGTATCTCATCATCAAATCTTGGAATGTACATGACACTCTTGGTTGGCGTGTGCAAACAATCGGCTGCTGCATCGCAAAGTAGGAGCTGAAATTCTCAAGCTTTTGTATGCGAACTAATATGAAGTGTAGTCTGCACGCAACGCCAATGTTTTTAATTGCTTCATATGTTCCGGAATTCTCGGTGATCAATGAATACTTTACACCAAGCAATTGGTAAATCCCAGCTCACACGCAACAAGGTTTGAGCTGACAGAGAGCAGGATCCACCTCTCTATTATGTTCTTTGTCATTTTCACCGTCTTTGTTCCCTGTATACAAGTTGTGAGACACGTGAGATTGCAGCGTCAGGCTCTGGCATTCAATGACGCCCGTGAATCCGAGTCTCGATCAACATCTGTCATCTTCTCAGTCGGCACATTCAAAGCAACGGACTCGAAATCTTCTGGTTATGCAGGCGAAAGCGGTACGCAAATTGACGTCCTCGGGATCGAGGACGACCGATTACTCACCAAAAGCGCTCTCGACTACGTGCTGCGCACCAATCCCTCTTCATTGCAAAATTTTTCCGCGTTACGGGACTTTTCAGGCGAAAACATTGCCTTCATCGTCCGTGTTTCTGAATGGAAGGCTACTTGGTTCCAAAGCCTTGAGGTTGACCCAAATGAGACCCGGAAAATGTACAACCGAGCATTAGAGATATACACCAGCTTCGTCAGTCCCCACGACGCCGAGTTTCCAGTAAACCTATCATGGCGCCAGCTTAATAAACTCAAAGACATGTTCGAAAACGCTGCCAGAGTCATGTGTGGAGAAGCTCGTAAGGTCTCAGGCGCGTCAATGTTTGACTTCAATGAAGCACCCGATTCTAAGGACGTCACGAGAATAGAGTTTTCCGAGTTGGCCAAAAGAGCGCAATACACGGGCGAGATCCCAGACACCTTCAATGCCGGCGTTTTCAACGAGGCACAAGCGCACGTCAAGCAATTGGTCTTTCTCAACACGTGGCCGAAGTTCGTAAAAGAGCTGCGTGAAAACAGGCCGAAGTCGAGTGAGACTGGTAGATCTGATGGCACTTGGTCATCACAGAGGACACTGTTGGAAAGGACGCAGAAGTACTTCAAATCCATGTTCTAAGAGAAATATACATGACGAACCACGGCTTATAAAGTCTCCGGTACGTCTTCGCATAGTACGATAGAAGCTAAAAATTACCACGACGATAACCGCGTCTAATGGAAATCTTGATGAGGGCTCTGGTCACTCAAAGACCATCCGGATTGTCACGCACTCAAGAGCATGTGCAGATGAGTGTTTCTACAATGTTTGAGAGTGAAAGTCAAGTCGTACGTTGCCTCGTCATCTGTAGAATGAATTAACTCGCGCCGCAGGCTGGGCACTTTTCGTTAAGGATGTGGTGTAGCCAGAAAAACAAGAGCGAGGATCAACAAAAGAAAGGCGTGAATACGAATTGGGCTAGGAGAACATCGCCGGCCTTTACTCTCTGTCGTTCACTCCAGACAAAGATCCTCGCAAGTTGACAGGGTCAAAAACGTGAGTCGGACCACGAAAGTAGAGTCGAATCCGGCTGCTGGATGGTCTGTTGCTGGCGAAGAGGAATGACGTTCTCAGCTGGGCACCCACAACTGTCGGACGAAGATGGCAGAGCCCTTTCGGCGCTCACGAGTTCGAGTGTCGAACAGGATCGGCGAGCATCTTGCCTGGATTTTGCGTGATGTTCGTGGCCAGATCACTACGTTGACCTCACTGCTGATACCTTGAGTTCGCCTGATGACCTGATCGCTCTCGAGGTCTCGCAAAACGTGATCACGCGACTGGGCTAGACCGCTTTGGGATGGGTGAGCGAAACTCACGTTGGCCGTACCTGATTTGGTCTCTCTCTTCTCTCCCTGCCTCTCATGTTTCGTCGTCCCTCGACATCGCTTGCCTCAATACGTGCCATGACAGACATCAGCCGCTTTGAAAGCGTCTTTTCCTTTGATCCTAAATGCCACTTTTCGGAATACACACTAGCGGACATTGCTCATGCGCAGAACACCCTAAACTCGAAGACCTTCTTTGAGCGTCTGCTCGAAGAAGTCGGCATTGCGACGAGTATGTGATCTTCAGGCATGATCGGCACCATAATACGAACTTATTCCCTTCACGTAGAGCCTCGAATCTATCCTCCCAAGAATAACCGCGAACTCAGACAACTTCACCAAGCCATTATTGCCTCCAAAGCTTCGGAGGACCAGAAGCTGGCTCTGCTCTATTACCTGCTCAAAAATGTCGGTGCGTCGTGCCACGGAAAAGACGTTGCCGAAGATTTCGCTTCGGAGGTTGTCATCTCGAGAAGAAGCTGGACATTCATAGAAGGCATCTGGGAGCTAGATCATCTCCACTACGCTGTACGCTCAGGTGCTTGGAGATATTATGCCAGTGCTAACTTGCCACGCAGCAAGCGCTAGAGATCTTTGCTTCGGTTTCGCTGCCGCAGAACCTTGCGGAGGAGCTTCTCGACATTCTACTCGATCTCCAGAAAGGAGAAATTGCAGTCGCCCTCTACCAGACTGTGAACCCATCTTTCTCAAACCCAAAAGTGCTGCAGAAATACTTTACGTTAATTTGTCAGTGTAGCATTGCAGATGCATATTCCTTCATGCACCACCAAGAAGATCCCTCTCTGTTCGAAATTCTGCTTGCACAAGCTCTATCCGGTCAAGGCCCGGAACGAGCGCGAAACTGTGTCGAGCTCATCGATCTTCCGTTCACTGCGGAAGAAGAAGAGAAGATGTATGACTTCTACTTGCATGGGCCAGGTCGTAATCTCCCAAATGCTGCCGATGTAGTGGTGATGCGCAAGATCGCAACGGGAAAGCTCAGCGAGGTGGAATCAGATGTCCGCCGGCTAAACGTTACGAAAACCCCCCATGACGGTATGACTTGGGACAACATTGTGAACAGCATTGGTCGTGGAATGGGGCCACGAAGCAACCTTCCTCACCTTTTAGATTGATAATCTACCCGTCGGCCTGACCGTCAATTTTTTTGGGGGGAGGGGACAGTAGAGCCCTACGAAGTTCTGAAAGGAACCACACATTGGAATTATTGGAAATAGCCCTAATTAGGCTTCAACAATTTGTCGCGACAATAACTCAAGGGAGCGGATTGTGCAAAGTCCGTGAAAATCAGTGGACGCACATCTCCACCCTAGCTATGTAACTTGCGTCCACTGGTTCCTAATAAGGCTGCAATGGTTTCAAGGTCAACGAGCTCACCGGAGGATGTAACGCATCATAAGTATTGCACCTCGTCGCTTCCATGGATGCACCGCGGGGTCTTGTCGATACCTATACAAGCAGTGCGACCGAGATGGTTGCGGGCAGGCACGACATGTGTCAAAGGCTTGTGATCTTTCGGGGCAACGATGAAGTGACATCTGGAGGACAGCAGCGTGTGTTCAACACGCCGGTCGAATGCAAGAAGTATCAAATCTCTACTCCACTCGCATCCCTATAGTTTTCTATCATAGGCTTGAAAGGTCCTTTAACGAGAGCTGCACCGTCACATCATCCCAAACCTTGTCGCCCTAGCACCGCTCCAACAACAAAGCCACGGCTCAACGATGAGAACCACACCGACACAAAAGTCGGCGCACCCGCTGCGTTTCAAAAAAATCACGGCAGCGAAGCAGTGTCCTTTTAGGTTGAAGGGATTTATCTCTCGTCTACGTAATCTCGGGCCAAAGCAAAACGCATGTCCAGTTCCCCAACTTGATGCACATGAACATCCAACGCCGACAACAACGTCCCAAAGATTGCTGCATTTTCGCCGACCAAGCGCAGTACAGGGTCGGCAGACTCATACCGCTTACAGCCACCATGACGACATCCAAGCACTGGAATATATAGGTATTGCACAGGAGCTTGTATCAGAAGACACACAGTTACAGTCATATCACCCCCTTGATAATTTTTCTAATCTTTCCTAGACTCCGCCTCTCTAGTATCGAAATTCTGCGCCTTGATGAAGAATGGCCTGCTTGGGAATCTGGTCACGCCCGCGAGAATGCGATAGGAATCATGATGCTTCCCCAAACACCTACTCTAGACGACTCCGTGTTCTATGTTCATGCCAGCTACTTTGCTCTATAGGAATCATAAGACCTCAAAACTACGAGCGCATTGGAACCAAGAGCTGTATTTGAAAGATTGTCATTCACTGAGGATGAGAGAGTTGCGCATGAAAGGGTTGCCGAATGAAGCATGCTATCAGCACAGGTTCTGTACATGTGTTCGGACTTCCTATCTTACTAAAAGCATCTATTTCGAAATGAGCCCTTTATCAGTAATCAAACGCGAAGCTGTTCCCCAGTTTCTGTGTACGGCTTATCAGAACCGTCTGCTGTCACCTGCTGTGCAGCTTTCTCAATTGCTCGCACCAATGCCTCGATAGTCTCCCTGCGGACCTCTCTATTTATTACAACTCTAAAGAATTTACCCTGCTCACCAGGCGCGTAATCGATCATGAAACCCATCGATATGAGTCGATTGGCTATTCTCTCTGTAATCCTTGAATTTACCTCCTTTTTCTCACTAAGTCTACCGTCGCGTGCCCAGTAAAAACATACTTGCATCTGGTGAAGAGCATGTAAGTTATTTCGTTTGCATTGGCACAAACATGGGACACTTACACACGGCAGTGGATATTTAGAAACCATAACAACGTTTTCGCGTGTAGACAAGACCCGGTATAGATGATTCGCCATTTCGTAAGCACATTCCAGCTTCTGGCCGTACCCTTGTCGGCCATAGAATAGCCAACCGAGAAACATCTTCAAAGCGTCACCCTTTCGCCCACACTGAGGTGTGAAATGGCCAAGATCGTACGTGGCACTCTCGTGGTTGCTCTGGTGGAACAAATATTCCGCATCAATTGTATTGGCTGCGTAAAACTGTCTCATATCTCTGCCTATGAGAAAGGAACAGGTGATGGGTACGCCCAACATCTTATGCGGCGTTATCGCAAAGGTGTCGGCTTTGCACAGTCCTCGCATCCGATCCTTGCGCAAGTTTTCTGAAAATAGGATGGAACCTCCATAGGATCCATCGACATGGAGCCACAGATTTTCGCTTTTGCAAATTGCAGCCAACTCATCGAAGGGATCAAAGCTCCCTAGCACGGTGGTGCCGGCTGTGGCATTAACGTAGAATGGCGTCTCTCCGCTCTCTCGGGACTTTTTGATCATCTTTGAAAGTTCTGTAGGAATCATACGGCCTTCTATATCTACCGGAACGCTCCTCACAGCATGAGAACCGAAGCCGAACATTTGTGCAGCCTTCTCCACGGAATAGTGGCCATGCTTCGAGGTGAAGAGAACAAACTTTTTCTCCCCGTAACCGTCCGTCTTCGTCTGGGGGAACATCGTATTTCGAGCCACGAGAATGGACAGTGAGTTTGAAGCGCTTCCACCATTTTGACATATGCCACCCATATAGGGGGCGTTTTCGAATCCAACGAGCTCGGCTAGCGCCCGCGCAGTATACTTCTCGACGAGGGTGAGAACGGGCGAGCACTGGTAGACATGGACGTTTGTATTTAAGATCGCGAGGAGATACTCGGAGGCAACCCCCACGGCATTCGTGGAGGAGAAAAGCTTGTCCATAAATCCTTGATCCCACGTGTTGACAGAGTACTTCAGAATCTTTTCGATGGTCATCAGCAATCCATCCTTGCCATTTCCCTGTTCCGGCAGTTTTAAGTCCAGAAGTTGCTCAAGCTTCTCTCGAGGAAGACATTCCAACAGCGCAGTCCTAGTTTGATGATTATCTTGCTCCGAGACGTTTTCCACATGGTCTATCACAATATCACGATCTGCTGCGTCTAAGAATGGGTCGACAAGATTTTTCACATCTAATAACAGCTACAGTTGCTATCAGCACGGGAATGTCAAGAAAAATGGATCGTACCTACGTCTGAGACCTCTTTGGCTCTACTCATAATTGGGTCTAGCCTTATCACTCTCCACGAAAATCAGGGTGACGGAGAGTGCACTTTGAAAATCCAAAATCGGCGAAGCAGAACAATAAAGATATGTCGATCTTTATCCCCCAATGGCAGCCGATTTCGCAACGGACCACACAATAAGTTGCTGGCAAAGACCCCATGCCTACAGGTCCAATGCTAGTCATATACCGTGTTTGAGCAGCACGAACACTAAGTTCGAAAAGTATGTAGTGAGAGGGGTTCGTGATATTTGTGTCGTACATCAAGACAGTAGTGACATCCTGCACACCCAAAAAAGTCTTCAACGGCAAAATGAAATCTCTATGTTACAACCCGATTGCCTTCAACACAAGGTTAGCCACAATATATACAGAATTCAGGACCTTGAGCAAGTCTTAAGGGTATATCTTCCATCAATAAAAGAAAGAGAAAGTGAAAATGATTTATGCGTTCCTCTGTCGCTCTAGCCGACCGTCGTAAGTAGTTGCCATCTTTTTCCCAAGCTCGTAGCTACTGATCATAATGGCACAAGCTGGCGCAATCTTGAGGCATCGAGCAGCCCACCCTCTGAACAAGCCATTCCACCCTTGCTCCTTGAATATTGTCCACAAAAATTTGATCATCCGCTGCTCTTCAGGAAGTTTCCTGGCCTGTTCCGAGCCGCTTAATTTGGCATGCCGTACCACTTGTTGTCTGGTCTTTCCAACATCAAACGGCGTGGTGACAAAAGCTGCCACTGCTCCTGAACTAGCACCGGCAATAAAGGAGTCAACAAGAGTGTTCGCGTGATTTTCCTGGCTTCGTGATTTGGAACGCATTTCAATAGCGTTCTGATGATGTGCTATTCGCTCGCGACCCCTTCTCCCTTCTCTGAAGTCGATGAGAGCATTTCGAACATACTCGTAGCCCCACCAGTATATTGCGCTAAAAGGTACGTCACGCCAAAGCGTGAGGCTCAGACCCGTCCACATGCTTCGAAAACCTCGATTGGCAATCATGTTGCGCATGCCCATCATGGTCTCCCTGAACACATGGCTCGACTTTTTTTCAGTGCTCGCTGCTTGCATTCTCGTTCTAAACATTTCAATGGGACTCACTGCAAACGCAGCGAGTACACGAGCGGCAGAACCAGCCACAAGAGGAATATGATCGTCGTTCATTTGAATTCTTCGAAAAGGGCTCGACTGGTTCCACCTCAGCCAGTCGTACCCTGCAAAATAGATGACATTCGCCGGTATCGCCATCACCAGGGTTGGACTTAGTCCCCGCCAGAGTGTAGTGACTCCTTCATTGCGAGCAATCTTCTTCAGCCCATCCCATGTACTCGTGAATCTTCTAGCCTGTGCCTCTTCAGCAGCACAGTTTATCAAATTGGAGGGTCTTTGCTTTGTCGATGCCGTAGTGGTAATGACAGACATGCTCGGGGCCGAAGCGATGCAAAATGATGCGTTATTATTCATCCAGAAGACCTCACGGCAACAAGTCGATATTCCTAAGTTCGGAGGCAGATTTATGAACGTCGGCGGAGATCGAGATAGCGCTGGAGAAAGTTGAGGGTGTGACTGTGACTGAAGTCGAACACGGACAACGTCGAGCGGTGTGACCAACAAAGAGGTGAGAATACTTCCAGACGTCGCTGAAAGCATCTTTTGCATCATAGAAGGCTCGACATCCATATCCTCACGACCATCTTCAGGGATGAGACCGTACGCCTCTATCCGATCATGATTTTGACCCTTCAAAGTGACATCGGTGTCCGGTTTGGACGCCATGGTGAATGTAAACGAAGTCGTGCCAGGAACCGCTTGGTTACCTCGACATCGTGCGGCGGCTGTTCGAGTGGCGAGGAGAGGGTTGATATAAGGGCGAAGGCTCGAAACTCGTCAATGCTTGCTTCAAGTACGTTATGATGTAGGAATTTCTTCAGGCAAATGCCCGATGATCGGCCGGCGTTGCCTGAAACGGAATAGTTTCGGCGTTCGCATGGCTCGTCTCAGTTGCTACTACCGAGTACCCTTCTATCAATTCGCCTTCGATAAGAGCCATTCTTTGCCCTGGCAACAAGTTCAAATTGCTTAACCGATCTGTGTGCTCTACCTTAGGTCGTCCTGAGTCTCGTCACTCGACACGTTAGACTTTCCTTCCTCTGTTTTCGAAAGGTTACCATAAATCCGAACAGTAGTCTTGTGCAGATTTACTATCGGATTCCTAGCCAGATTTCTCTTCGCCCTTGATAATGTATGCATCTCCAGCACTTCAACTTTACGATAAGTTTCTGAAACTTCCATTTCCCTGACGTTTCATTCAATTTGATGGGAGAACTAGTCGAGAGGAGCACCGCAAGTAGACGCTGACCTTTGCAATTTTTCCGACCCTTCGCGGAGTCACCGAGTTGAAAGCGAGAGGTCAGCGCAAAACTTGCTATTCCACTTAGAAAAGCATCAATGTGTAACTGACCGGAAAATATTGTCAAAAATTCAGACTGACGCTTCCTTTTTATGTCATTTGAAACACGTCAACTAATACGATGTGTTTAGCTTGCACATTCAAAACAGCAAGGCACTCTCTTCCGACCTTCAGCAAACTCCGGAAAATCGATATATCGAGCGGCTGGAATATCTGCTATCGTGCATATGACAGTCTTTTTTAGGGCGTAATTTCGACGTCAATACTTGTCAGGCATCTCACCATCTGGGGTGCAAACTCGGTCATATCTCTCATTCTCAAGTTTGGAATGAGCAACAAGTCTAGACAGCAATGACAATGAATTCCACTGAAGCAGAGCTTGAAAAATTCCGCCAAGAATGGAAGCAAGAAGTGTCTGCGAAAGTAAAGAGTCACGCGAAAGCAAATCGATCAGGACCAAGTAATCCAAGTCCTGCTGCGACGAAGACAACAGCTCCATCCAGGACGACACAGCCAAATCCATCAGCACTTTCATTTTATAACTCTCATAATGATGATGATCTTGCTCCTCAGGGCTACCACGATATAGATCAGCAGTTGGGAGGAAGTCAACACGATCTAGCCCAGGCCTCGTTCCTAGCACGTGAGCCCCGGACCGCGTTGGAGCATTACGAAAAAGCCGTAGAAAAGGAAGGACAGGGTTCTCTCGGTGACAGCCTGAGTCTATATCGGAAAGCTTTCCGTATGGATTCCAACGTTGACAAGAAGTACAGGAACAAGCACTTCCCACCGTCAGCATATGTGGCATCCAAACCATCGTATTCCAACCCCCCAAACGCATTTGCGACAGTGCCAAATCATTCCCAACATTCCTTGATCGGCCTTTCCAAAACAGTGGCTGATTTGATTTCTGATTTCTCAGCCTTATCAATCACAGGCGAACCAGCCTCCACGGAATTTTCTCCAACACCAGCATGCCCGATTGCAAAAATACCTGAAGAGATACTGTCGCAAATTTTGATGAATGTTGCGATCACAGATGTCGCTTCCATGGCTCGATTGGCCCTGGTTTGCAAACGGCTAGCCTTTCTTGTGCTGACGGAAGAGAGCATCTGGAAGCGACTTGTACATAGTCGCGACGTTGGCTTACGGGGCATGCACTATCAATTTGCCTGCACTATAAAAGGAGAGCCTATTAGAACACCGAACGATATCATGGATACTTCACCAGTCGTGGAACGAGTTCTCGATATCACACTTCCTTTAACGCCATTGTTCCCCACATACCGGCAAATGTTCCGACAACGTCCACGTATACGATTCAACGGGTGTTATATTAGCACCGTGAATTACACTCGACCAGGTGTTGCAGCCACAAGCGTAACGTGGAATTCTCCGGTCTTTATCGTCACTTACTACCGTTACCTTCGCTTTTTTCGAGACGGAAGTCTCATAAGTCTCCTTTCCACAAGCGAACCGAGGGATGTTATTCCGTATCTCCAACCCGAATACATGCATCAGAATCACGCGAATACGGCGCCACAAAACGTAATGAAAGATGCCCTGAAAGGACGGTGGCGACTGACAGGTAACCCGTGGAAAATCATTCAAGCTGAAGATGGATCTGAGGAATCCGACGAACCCGAAGGCGACTTGATCATTGAAACGGAAGGAGTTGTACCCAAGTACATGTACAAGATGCATCTTACGCTTGGATCTGCTGGGAAAGGTACGAGAAATAACAAGCTCACATGGAGAGGGTATTGGAGTTGGAATAGATTGACAGATGATTGGGCGGAGTTTGGACTGAAGAACGATAGAGCATTTTATTGGAGTCGAGTAAGAAGCTTTGGAAACGACGTGTAAGAAAGATGTTCGTAATAAGGTGACAGGATCGTCGCTTGATTTTGCTGGTCCGTCAGAAATGCCATACACCCTTTTTAGTGTCTCCATCAAGCCCTTTTGCAGCTCTCGACCCAACATTTGACCTGTATATGCAACCCGCTACCTTGAATCGAATGCTTCAAGATCTAATGCTAGTATTGCTTTTGGACGCATCGGAAAGCAATCAGCCGTGCTGCACGATGTCCTCTGTCGAAGAAGAGATTGAGGCTCGGCGTGTCTGACACCGCGTGTAGGTGAAGGCTATGCCACGCCAGCGCGAACATTATGCGAATAGGGCAACGGTTCGTCATCATCTCTGCTTGGGGTTCTTCATACCAAGCTGCTGCCTAAGCTCATTCTTGAAATGAGTCCAGAACCGGGCATCTTCTGGCATGTCTATCTTAGTGCCACCCATCTCTTCCATAGGCCTACCATGCCGCAAGCGATGGACACCCTTTGCTATCTTCTCGACGCCGCGATGGAAGGCTTGACTTCGAAGCAGTGTCGCAACAGCCCACGCCTGACCGTGGTCAGCTAGGAAAGGCTTACAGTGTATGAGTAAGGGGCTGTGCAGGGCATTCACGCACCTCAAAAGCTCTGATTAGCATCCACTTCATCGTTTTGACTAGTGAGTTTGCCAGAAGGCGAGTTTCGGCGCGTGTTTCAATGTCGGCGGACGTCAGAGAGCGATTGGACACGGTAAGCGAGTTACGAGATGCAAAGACCCGCGACCAGTTGCCGCAACACACACGTCTTTGGCTAGATATTAATAGACGACGCTGTTAATAGCTCTTTGATACAGCTTCACATATTGTCCTGTCGCATTTTTTGCGCCTCGTCTTTATCCTGCCTCTCTTCCATTATTATTTCTCTCTTGCGCACGCGACATCGCTCTCCTCTTGTGCGCTCTAACCCCGCGACCTCCCCTCTTCTGCGAGCCGGTTCGGCCAATTTCTTGCCATCTCCAACAAACAATTACCTTTACGCCAGCGCTCGTTTGAGATAAGACTTATCCATAAGAGCACCCTGGCGTTCTTGATTTCTTCGGGGCTCGTCCGGATACGTCGAATATCCAGTATGTTTTCTCAGCACAGTATCATACAACGAGCGCGTCGAAACAAACTTGCGCTAACATGCCCTGATAGAAGGTAATTCGAAGCTGCTTAGAAACATACTGCCGTCTCATACGTTTACGACTACTCCTCACCGCATGCCTGAACCTAGCACTGAGAATGGAGAGTCTCCGCAGCCCACGACCGCTTCAGGCACCGCCGAAAAGAAATTACCCGCTTTTCTCAATCAGTCAAGAAGCGACATCCAAGCGAAGTTCATAGACCTGGAATGGCAGCAGCGAACTCGTATAGCCGAGGGCAAACAGCCAAACTCCACCTCGCAGTGGGTTTTCCTACCCAGTGACACCACGCTCCCCCGCAATCGCTATGCGAATGTGGAGGTCTTTGCGAACAACAGGGTTAAGCTCAAAGTGCCTGAGGGTCACAGCGATTACATTAACGCGTCACCGATTAAGCTTAAAACTACGAAGTCAAACACCCAGAAGAACTTCATCGCCACGCAAGGGCCTAAAGAGGGCATACATGGACACATTTGGCGCATGGTTTGGCAGGAGTGTCCAGGTCCTGCCGTCATCGTCATGTTGACCCAGACCCACGAAGCTGGCCGTGAAAAGTGTTTCCAATACTTTCCCTTAAATATGGAAAATCCAACTATGGACATCACAGAGGATGATGAGTTTAATGATGACTTCAAGGCTTCGTTGACCCTGAAGGGAATCACTGAGGACGAGGCCACCCAAAGCACCATCAGAGAGATGGAGCTTAAGACAGAATCTGGAGAGAGCAAGACGATATGGCATCTTCTTTTTACGGGGTGGCCAGACTTTTCCATTCCTGAGGATGATAGTCGAGATGCGCTGGTCAGACTAATACAGCTCTCTGCCGAAAAGAACGCGAATGCAGACTCTCCGCGCATCGTACACTGCAGCGCGGGTGTTGGCCGGTCCGGAACCTTCATTGCGCTCGATTGGCTCATTTCTGAGCTTGAAGAAGGCGGCTTCGACGATCTCGACGATGAGAACGATCCCATCGTCGACCTTGTAGATGCGCTTCGCCAACAGCGCATGATGATGGTGCAATCAGAAGCTCAGTTTCATTTTCTTTATGATCTTACGCGGCAACTCTGGAATGACAGGCAAGAAGGTCGTAAGTTGGGCGAACTCAAGATTCAAAACCAGCGGGACGCGATAGACCTTTCACGGGCTGAATTGGAGAAAGAGATGCAAATTAACGTGGCTCAGTCCGTATTCCGAAAGCAGACTGATTTGTGAACGTAATTAAGACTCCAGTGTGCGTTTTTATATACTAGCGGGTGGCGATCTGGGTAGAACGGGATCTGAATCATTTGAGCATCGTTGAGCATGGTACATGTACGTCCGCCAAGACCGTCGGCATGCAAGGCGTTAAAAGACCATGGAAATGGAGCATGTTATGTGTAGAAGTTCATCCTTTAGGTTTTCCAAGCGAAACGTATTTTTTGTCCTTGAACATATCAGTTTATTGCTTCTGCTTTACTTCTGATGCTTTGCTTTCGCATCATCACGTTATTACTGCAACAGAGAAACGAGTGCCGATATAAACAATCCACTTGAAGTAGATCCCGCAATCACAGATGCCATAAGCCTCCCTATTTTGACATTCCATGTTGTTTAGCAAGTTTATACATCACGAAGTGCTGTTTACACTGCGAAATTAAAATTTGTTGCCCGTGAGAAAATGGGACGCCGTCTTGTAAAGATATTTTCGCATTGGTACAATCACCAGTGCATTCGGTTTCTAAAGTACACAATTTGATCTCGTTCATTGCTCCCCCTTTCCTTGGACTTTCAACCATGGTATCTTGAGCTCATGAATACCCAAATCAACCGCCGTCATGAAAAGCTACGGTGAGTACGCGCCATTATACACAGAAACCCCAGTAGATGTATATGAGAGCTGCACTGGTGGTCATAAGAAAAAACCGGTGCCCAAGTAGTGATTGAGCACAGACAGATACACGCCATGCACCTGACATTCGTGCAGCGAAAGACGCTACCTTGCCGATGCAAAAGGTGTAAGCAGAAGAGCCACTGCAGTGTTGCAAAGAAAGTAAGAATAATAATGAACAAGCCCCGTCGGTTCTGGACGTCACATGCTCTCAGGCGACATCATGCCAGGTGCGTCATCGTCCTTTTCTGGATCCGCAATTGGTTCAGTGGGAGGTGGCATATCTAGACGAAGTTTCCCAGTAGGTCTGACAATTTGCCTCACTGCACCATTGACGTCTTCCCTGCCTTCTTCGAGTTTCCGTTTCTTCTTGGCCATCTGTTGTTGCTCACGTAAAGGACGCTTACGTGGAGAGCTAATTTTCCCAGTAGGTGGCAAACGAGGCTTAGGGAAGCGCTGCTTAAGCGGCAGTTCATCGTCTTCGATGAGAACAGTTGCGTTATTACTTGTGAGCTTCGCAAGGAGAAAGTCCTGGACGAGACCAATCTCGTTCTGTATGCTGTCAATGGTAACAGGTTCGAACGGAGGTGGTGGTTCCATGATGATTCCAGTAGTAGGAACAGCCCTGCTTGAGAAGTTAGGAGCGAAGCATGCTGACTGAAATATGAAACATACGATGTGTTAGTGGATTGATAGGCGCTTGACAACCTACTATGCAGTAGGTGGAATGGCACACTCAGTGTTGTCATACCAAACTCGCTATCAAGACCCAGCTCCTTGAAACCAAAGAAATCCTCACCAATATCTTCAGCGAAGTCACCACTAGCGAACTGCTCGCTGTCATCGTTGAAGGCACCAACACCATCAGCACCAACCTGAGATGGATCTAGAGCAGGTCGCTAAAGCATGTTAGAGCTTTGCCATCCTGAGAAGAACTGTATTGAACTTACTAAAAGATCAGCAAGATGAGCCTTCATGCGTTCATGCATAACGCCCAGCTTCGTTCCGAGACGTTCAACATCATCTTTCACGTAGCTTTCAAGCGCTTCGATATCCAAACCCTGCTCGTCCAAGGCATGGAGGACATTTTCTTCAAATGACGCCGGGCGTGGAATAATAGTTGTGTCAGCAAAGTCTCTGCTCTCCTTTTCTCGAAGCTGTGATGTTTCTACGTAAGAAGCCATGCACTGAACCATGTTTTGAAAGTAGCTGCTAGCAATGTCCGTGACTGAGTCAAGAGCAGACGGCTGAAATTCCTCAAACCCAGCATGGAAGAATATCTTTGCAATGCTTCGTTGGAATGCAGCTCGACATAACCACGGAGCCATGAATGGTCCATCGTCAGAGACAACAGTAGTCTCTACATCTTGCTCCACGAATGGCTGAGGTTCATACTTCTGAAACTGGTTGGAATACATCTGTGTTTGAAGCTGCATCTGCTTCACAATGCCAATCTTGGCGCAGACTTTCCGAGTCTCTTGCATCTGTCGCATATTTGCGTCCATTTTCTTAGTCAATAAGCTTTCTGGTGCAGTAAAGCTGCCACGTGGAAGCGTACGCAAAGTTTCCTCGGAATGCATGATCGCTCTGCCTTCTGAATCGTCTTCCCACCTTAGGTTTTCAGCAATATCCGGAATGGCCGACAGTGGATCGTAATAATCTGGTAGGAGCGTGTCATTCTCTTCTTCCATAGCCTCCACCAGAGTTTCATTGGACACGGGTGCTCCGCTTTTCGTACGTTCTTCCGACGAAGCATCCACAGACTCTTCTTCTTCACCCAAGGCCTTTTTTTGCTGTCTCATCCATTGCCTCATTCCAGCTTTAGTCCTGAGTAGTGCTGGCTCTTCAGCATTTATGCGGTCAGCACGAAACAATCGATTGCGTTGAGCTGCAATGGTGGCACGGGCCTTTTTTGTAACTTGCTTCCACATTCGATATTCAAGGTCATCAGCCTCAGGATCTTCCGATGCTTCCATTGGCATGTCAGCCAGCTGTCCGGGTATATCAGCTTCTGAAAGATCAGCCTGACTTGCGGCTTCGCCAGCTATGCCGTTAGGCAATGGCGTCAATCGATTAGGTGGCGGCGTGCTAAATCCATTTTCCATTGGAACGTCCGAATCTGTCCGCAAAAATTGGTTCTTTAAATTGGTTGATGATCCACTTGCATGGAGCAGAGGTTTGGATTCTGCCCCAGGCGTTCCATCCTTTGCCTGAGGAGCCTTACGTGAGTTCGAAGAGCCTTTATTACTCTTACTCGGGGCTTTCCGGCCGCGAGAAGCCATAATTGGTTCTTCATCATCGCTGTCTTCAATGCCATCGAGCTCGGCATCAAGGCGCGCATTTCTTCGTTCCTCAGCTTCAACTTCTGCTCTGTCACGAACCTCAACATCGGGGATATGTCGAACAAGTTCATCTGTCTTCTTCTGTAGGTAGAGCGCCTTCTTGCGTAGAGGGTGATTTGGATCGGAGTTATAAGCCAAGCAATTGTTCCATATGAGATTGAGATCATTCACAATCTCTGTACGGTTTTTATACTGAAGCGTCTTGAGCTTCTTCATCATCGTGCCGATATCCATTGGATTCTTGACAACGCTGTAATAATCAGGCGCTTCTCTCTTGCTCACTCGCTGCAAGAAAGGGGTAGAGTATTCGGTCATAGCCTTAAGATTTTGTAACACCTTCTCAGCTGGCTCGTACAGCTCTTCCTGGTTGACCTTGTCTTCACTTGCCCACTTACTCCTGTTTTTGCGTACCTCTCCAATTAATCGTCTAAGTTGAGCGTCATTTGCGGCGACCATACCTCGCTTTGTGTCGATTCGTTTCAGGAGATTGCCCAACATGAGACTGGACGCGCCCAGATTTGACGAGCTTAACGAGCCTGCCTGCGCAGCTGATGTGGCGCCGACGTTACCTGCATCGTTCTGCTGACCAGAGACTTCAGCTTCGACCTGGCGGTCAAGTTCATCCAACTTCTGCTGCTCCAGCATTGCGACACGGTCATTCTCCAAAGTATAGAAGAAAAGATGGAAGTTTCGCTTTGCTGCTTCTTCTGCCGCCTGCTGATCATCTTCAACCTGCTTAGCAGTATCACTTGAAGACTTTGCCGCGTCAGAAGTAGTTCTATCCAGCAGAGACCTTGACGAATCAAATTGTGTTGGTGAGCGATGCGCTTGAGTGGTATGCACAGCGCCCATGCTGGCCGAGATTACGCCATGGGACTTTGCGATTGCATGTTCTTCTTGCTCATCTTCGTCATCGTCACCATAGTCATCCTCATCTATGTTTCTCGCCGGTTTCTTGGACCCAACGAGTAAGCTGGAAGCAGCCGTGGTTGTCGCATCGCCAGTTTCGTCTTGCACCGCTTGCACAGATGCACGTCTTAGCATCTGCTGTGTCTCCTCTTTCGCGCTGAGCAAGGCCATAAGTCGCGACTCGGCGATTCTGTACCTCTGGCGAAACTCCCCAGCTCGTAGATCCTCCTCGGCGGTAACATCGGTACTTCCCCCTCCATTGACAGCCGATGTATTGTCCGTAGAGTTGCCATTTGTCATAATCGGGGTGCGAAGCCGTGAGGCTGCGCCATGGCTGGAAAGACGGGCGGTGCGTGGAGGGTTCTGCGATGCCGAATGAGGGGGGTGAGCGCGGCTCATAGTCCTGCTTTACGAAGGCTTGGCGGAGCGAACAACGGTAACATTCACGCTCGCCCTCCTAGCCCTCTTGACGGTGGCGCGCGCGAAATAAACCGGGCTCATGGAATGCGACGGCCTAGATCTGATGGATTCTGAGAAAAAATGGAAGAAAAAAGCGCTCTGGTTGATGAAGGAGGCAGTCGTTTGGGGCGGCCACACGAGTTGACGTTGGGTCAAAGACGGAGCCAGCTGCGACAAGCCAGGGATGACACGTGACTTTTCCTGCCTCAGGCTGGTGTTTCCAGGAGCTGAAGCTTGGAAGATTCATGTCGCATACGTACAGCTGCAGGTCTTGGAGCTGTTCTGAAGCCGCCATCCGCCTTGCAGCTGTCTATTCTGTATGCGACTGTTTGCAACAAACAAGTGATCGATTTATTCCCAGTGTCCATGTCATGGATTATCTTCATCTTTGAAGCTTCGCGTAGCAATCTCTTTACCGATAACGCCTGTTGTCAGTACCACCAGGTTCGATATTGAGCATTCACAGCCGCAATGAGAATAAGGCAGTATCCAGCCTGTGAGAGCCAAACAAGTAATTATGACGATGTCTTCCTAAACTAACTGAGAACGCAGTTGCCTTTGCTGGCTTGCTCATAATTTCCGCATACCTGGGTCTCGCTCCGCAGACCATCCCTTCCTACAAACAATCAGATAAAGTCTTACATTTTGTAACATTCATACTCCTTACAGTATATTCTACTGCGAGCTTGGTATATACAAGCACGTCACTGACATTTGCCAGTTGTCTTTCTACTGGATAATCGAAACATCCCGACGGCGTGTGCTACATCTTACTCTCTTCGTGTGTCCTGTCACACTTGGTATTGGGTCCGAAATTGCCCAAGGATTGTTGCCAGTATGTGTACTCTTTCTTCTATTTGTATGTACGAAAATACTAATTCGACCCAGAATGGCCGTGAATTCGACCCCTATGACATCCTTGCAAACCTTTTAGGTTGTGCCACGGCAATTGCCGCATGTACATGGTATCACAAACGAATGCTTGAAAGAAAACGACAAGCTAGACAATACAGTTTAGTCTCTGGAGAAGCCGACGTAGAACTGGGAGAGAATATCGGAGAGCAAGAGTCTGGGGTTACCGGAACACACTCTCAGACTCTTGAGGAAGAAGTGGATAATTGGGATGAGAACAACTGGGAGGACGACGAACCGACTGCCACCGAGGACAGTGGCGACGTGTCCAAGGCTACGGGTGAGGATGTAGACAGAGCTAGCGCGAAGGAGCCTAAGAAACGAAGTGATTGAATGGCATCACGGGATATGACGGAACGGAACGATAAATTGTGATATGTATATATCCACTAATACATAGCTTGCATTTTCTTCGCATTGTGTTGAGGACTCAGAGCAGTAGGTGCATGATCCTCATGACTATATTCTATTCAGTCATGATTCATGCATGAATACACGACTGTGCTCGTGGTAATTTCGTGCGCCAAATCATGCATAAATGCCCATAGTTGAACCGCAGAAACTCCCGTCATTTTCCCCATCGAGCAACCTTATCTCTATGCCTGAGCACCAGCAGCTTTCGCAGCCTGCTGTGGGTTGATCTTCTTGCCGTCCTTGTTGTATCGCACACGCGGTGGTGGGGTACGGATACGGCGTCCCTCACGGGATCGGACACTGCCATCGTCAGCTTCTTGTGTGGAAGCTGCATAGAGAAAACATCATACCGAACAATCTTGCCGTGGATAGCGCAGCTCACACAGTACTGGAGCTTGAGGTACATCTTTGGTACGGTGTATTCGGCTAACAAAAGTCAATACCAAAGGTTCATCTCAGCGCAAAGAACTCCTTACGGAAGACAGAGGCATCGGAGATATCACCTGCAATTGTCAGCGCTAAGTTGAACGGCGGAAAGGGTGGGGGTTAAGCAGAGAAAAATGCTGTAGAGGGTATCGAGACGACGGCACAGAGTGCTTCACGTAATGAAGCCTAGCTACTTGCGGTACGGGTGCTTTCGCACTGTTATCCCCAATGGCAAGCTTCGAAAGAATATGCTATGCAGCGATTGTCTCGAATCTGGAGTTTAAGGGTGTCAGGATCGACATACGGATAGCAGCAGATTCTACCATGTTCCTGATGGTGAATCTCTTGATCGCCTTGTCCTTGGGAGTGCATCGAGAGCAGTTGGAACAGCGGATGGGCTTGACATGGCCTCGACCCTACCGAAGGCATCAGTTTTGCATCGCAACACCATAGATTGGCAGCCACGAACCTTCTTGTTGCGGCCGTTGGAAGCGCGCTTCTTGACCATGGCTACGACGGGAGTGCAGAGGGTTCTGTTGGGTAGTTCTGGGGGTTGTTGGTACGAGAAAGGCAGGCTGTGAGCGCAGACGGGATCAAATTCGAATGTCTGTGGACTACAAACTCTTGGCGTGTGAAGGTTATGTAATCAGTCCAAACCGCTTTTGGGCTTCCTATGCAGCGACCCACTCGGCGTATGCTCATGACCCATTTGGGCGTTGGGCGTTTGTTTGGAACTGTTTGTCAACTCGTAACAAGAGCGTGTATAGATCGCGTAGGCTGTTCCCAGGCTCGTGTTCTGTGCAAGCATCAATCACGGCGTGCGAGTACGCATTCAAAGTCCTTCCATTGCTCTGAAGGTTTGCACAGGGCGTGAAGGTCATCAGCCAGCGCTCGTCCGCACTTTCAACTCGGCCACCCAGCTAGAAGATCTTCTTTGCAAAGCCATAGCAACCAGGACCTACCCTAATCGAAACACGTACTTTGTTGCAGCGACGACGCATCCATTGATCACAATGTCGCACACAGGCACATTAAGAGGCACGCCGAAATCTCGAGCCGGCGCAAGTCAGACGGGCACTTTCTCCAACTCCCCTTCGCATATCCCCCGTCCAGCTCTCGATACACATGCCAGTCAGACTAGTGCAAGCGACGCAGGCACGTCAACATTGAGTGCCAGTAGGCAGAAGCAGTCAAAGCGAGACGAGGTACGCTGCTCCCTACGTCCGCTGTCAGCTCCTAATTCGACAGTAGGCTATCCGTCGACGCATTGAGACCGACTTGAACAAGAAACGCCATGTACCGACTCGTGCCCGGCACTCTAAAAAAGCTCCACCAGGTACTGTTCTCGCTTTAAAGCCGAGTCAAGCTCTTCAGATAAAGCCAAGCACAACCGTAGCAGAAGCTGCGCAGCTCATGGCTGCTAAGCGAGAGGATTGTGTGCTCGTCACCGATGACGATGATAGGATTGCTGGCATCTTCACAGCCAAAGATCTTGCTTTCCGTGTTGTCGGCGCAGGAATCAAGGCACGAGATGTCACTATTGCAGAGATCATGACTAAGAATCCGCTGTGCGCGAAGACGGACACAAGTGCCACTGATGCCCTCGACCTGATGGTTCGAAAGGGCTTCAGGCATCTGCCTGTCATGGATGAGAATCATGACATCTGCGGTATCCTTGATATCACGAAATGCTTTTATGACGCAATGGAAAAGCTTGAACGAGCATACACGTCGTCACGGAAGCTTTACGACGCTCTCGAAGGCGTCCAAGCAGAGCTTGGTTCTAGCCAGCCACAGCAGATCATCCAATATGTCGAGGCAATACGCAACAAAATGTCCGGCCCTACTTTGGAATCTGTCCTGACAGGTCTACCACCGACTACAGTCTCCGTGCGCACGTCAGTCAAAGAGGCCGCAGCCTTGATGAAGGAGAATCACACCACAGCAGTGCTAGTTCAAGATCAAGGACAAATCACGGGTATTTTCACTAGCAAAGACGTAGTATTGCGCGTCATTGCAGCCGGACTTGATCCCGCAACCTGCAGTGTCGTTCGTGTGATGACACCTCATCCTGACTTTGCTCCGATGGATATGAGCATTCAGGCAGCCTTGCGCAAGATGCACGGTAAGCTGTTATTCAATATCGCGCGTAGTAAGACTATTGACTATAACCTAGATGGCCATTATCTTAATCTTCCCGTCATGAGCGATGCTGGTGAAATTGTTGGCATGGTTGACGTTCTAAAGCTGACATATGCTACGCTTGACCAGGTGGGTATAATCACAACTTAGCCTGTGTAGTGGATCTAACTGTCGGCAGATCAATACAATGTCTAGTGGCGACAACGAAGGACCTGCTTGGAACAAATTTTGGATGTCTTTTGACAACGAGACGGAATCCATGATGTCTGGGGAAGGCGGTAGCCGAGCTCCTCATACACCAGATCACCGTTCTCTCATGTCACCAACTATGGACCGTCCCGGAGTTCACGACAGAGGTGACAGTGTGCTGCCCAATGACTCTGCATCACATCACGGGGCTGAAAGCCCCGATCACTCAGCGCTTGCCGGACAAAGTTCTCCTCCTGTCATAAATACTCCGTTTCCCTTCAAGTTTAAGGCTCCAAGCGGACGCATGCACCGCCTGCAGGTCGTTGGCTCCGACGGTATTGCTGACCTTATCAGCCAAGTCGGTCAGAAATTAGGGGCAGAAGCTGCCACAATTGGCGGCGTTCCCGAAGTTAACGATGGCTCAGTTGGCAAATCCGGCTTTGCTCTGAGTTATCTTGACAATGAAGGTGATACTGTATCAATCACAACTGATCGTGATCTCCTGGAGGCTATTCAGCTTGCACACAAAAGTCACAGAGAAAAGGTTGATCTCTTCGTTCATGACCCAGATCAACCTCCGCTTCCGTCTACAGTTGATCCACAGCCTGCACCAGCCAAGCCGCCAACGCCGCCAGAATCCGTACTGCGTGAGCGAAAGCGACATGACAGCGACTCTGAGGACGAAGACTATGAACGGCGACGACGCTCGCGAAATCAGCCGCAGCCTCAGGAGCAGCTCATCGCCGGAGTGCCCAATGAACTTTTGCTTCCAGGTGCCATCGTGACGCTGGCCGTGGTCATTGTGGGCGTCTTTGCGCTCAGCCGAACCAGTCGGTAAACACTGCGCAAGGCCATGCCTTCTCCGTCCAACCCCGACTCAGTTGGGGGTCCGGGTGTTGTCAGGATGATTTTTGCGCTTTCACACATAGGCACATGTTGTATTCAAGGCCGAGGATGCAGTGTCAGAGTAGATTCGACGTTGTCCATGGGTATTTGTTAAGTTTAGTTATCAACATCGCCGTTGTATTGACCAGCCCAGGTCATCTTTGCAAGCGTCCCGACCTTCGATTGTGCTCTATGATTGACCGATCTCGTTGTAGTACGCGATGGTCTCCACTCAGCGAGACCAGATGACTTGCCTCGTTGATCTGCCACGATTTCGCGTGCCACCCATCGAGCAAAGGAAAGCATGTCTTTCTCCGTGCCAGACACGGCCACGAGCGTGCGCAGCCGCTCGGGCGTGGTGTGATTGGCTCGCCTCGCAGCATTTTTTTGAACTTTTCCTGGCTGGGATCACTCGTCAAGCAGAAACGCAGCTGCTACCCCACGACTTTTTGTTGTCCCTCTTCGGCACACATCCTCATCCCCATTCTCCCTTCGCAGCCCGACCTCGCTGCCGTGCTCTCGAGAGCTGCTAGATTGGCCCTGGCCGTGATTGCGTCTCGAACTGCCTTTCTGTTCTTCCCAGACGAGGTGTGGCAAGACCCTCCATTCCACAGACTCCCCAGCACCAAGCCAGACCCTCCCACCAATAAATATCTGCGGCCGAGCAACAGCAGCACAAAGACGCTTCGGCGCGAAGTCCCATCATGTCCGTTCTTCCACCCGAGGTCCACCAAGCGCTCGGCCAGCTTCTGCACGGCCTTCAGTCCTCAGACAACGTTGTAAGGAGTCAGGCAGAGTCACAGCTAAACGATGAGTGGAGCACGTCGAGACCTGACGTGCTATTGATGGGTTTGAGTGAGCAAATTGAGGGTGCAGAGGATCCAGCTGTAGGCCAACCTGACACTTTAAGCTCCATGGGCGGCTCATTAGGTTGTGCTAATGTTGACGTAGACGCGTTCTTTCGCAGCAGTTTTGTTCCGCCGCGTTTCGAACCGCACACGGAAAGATCCAGCGTCAACAGATCAAAACCCAGTCACGAAGGAGCTATTCCTCACCTTGACGCCGCCACAGCGAGATGCCATACGGACTAAGCTGCTCCAGGCCCTTAACTCAGAGACGAACCCTGTTGTCCGTAACAAGACGGCAGACGCAGTCGCAGAAATCGCAAGACAGTATACCGATGAGGGTGAGTCTTTTTGACTCAATTAGTACTAAACACGCCTTTTAACGATCATCCAAGGCGAACCTTGGCCAGAATTACTCCAGGCTTTGCTTTCATGTAGTCAGTCAGAGAATTCAGGTCTACGCGAGGCGGCCTTCAGAATCTTCTCGACTACGCCCGGCATAATCCAGAAACAGCATGAAGAATTTGTCTTGAATGCGTTTACTAGAGGCTTTAAGGACAATGATACCTCTGTATGTCATTTGTCTGCTTGTTTTGAAGGATGGCCATTCTAATCATATGCTTAGGTTCAACTCGCTGCAATGGAAGCGTTCGCATCATTTTTTCGCTCTACGAACAAGAAGTCGCAGCAGAAGTACTACCAGCTCATCCCAGATATATTGAATATCCTCCCACCTCTCAAAGAGTCAGGCGATTCTGATCAGCTTACACGAGCGTTCTTAGCTCTTATCGACCTTGCTGAAACTTCTTCAAAGATGTTTAAGCCTTTATTCAACAATCTAGTCACTTTCAGTGTCACTGTCATCCAAGATAAGGATTTAAGCGACATTGCTCGACAAAATGCCCTCGAACTTATGGCTACTTTCGCGGAACAGAATCCTGCAATGTGTAAAAAGGATCCGTCGTATACGGAAGAGATGGTAACTCAGTGCTTGTCCCTGATGACCGATGTTGGCATAGATGACGACGACGCCGCAGAGTGGAACGCCTCTGAAGACCTGGATATCGACGAAAGCGATGCAAATCATGTTGCGGGTGAACAGACTATGGACAGACTGGCGAACAAGCTCGGTGGACAAGTTCTTCTGCCACCAACGTTCAACTGGCTGCCTCGCATGATGCAGTCGTCTGCCTGGAGGGACAGGCATGCAGCTTTGATGGCTATCTCGGCCATTTCTGAGGGATGTCGAGATCTCATGGTTGGTGAGCTTGACAAAGTACTCGAGCTAGTACTTCCTGCTTTGCGGGATGCACATCCACGTGTTCGTTGGGCTGGCTGCAACGCTGTTGGTCAGATGAGCACCGATTTTGCAGGAACTATGCAAGAGAAGTATCATCAGCTGGTGTTACCAAACATCATTCCAGTCCTAGAGTCCTCAGAACCTCGAGTCCAGGCACATGCGGCGGCAGCCCTTGTCAACTTTTGCGAGGAAGCCGAAAAGTCTATTCTTGATCCGTACCTGGACAATCTTTTACAGCATCTTCTGCTACTCCTTCAAAGTCCTAAGCGATTCGTGCAAGAACAAGCACTCTCAACTATTGCTACGGTAGCTGATGCCGCAGAGTCTGCGTTTGGTCGATACTACGATACGCTGATGCCACTGCTTTTGAATGTACTTCGTCAAGAACAGGCTAAGGAGTTGCGACTATTGAGAGCCAAGGCTATGGAATGCGCAACTCTAATTGCCTTAGCTGTGGGCAAAGAGCGAATGGGTCAGGACGCTATTGCACTCTGCGATGTGCTCGCAAATATACAGAGCAGAGTTCTGAAACCGATAGATCAGTGGGACGAGAATACTGCGTCTGAGATGGCTATCGAATCCGATGATCCACAGGCTTCTTACCTGCTTCACTGTTGGGGCAGAATGTGTCGCGTCTTGGGCCTAGACTTCCTACCGTACTTACCTGGTGTCATGCCCCCTCTTATCAATCTTGCAGGTGCAAAAGCCGACATACAGCTACTTGATGACGAAGATACGATTGCCAATGTCCAGGAGGACGAAGGTTGGGAACTTGTTCCTCTTCGCGGAAAAATGATTGGCATCCGAACAAGCGTTCTTGATGACAAGCACATGGCTATTGAGCTCATTGTCATCTACGCTCAGGTGCTGCAAGGTGCATTTGAGCCCTATGTGGCTGAAATTATCAAGCGAGTTATCCTCACCGGTCTTGCGTTCTTCTTCCATGATCCCGTTAGAATTGCCTCTGCGAAATGTGTCCCACAACTTCTCAATTCCGTCAAGCAGGCTCATGGGCCACAGTCTCAGCAGTTGGCAGAGGTGTGGTCCCAGCTTGTCGTGAAAGTTCTCGAAGTGCTGACAACTGAACCCGCCATTGAGTCCCTAGCCGAAATGTACGTCTGCTTTTACGAGTGCGTGGAGGTTGTTGGCAAGAACAGTTTGATGGATAAGCACATGCAGGAGTTCGTTGAGGCCGCGAAAGGCGTTCTCGAAGATTATCAGGCACGTGTCAGGGAGCGTGAGGAGGACGCAAAGGACCGAGAAGAGGGAGAAGAGCCAAGCGAGGATGAGCTGTATGCTGTCGAAGACGACCAGACCCTGCTCTCGGACATGAACAAGGCTTTCCACACTGTTTTCAAGAACATGACCGCACAGTTTCTTCCACATTTCGAGCGGCTTCTACCGTTCTGTCAGCAGTTTGCTAACAGTCCAGAGCCGACTCAACGGCAGTGGGCTATCTGCATCTATGACGACGTTCTAGAATTTTGTGGACCCCAGAGTTGGAATTATCAGTCATACATTATTCAACCTCTCGCGAACGGTATACGCGATGATGTGGCAGCGAACAGACAGGCTGCTATTTATGGTGTTGGCGTGGCAGCGCGTCACGGTGGTGAGGTATGGGCCGAATTCGTAGCAGCCTGCATTCCTGAGCTATTCAAAGCGACACAGCGACCCAATGCACGAGACGATGATGATGTCTTTGCGACAGAGAATGCATGCGCCACCATAGCGAAGATATTACACTACAATTCTAGCAAGGTCGGCAATCAACAAGAAATAGTCAATGCGTGGGTGAATACACTCCCTGTAGAGAATGATGAGGAGGCAGCGCCGTACGCGTACAGTTTCTTGGCTCAATTGATCGAACAGTAAGTGGCATCGTGCCATTTCCATAGTTGTAGTCCCTAACTCTGACAGGCGCAATCCGGCCGTTATCAACCAAGCAGCAAAGTGTTTCATAGACATTGTCAAGGCTCTTGAGGCAGAGACATTGCAAGGTCAGACTGCGTCAAGGATTGTAGGTGCTGCCAAGGATCTTGTCCAGGTTGCGGGCTTGGATGTTGGCCAGCTGCTTGCTGGTCAGAGTGCAGAGACACAGCAAACTGTCCGTGCCTTCTTTGGTTAGGTTTTTTTTTTCTTCCATCTGCACCGTTCGCGGTGCTACGGCGCCAGCTAGGCTTTCAAACATGCGCGCAGATAGAGCCATTATACAGCTATTCATTCTCAGTACATATGAGTTCCATTGAATAAGACGCTGTCCTTTTCTTTTTGAACTATAGTCCGTCTGGAGGTAATAAATGGCATATACATTGCCAGTCCTTGCAACGTAAGGTACTACGTGGGCCATCACTGGTGTATCGTCGGACAACAACTAGATGATGTTTTCGCTCTGGCTGATTGTCTGCTGTTCCTCCCGTATGTAATCAGCATGCACTTAAATGTTCAATTTCTAATCTATGTTTTTACTTTGGGGGCAGGGTGAGGGGTCTTCTCGGTTCGCCTTTTGTTCTTACGTGTTTGTGTGCTGGTAGAATGTGACTGTGACGACGCTTCTGGTTTGGCTAAATGTGCTGAACTACTATTGACATTGTATTATCGTGCTCACGGTATGCAGCCCTTGTCTGTGGGCAAAGTGGTCCGTCTCCATGTTCCAGATCAGGTTCTGCGTATTCGATCCCTGTTCGCATTAAGTCTTGCCAGTTCTCACAGTTCAGTTCGATTAAGCTTGCACGTAGTTAAGGTGGTGGATGCGTAGTCCCCAGCTCAGTGTCAGCATACGTTAATTACGTCGGGTGGACTGCGTACTCATAGTTTTGGGAACATCGCAAAGCCACCGGCGTACTGCGCTGCAGTATGCCGCTAGGGCGCCAGTCTCGTTCTCCGCGATGAATTGGCCAATTGACCTCATTAAATAGCCGGGCAGTATTTAAATGTCATTCGGGTTTACGTCAGATGCTTTGAATTGATTTCGGTGTGATAATGTGAAGTTGTCTTCAAAAAATCTCGAGAGGTGAATATTTTTATGCTATGTTTATAAAGATGACAGCTAGCCGCACCCACAACAATGGGTCAATAGAGAGTAAAAACATATGGGCGACAAAAAAATTCGGATACTCAAAGCGCCAGTTTTTGTTTAATAACGATCAAATTCTCAAAGGAGATCAAATACAATGGCCGAGGCAAGACTAGAAGTACATTAACAACGAAAAGCTTGGTGAAAGAAGGACACAAAGGAGCACGAAATTTCCACTATATCAACAAATGACTTCGTTCTACACGTTGTCACTACCGCGACACCAAGCACACATGTGTGTAGTATGATACAAATGCCGCAAGGAAATCACCATGCTTCAACGCAACCGATCATAAATATAAAGCCATGATTCTCCAGTGATCCATCAGACCGTCAAACTCGGCACACGTCATATTTAGCCCAAAAGCATGCGACGAGGATCCTGTATGTACTCCTTGACTCGCACTAGGAAAGTAGCGGCCTCTCTTCCATCGATGAGGCGATGATCATAGGTGAGAGTAATGTTCATCATCTAGCCGAAATTAGCGTGAATTCCAAAGTAATATGAGCAAAGAAACACGTACCGGTCGAATCTCTATCTTGCCGTCGATTGGTACTGCACGATTGAAGATGGCATGAAGACCAAGGACAGCCGATTGAGGAGGATTAATGATAGGAGTAGACATGAGAGAGCCAAACACGCCACCATTACTAATGGTGAAAGTACCTCCAGCCAAGTCTTCAATCGTAAGTTTGTTGTCCCTAGCTTTCTTGCCCAAATCCGAAATTGCCTTTTCGATCTCGAGCAGGTTCATAGACTCCACATTGCGAATAACGGGCGTCGTCAATCCCTTTTCAGTTGCAACAGCAACACTGATATCTACATAGTCGTGATAAACGATTGTGTCGCCTCCGTTGGGACCTTCAATACCGGCATTGATAGTTGGTATTTCTTTCATCGCGAGAACGCAAGCGCGCGAGAAGGCAGACATGAAACCCAGTTTGATACCTGTTCGCTTCAGATATTCATCTTTGTATAGCTTACGGAATTCGATGAGCGAAGACATGTCAACCTCTTGAAAGGTTGTGAGGGACGCGGCCGTGTTTTGAGCCTGCTTGAGCCTCTCCGCGATCCTAAGGCGCATTCGATTCATCTTAACCTATCACTGTGTCAGCCCGTTTCGATGCTCAAAAACAACAAGTGTCGTACTCTTCGTTCTTCCCTGGAACCGAAGCCTCCCTCCTTCTTCGGTTCGGCAGGTTCTATCTTCTTGGGCTCCTTCTTGGGCTCTGGTTTCTTCGATTCCGGCGACGGTGTTGATGGCGCCGGCTTCTTCTCCTCCTTGACGGGTTCTGGTTTAGAAGACTCCACCTCCTGTGCCGGTTGAGATGAGATCTCTTGCTCTTTAGGTGGTGGTGTCTTTGACTCCTGCGCAGATTCCTTTTTCCCGCCTTCTCCTTCCGCACCGATCTCAATCTTTGCGAGCTCCTGGCCCACTGTGACGGTATCTTCCTCGTTAGCAAGAATTTCAATAATCTTGCCTGCTTCTGGAGCGTTTACGGCAACATCAATCTCGAGTATCGTGTCAGTGCCTCTCGCATGCAGATCAGGATCCTGCATCTCACCTTGTCTGTTTCGATGGTAGCAATTTCTTCATCTTGCTCAACGTAGTCACCAACTTGCTTCGAAAAACTCTTTAAGGTACCCTCTGTTATTGACTCTGCCATCTGTGGAACCTTGACAACCGTTGTTGCAAAGCGAAGAGTCCATCGTGGATGGCCTAGCGGCGCTTGCAGAACGGAAGCCCGGATACGCGGAGATGAAAAGGCAGCAGCCTTGCGAATGAAGATAGATCTTGACAACATTGCAGCAGTTCTGATGCGCAATTCGGCTCACAATGTAAACGGTGTTGAGGAAAATGTGACGCCCAAGTGGAGTATGCCGAGCTTCCTTTTCTGTCCGTCTGCGGATTTGTTTTAGCGAAACGTTAATTATTACATGGATTGATTGACGAGGACGATGTATAACGTACACTATCACAAAGCAGACCCAACAAAAAGTCAATGGACTGTTGATGTTATGGTTGGTGTTTCTTCCACAGTTAGCGTTCTAAGCTAGCTAACTTTCAGTCTCGACGTAAGGTAGCAATTGCTTCCGTACTTTTCCTTGGTCAAGGCTTTGACTGATGCAGCCAAGACCCGCAACTTGCATCCGCCTCATCAACGACGCACCATTGCTGTATCTTCCTCGCTTTGCAATTGTCCAGCTCACATCACGCAACATTGCCCAACGGTCTTAATAGAACGCATTTACGGCCTCACAGGTCGCCATGTCTCACAAGGCGGTCGTTTTGTACGTTCTCTGCTTCTCAACACATGACGCTGACTACTGATCATGGCTCAGGTCGCTCTACCGCCGCGCGCTGAAACTATCCCTCGACTGGTCCGTTCATAGATACATCTGGAGAGGCCAAGCCATGTATATTCGTTCACTGTTTGAGACGAAGAAGGACGTGCGAGATCCGCGCTTGCAAAGGGTTTGTAGCCATGTGTGTTGAGCAGAATTATGGTCTAATCTTACCTCGGATAGGCTATCATTGCTGAAGCAGAAGAGCTTTTGGAAAAGTGGAAGCACCCAGATCCATACAGACATCCTACTGCTCCTGGTGGTCTGTCTTCTATCAATGCACTTCTTGCTACGATACAGACTGACTTTTGTCTAGGCTCGAAGTTCGAACGAAATCTGCCATCGCCACTTCTTACCCGTGAGTTTCACACAGTATCGATCACGAATCTTTTTTCGCTTACTTTAACTAGCTCCGCCGAAGATGGATTTGTGAATGCTGTTTGGTGAAATAGCGTGATACAAGTATAACCGAATGATACATGGGCACAACGGTGCAGAATTGAGACCATCATCAGATCACAGTGCAAAATGGGAGCAGAGTTCATGTCATTCCGCTAGTGTACCACATACAACTCTTCATCACGCCGGGATAGCTTCAGCTAAACCGACATTTCTCTTCTAATGGAAATCCGAAGAATCACACTTAATCGCGTATTTCAAAATAATGTGCAAGTTCATGATATTCCATCCATGCTCTATGGACGTAATGTACACTCAAACGCGTGGTATCAATGCGTTGCCACGCTCCCAAAAAACCCAAACCCACCCGAGATCCCATTATCTCATGATTTCAACCAGACGCCGTAAACAAGCAAAAGGATATCATGACGATGATCATAGCTCTTGCGACGCGCCCTTGCCAGGCTTGGATGTCTTCTTTGGCAGAAGATCTGAGAACGTCAGCGCCTGATAAAAGACACTGGATGACATGAAACTCACTTGCATGGATGTTTGGCAAAACACCACCCTGAGCAATGGTAACGTGACCAAGCAATTTGTTCAATTCCTCGTCGTTTCGAATTGCGAGTTGCAAATGACGCGGGATGATACGTGTCTTCTTGTTGTCACGGGCAGCGTTACCGGCCAACTCGAGAATTTCGGCTGCCAGATACTCAAGAACAGCGGCGAGGTAAACGGGAGCACCTGGGGAGCAAAAGTCAGCGTGAGGCAAAGGCTGCAGTGGGTTTAAACAAACTCACCAGCACCAACACGCTGGGCGTAATTGCCCTTTCGCAACAGACGGTGAACACGACCGACTGGGAATGCGAGACCGGCCTTTGAGGAGCGACTAGAAAGACACCATTAGAAATTTGCACAACGAGGTAGCATAAAACTGCTTACGATTGCGCGGAGGACTTGGAGCCCGAAGCCTTGCCACCGGATTTGCCGCCAGTCATTTTGAATATGGAAGTTTGAAAAGGTTGCGAGATAAGTAGGTTGGATTCGTGGATAGCAGGCACTTGGGAGATGTGAACGTAGATGGATTACAGCGATAATGGATGAACAAAGGAAATCGATGCAAGCTGGCGGGGTGTGCGACGTTTATAAGGACAGCAAGAGTCGCGTCAGCGAGCAAATCATGTTTATTGCGGAAATGCAGGGTTAATGTGGAAAGCGCGCTAAGCCTATCCAGGCAGGCACGCTCCAGCATCAAATGATGGGTAGCAACCCAGCGAGAAAACTGATGGGGCAGTCGCTACGCTGCCCACGTCGTTAAGGGCGCTACAGGCAGACGCGCCCCGTGCACGGTTGATGTTCGGCAAAACAGCGACTAGCGTGATTTCCAGCGCTGCCCGCCGCGCATCAACATTTGCTGCTTGCGCTTCTCATAAGAACGTCGCTCACCCCTCCACCACCTTCTTCCGCTCTTTCATCCAACATCCACAACCCACATTCAGGACCCAGCGCGTCTCATCTACCAGCCTCATCTTTCACACATTCTCATCTAATCCTATCCTCTTCATTCGCCCAGATTCATCGAAATGGCACCAAAGGCCGCAACCAAGACTCCCGCAACTGGCGGAAAAGCTCCAGCAGGTGGCAAGGCCCCGGCTGAGAAGAAGGAGGCCGGAAAGAAGACTGCTGCTCCATCTGGCGACAAGAAGAAGCGCACTAAGACTCGAAAGGAGACGTACTCTTCCTACATCTACAAGGGTGCGTCTAGTGCGTCGCGCTTTTTCCAAGACTTGTACTGACGCGCCCATTCAGTCCTTAAGCAGGTCCATCCAGACACCGGTATCTCGAACCGTGCTATGTCTATCCTGAACTCGTTCGTCAACGGTAAGCACATAGCATGCAACCATGCCCACTAATCCTAACACGATTCAGATATATTCGAACGTGTTGCCACCGAAGCTTCCAAGCTTGCTGCCTACAACAAGAAGTCCACTATCTCATCACGGGAGATCCAGACGTCAGTGAGACTTATCCTACCGGGTGAGCTTGCTAAACACGCCGTTTCTGAGGGCACCAAGGCCGTCACCAAGTACTCTTCATCGAGCAAATAGATGGTTTCATGACTTGGGTTTCTGTTTTCTTCGGGTTTGTCTCGGCGATAATGTGGTTTCGCTGGGAATGATATCATGGGTTGGGAATGGTGTCACGGTTTGTTTAATGCTTCCAGGGAAGCTCGCTATTATTTTTGAGCTTACGGGAAACATCTGGGGATGTCCATGGTGTACAATAACCACTACAGCGAGGGCATGAATTGATATTGCTTTTAAAGCACTTCAATTACGGTTCCAGTTCATCTGTGACTACCTTCCTCGCTTGCGCGTTTACCTGTGATGTCTTCTACGTAGCTCGTGTCCCGTGATCGTCCAACTTCGTCGCGATACGTTCTTCTCAGAAGAGCCTGATAATTGTGTTCTCTTGACTATGCGGATGACAGTATAGTCTGGATTCGCATAGACGAGAAATCTGAGCGCTTTGCGCGTTATCAACATGTCCTCGCTGTTTGCATAGGAGGAAAAGTTCGTAGCAGGTTGATGCATTTGATTGGCACTGGGAGTCGAACGACGCTGGTTTCTACAATTCCTCGATGTCGTCCTCAGTATCAAATGTTTCGACTTCATCAATAGCACCTGGCCGTTCGATATTTCTGCCTATGAAATGTCTTGGCTCCTTTTCGCTGATGTGCACAATTGTCTTTCCTCCAGGTACATCAGTTACATTTTTCTTCCATGCTTTGTAATCTTCCTCGTCCCTAATTAAGAAGCCAATTAGCATGCTGGGGTCCATTTCGCGAATATCTATACGCCGAAGACGCCTTGTATGACAGGTCGCAATAACATCTTCCGAATATCGCGATGATTCAGCTTGCAGCGGCAAAGCAGGTCGTGTAATATGTGGATCGAGGTAGAAAAATGTGTTTGACTGGTTTCCAACGAAGTAATGTGAGGCAGACGGCCGCCCGCCGGCTATGCCAACCGATTGTGGAAGTTGTAAAGATGATTTCAAGGCTTCCCAATACACGGGTGTAATCCGGTCGATGCCCAGCCGGATGCCAACAAGCACAAGCGTTGGGGAAAAGGTACCATTTGCGCTAGTTGCGATTCGGAACAAGACGTCTTCGTAAATGTCGGGGCTGTCACCGCTGATGTAGACGCGTAAATTGAGATCCTTTTGGTTGTTTGTGAGAGCTCTAATCGGCATGAGTGTCAAGTTGCAAACGAGAGACAAAAGAACTTACTGTATACATCTTGCTGTCGCTGAAGGACCGAACCATTCTCCTGGGTGCTTTCCACATTCTAATGCACCATGCTCAACGAACTTATGCAGGGAAAAGGGAGCATGAGGATCATCCGCAAAGAGGGAAAGCAGTTTGCTTTGCTCTTCCGGTTTGTCGCCTAGCCTCCAGTCTGCTGTATATCAGCATTCGTTCTCCTCGGCGTTCAAGTCCTGGATTTTATTACCTCTGCCGAGCTTTAATATAAGGAGCGCGTTTGCCAGTAGACTTTGACCAGATCTAATCATGCAGCCCCATCCAGTATCGCTTGTGAAGCCGTCCCCTTGACCAAGCTGATTTCGCAAACGGACTGCAAAGGTGAGGGCGCCGCTTGCTTTGGGGTCCTGCGATCTTGGTATCATCTGAAAGTTCGACCTGTACGTCATCCATATGCGTGACTCAAAGTCGTCCAGGAAAGCCGACGGCCAGCCTGCATCATCGCTTTGCTGCTGCTCTCCCCGGGCTGCCTCCGCCGCCGCTTGCTTGTCCACTATAACAGGCGGCTCGGAGATTCGGTTATCATCTTCGAATAAGGACGAAGCAGGCTCCGAAACATGGGTTGCGGAGCTGGCAACTAGGGAAGGTGAGGAGTTGGCGGAGGATATGGTTGGCGGGATCTGGCTGTCGTACTTTCGGCCAAGACACCAGATAGGAGCACCCGATAGATCATCGTTGCGAGGCATAGGGTCATAGAACATTTTCACGAAACGTTTGCCGTAGCGTGCTAGGTCCTCGACATTGTTCATGGCGATCGAGCATGTGGGCAATGGCTACACTGGATTGGAGGGCAACCGAAACTCGAGGTGGCGGTGGACGAACGGAGAGGAAACGAGCCTGCCTAGAAGTAGAACGAGAATTTCGATCCGGACGCAAAGCCGACGAGAACTTGAGTCCGGCTGCAGGTTGAGGGCAGACTTGTAAAGGTACCACTAAATAGAGAACGGTTGAGGTGTAGTGATAGGATGCGGTCCGGCGAACTTGCAGCTGGTCAGCGGATCAAACGAGCAAGACCATCTATCGAAGGCATGTGGTCAAGCTGAAGAGAGAACAAAAATGTCAGACAAACCAGTCGATGTCTTGTCGCGATGGCCATCACAGGAAAATGCACACAGGACATGCACACAATATTTCTACCGACCTAAAAGCGCCTCGTCTACCATCCGCTGTCTGCGTTTTGCCTGTTCGCGGACAGGCTGAGTAGACACACGCGAACCCCACCAATCAACCGTGGGGCGCGCAGCAGAGGCGGGCCTGCGTGAGCACAAATCATTCGTGACAAGCAACAACACTTCACGACACATCCCAACGCAACTGTGCTGCTTCCTTCAGACTAGACTCGCCGCCGACGCGTTGAGTTACGCTTGACTAGACACCGGCTCCGGCTCGTTCCATCTCTCGAATTCTTGATTCCCTTTCGTTTTTTCGCCCTTGAAAGCTGCCCATCTATTTCAACGGCGCCTATTCGGGTCGAGCGCTTTAGGAGTGGTTAAAAGTGACAGCCAGCTACAGCAAAAGCAAAATTTGATATGTCGAAGAAAAAGCCGCTTAGGGCAAAGCAGAGGCAGCCGAAACCCACTTGGAAGCCATCTAGAGACCCACGCCAGCCTGCGCTCAGTAGCACGGGTGGCCCTTCTCAGTCAAGTGTGACTCAGTGACAAATATGACTTCACTACTAGTTCTAATTAATGGAATCACACAGGCAAAGCGCATTTCAGTTTGCAAGACGAAGCTCGTTTCACCGGGGGTAACCAAAGCTTCTGGACAATTGACGCAAAACTTCGAAATCGCGCTGTCCGCTTTGTTAGCGCAGGCCTCCACTCGACGATAGAGAAAGATCAAAGGAGTAGCTCTGAGCCTCCTATGGAAAAGGATGTTAAGACAGACAATATGATTGCGTTCACGTTAGACTACGATCATGCAACAGAAACGGCATCACTTCAAGCCGTTTCAACCAACACTCAAAGCGAACATCCACAAGTCATGGAAATGTCCGAAGCAAAGGTCATGTCGTCACCTCGAGAGCCAAGCCTGACCTCATCTCTTCGAGACTCAGACTCGTTCATCATTGACACTGAAGGTGACAAGCAAGCTACCCCAGTTCTGCAGCGGCCCCGTATCAGATCAATATCTTCGGCAAGATCAGATTCGTCGGATGAAGTCCTCTTCCATGGGCGAAGTGTTCAGGCACGCACAATCAACGATCCTGTGCCCAACACGTCCGAGGCCATTAAAATCACTGAAAATCATAATTCGTGGGACAATACGTCCGTCGAATGGGTCCACCGATCAAAACCAGGCGTAGGCTGGTCAAACGCGAAGATGTTGACACATGCTAGACAGCCAACCCAATTTTTGACGTTTCGCATCGAAAAGCAACAAAATATCTCCCCTTCATCAATTGGAAAATCAGCTGGGGATGACTATCTTGAGAACATCCAAGAGTATGAACCCGACCTTCTGTTATCTTCTACGTTCGCACATTACGATATCAATACTGGCCTCGAGGACAGCGATCAGGTGCAGCGGGAGTTCCAGTCGTTATCAGTTAGCGGATCAAACCGTGCCTGGAACAACCGCAGGGAGATGCCGATTCAGACGTCAAGTAGCTACTCTGGCGTGGAGGAAATGGCGGATGCAGCAGGGGAAAAGGTTTCCTCCGGGTCAGAAGTGCGATCTTCAATTGGTGAAGAAAGCGATAAGATGAGTGATGGCTCATCAGTTGACGAACAATCAGAGGATAGACAAGACTTTTCTGCTTACCCGACCGAAGACGAAACGCTGGCCATGCTTTTGTCTAAGCAAGAAGAACTTGGCTTGGGTTCCGATGAACTCTTTCTGTTTAGCGAGGATGTAAATGGGGTCCCCGCTCGTGCGGCCAGAACGTATGATCAGGAAAATCCAAAAAGAACGCGAAGGCCAAAGGGCACATTTCCGTCTGCAGCCCTTATGGCGGATGTTCTCGAACAAGATCCTTATGGTAGATTTGAGGTCATGGACTTCGAAAGACCGTTGCTGCGAAGGAAGAAGACCAAAGGAAGACCAAATTTTCCTTTCGTCGTCTCAGATGAACTACGACAGGACATTGAGCATGCATGGGAAAATGACAGAAGCAAAAAGAAGATGAGGAGAAAAGAACGCGAAGAAATGCGAAGACAAGGCCTCTTAGGTAACAGTGGTGTTGCTAGCAAGTACGGGGAAGGTATGACAATTTGGCAGATTGGTAAGGAATTTGAGAGTTTTCTGGGGTCTGAACTAGAAGAGAAATCGTTCCCGCCAATGGACAAGCGTCGCCGCAAGATGGTCCATGAGATCGCCGCCGAGTTCAATATCAAAACCAAATCTGTCGGCTCCGGCGACAGTCGATACACAAAACTTATCAGGACGAAATCCACAACTCGCTTTGTGGAGAACCGTTTCGTCGCTCGCGCACGAAAGATCAACATGGGCTTTTTTCCTAGGCTAGATGCACAAGCGAGAGTTAACCGCTCTTCACGGCCCTCGGCTTCCGGAGCTAATTCTAGTGCTGTGCGTTATCGTGATGGCGATATTGTTGGGGGCACTGCGCCGGAGATTGGGGTAAAAAACAAAGGTCGCTTATTGCTCGAGAAGATGGGTTGGGAGTCAGGTATGGCCTTGGGTTCTCATGACAACAAAGGCATCTTAGAGCCTATAATGCATGTGGTCAAAAATACCAAGATTGGGCTTGGTTGAATATCATAATTCTAAGTATATACATAGCCTTTATACCGGTGGATCTAAATCTGGTGAAGGAAAATAAAAACATTAAAGATCAATAGGGATGAAGTTTATGATCAAGATCTTAAGGATAGAATGGTGTTCTTGTCCATACATGGCAATGTACGATATACCAAAAAGGAAGGAATGATAGTACTAACCAAATATAATATAAAGAACCCCTTAAGGGATATAAAAAGAGAAGGGGAGATAAAAAATATATAAGAGAGAGAGATTTTAAAATATAGAAAGGTACCTTTTAGTATAAAGACTTTATTAATCTTATTACCTTTTATAGCTCTAACCTTTTATAGCTCTATTCTTTATAATATATAATCTCTATTAATACTAATTAGTAGATTAACTAAGACTTATAAAGAAATAAAGAGGATTAAATAAATCTTAATTACTATATAATTGTTAGGAATACTTTCCTAATACCGACTAGCTTCACTAATATAAGCCACTTCGGAAGGGTTTAGCTTCCTAGAGTAAAGGAATAAGGTATAACCAGAGCTTATTATGGAAGGAATATAATAAGATAGTTATATTTATAACTTAGAATAGTATAAGCTTTAAGAGTATAAGAAAATATTTAAACTAACTACTAGGTAAATTAGATAGTTAAATTATAGAGAAGTGTAATATTAGTAGAGATAGGATATTTATATAGATTTTATTTATAATATCCTTATTACCTTATTTACTATAATTATTTTAATTATTTTTAAATAAAATAATTACTTCTATTAATTAGTAATACCCTAATTATTAACTATTAGTTAATATATTTATTCTATTTATTATTAAATAGAATAATTATAATTATCCCTATATAACTATTTATATATTACTTTATAATACTATTCCCCTCCTTAATAAGCTTATCCTAAGCTTTAGTATTTAAGGAGTTTAAAGGTTATTAAAAATAAAATAAAGATATCTTTAATCTCTTTTTTTTACTATAAATATCTTATTTTTAAAATTAAAGAGTCTAGGTGTAAGGGGTGAATGTAAGCGTGATATCAGGATGGGGAGCAATAAGTATAGATTAGTATTAAAACTGATGACTAAGAAGTAAAACTAAGGTAGATATTATATATAGCTTAAATACTACTTCCCCCTGGAGCATATGACCCGCGGCCTGAGCGCAGCCGTACCGTGCGTATGTTCCTACTCCGTTCCTCACACTAGGAGTATTATTATTTTTAGTTATAAATATTACTTAATTTATAGACTAATTTATATTACTATATCTTCTTTAAAAAATATTAAATATATAAATTATATTTATAAAAGTATAAAATATATTAATATATTATAGGAAGTCTTAAATAAAACTAAAAAGGAAGTTAAATTAGCTATAGAAAAGAATCTTAAAAAGTTATTTAAGCTAAATATTTGTTACGAAGTAACACGTGATTTGTCATGTGAGTGATTATTTTGATCATTTTCCTGAAAATGATCAAAATAAGCGCATCAACCAATAATTGATGATCAGGGTGTCGCTAATTAATAGAAGTAATTATTCTGATTATTTTGCTAAGAATAATCAGAATAAGTAAGGCAATAAGGATACTAAAACTAAAGTTTATATAAATATCCTATCTCTACTAGTATTATACTTCTTTATAATTCAACTATCTAGTTTATTTAGTAGTTAGTTTAAATATATTCCTATACTTTTAAAGTTTAGACTATTCTAAGCTATAAATATAATTACCTTATTATATTCCTTCTATAATAAGCTCTTATTATATCTTATTTATTTATTCTAGGAAGCTAAACCCTTCTAAAGTAGCTTATATTAGTAAAGCTAGTTAGTATTAGGAAAGTATTCCTAATAAAAGTTAAATTACTAAGTTATTAGATAGGATAAGGAATAATATCTTATATCTACTATCTCTAAGAGAAGTAGTGGAAGTCAATAGCAGTCTGGTCTATTAAAGAAAAAGGTTAAGGCTACCTTAAATATAAGTACTATGAGACTATTAATATTTAGAATAGTAGTACCTTTACTACTATTAAAAGATCTGGAAATTCTACTAGATATTTAATTATCTAATAATTCTGATTCATCTGACTTAAATTCCGATTCTAGAAGTAAGAACCTATTTAATGATAATATAGCTTAATCTAAAGTTAATTTATCTAAATCTTTTAAAAGGGAATAATCTAAATATAAGGCCTTTAAGTTATAGCTTAGAATTTATATCTATTAGAATTAGGATAAGCTTAAAACTAAAGAGAAGAAAGTTATATATATAATTTCCTACTTAAAAGGAAATATATATACCTAGATCTAGAGGTAAGTTAACTAATATATCCAAAAAAAGGGAGATATTCTATATAATATTAAAAGGATTTTCCAGAGCTATTTAGTATTTATAGAAGAAATAGATTAATATTTTTAGTAAATTAATAAAGCTTATCTAACTAAAAAAAGTTATTAGAACTATATTAAAAGTTAGATATAAGTTTCTATGTAGTTAAATTTAAGAAATAAGTAGTAATTTTAAAATAGAATAATAATATACTCTATACTAAGTTTTTTATAGGACTTAAGCTAGAAATTAAAGCCTAGTTATAGTTTAGGGAGAAAGAAATATCTACTTTTACTAAACTTATTAAATTAGTAATTAGGATTAATTCTATCCTATTTAAAAATAAACTTAATAAATAGGGAAAGATACCTAGATATTAACCTAATTATAGAAGATTATAATATTCTATAGATTACTATAGACTATAACCTATAGAAATAGATAAGCTCTAGAAAGGTGATCAAGCCCTAAAAAGCCTAAAAATTTTAAGAAAAATATAGGAAATTACTTTAAATATAGCTAACCAGAATATTTTACCTAAAATTATTTAAAGCCTAAGAAACAATTAATTAAAACTTTAGGAACTAGTATATAAGTATAGAAAGTTACTATATTTAGGAAAAGTTTTTATAATATTTACTAATAGGGACTAAATTAAAATATAGGACTATAGGATAAAATAATAATTTAAGGAATTTTAAAATAATATCCTAATATTTAGATAAATATAATTTATAAATTCTATTAGGTATTATTAATTAGTTATTATAAGGTCCAGGATTATAAATTCTAGAAATATAGTGAAAATAAGGATCTAGGAGAACTATTATAGGAATACCCTTATAGATTACCTAAAATTTCTTTTATATAAGTATAATAAATACTCCAGATTAAGGGTATTAAGAGTAATAATTATTATATATACTATAAGTATTTTCCAGTTAACCTTTATATAGCTTAGGGTTATTAATATCTAAAATACTATATACTATTAATATAATAAGGGACCTTTAATAAAGGTAATATATTAATTAATATTAAACTATTACTATAAAGAATCTAAAGTATAATTAAAAATTTTAATCCTAAAAAGAATAAAATAATAGAAAATATCTTTATATATATTATAAAATTTATCTATATAATATATAATTTAATAAAAAAGGTTATTATATAGGTTTTATTTAAGGACTTATACTAAATTAGATTTTAAATAAGTATAGATCTAGACTCTGATAATCTATAGAAGAGATACTAAATAAATCTATAAATAATAAAAGGAATATCTAACCTAGATAGAAGTTCTAAGGAATGGAAGTTAGGTAAAGAAATACTTAATAACAGTAAAAGTAAGCACCCTTACTTCTTAGAAAATAAGAAGGTTGACTATTAAGGGGTATAATATTTAACTTTTAGAAAAAACCTTAAAGTCTTAATAAGTTAAAGGAAAATAAGCTAATAATAGAAGTTAAGATTATAAGTAGTTCTACTATAGTTATAATTAACTTAAAAGCTATAATAGACTTCTTAAATAGTTAATATATAAGAGAATAGAATCTACCTTTATATAAAAAAAGATTTATATCTACTTATTATTATTAATAGAACCTTAATTACTTTAGATTAAGGTATAATTAAGTATAAGATAACTATTAATATAATAATATTAGATAAAAAAATTAGAAGAATATTTAATATTACTAATATTAGGGATTTAGATATTATCCTTAAATTATTATAGTTCTAGGATAAAAGACTATATATTAACTAATTAACCTTAACTATATCTCTAGTTAAAGATTAATATCCTGCTTAGACTAGGAAGTATACTAGAGGGTAGATAAAAAAGCTTATATAATAGAGTATATAAGATATAGAGGTAGTAGCTATTTATCAGCTCTAAAGGGAGCAGAAGATAGTATTCTAAATTCCTCTAAAATATAAGGAATTTATAGAACTTTTCAAGAAGGAGGCTCCAGAAGAAGCCTTGCTACTATACCTGTAAGGGGTGGATGTAAGCGTGATATCAGGATGGGGAGTAATAAGTATGGATTAGTATTAAAACTGATGACTAAAAAGTAAAACTAAGGTGGATACTATATATAACTTAAATACTACTTTCCCCTAGAATATATGACCTATGGCCTAAGCGTAGCTATATTATATATATATTCCTACTCTGTTCCTTATAACTCTTCCCCCCCTTCCATAGTCTGGTCCCCAGACTTACTAAGATTATATTCCTCTACTAGTATAGTATTATATTAGGTATATTTTATCTATTACTTTTACTATTTATTATTATTATTATATTTTAGTATTATATTATATATATTATTATATTTATTACTATTATATAGTAATAATATTATAATTTTAATACTTAATAAAGATATAAATTCTTTTATACTTTAAAATTTATTCTTCTATTATTTATATATATATATATAAAAAATAGTATCTTTATAGTGGTCAGCCATTTATTTATTAGGGGTAAGACAGGGTCTGTCAACACCTCACTCCTTAGGTACAGGTTATAGATATTCCTTATCTTATTCCCTAACTCCTCCTTCACTAATACCCATACTATTATTATTAAGTTCTTAGTATAATAAGGTAAGTTCTGGGTATAGGCATACTTCCTACCTTTATTCCCTATCTCCTTATTCCTTAACCCCTATATTACTATTATTAGTATCCTAATATAGTATAGTAAGTTTAAGGTACTGATATTATAGTAGTAATATTAAGGTATTAGAGCCCCCTAGTTACTATTACTAGGTTACTTTTAAGGTAATAGAAATATTATCTCTTTAAGGTAGGGGTAAAACCCTACCTTAGCTAGGGGAGGAGGATAAGGCGGAGGTGGATATTTTTATCTGCCTTTAATACAGTAAGGATATTAACCTTATCCTTATATATAATATATCTATATTTTAGAAATATATTAGGTACTTATACTAGTATTATAAGT